CAGTTTAATCCTGAATACCACCTTCATTTATTGCTTGTCACTGGAGATATGTTCCATTACTAAAATATCACATGTTCTGGCTGAAAATGTCTCCCCCTTTAACAAATATCAACTCATCCTCCACTGAGAGCTCTAATTCACTGTTTTTGCCCTGTTCATTCCGGGGAGAAATTTCCATGTGTTGTCTTTCACCTGTGCAGGCGTACAGTCGCGAGCAGAAGCCGTCGAAGCAGATGAGAGAGGACCTGATGAGCAAGACGGGGCTGGACATGAGGGTGATCCAGGTGTGGTTCCAGAACCGCCGCTCCAAGGAGAAGAGAGACGCCATGGCACGGGACGACAGCTCTGGGTCCCTCCACTCTGGCCCGTCTGCCACTGCCCTCGTGTCTGCTGGAGTGACCGCTGCATCCTCTCCCAACTCAGCCTCCATCATTACTCCTACCAGCAACCCTCTCTCCTCATCCCTGTCAGGTATATAAACTGTCATAATTGTGAGAAATTTTGAGGAAAACACAATATTTTTAATGCATTATATTTTGCCTCAAGAGTGATGTTCTGTATGATGTTGACTTATTTATAGTGCATGAATGTAATGTTAGGCAGACTGATCTTACACCAAGAGAATCTGTTTTTTTCACTCTTTATATACACTTTGTTCATTCTGGTTTGACTTGTCATTTATGAGTGTGTGTTAGCTTTTTCCTCCCTTCTTGTTCAGACGCTGCCACTCCAATGGCTACTCAGTAGTTTGAAGACCCGGTTTGCTCTGCACTGACTTGCCGTGCGTACCGTTCACACACTTATGACTCTTGTATACTGCATTCATCAACATTTTTTTCTCCTTTTTATGCCGTCTCCGCCGCTGCGCATGCGTCGCGTGCGCACACTCGAACACGTAATCGTGCGCGCGGAACGACGCGCCCAGTACCAGTAGCCGACACCTAAAGATCCAGGACAAGGCGATACACGGCCAACGATGCGGTTTTCGTTTGGATTAGCTCCGGTGCTACCAGTCTTACTGTATTTTTCTGCACTTGCATCGGTGAGTTGGCCGTTGTAAGCAATTGTAGCGAGAATTTTTTTCACGGTGCGGTGTATTCCTCTAGCTACTGCAGTGCAACGCTTACGAGACAGTTCAGCTTCGGCTCCAGTTTCCACACCTTGAGTGTGCGGGCGGAGAGGACAGCGTGATCCCGCGGCCCGGTGCGCTGAGCGTCCGTCTCCCGTCCGGCCCCGATGTGTACACGCTGCGGGAAGTGTTGGAGGCCGCGACGGACCAGGACGAGTCCTTCCAGTTCAGTCTCCTTTTTCTAGACCACGATTTCGGGTATTTGCTGGAGGGAATCAACGGGACAGGCGAAGAGGGGTTCTGCCAGTGGGCCGTTTACTACCAAGCCCCAGGCGATAACTTGGCTCAGCTGCATAATCTTCCCAAATTCATGGGTTATCTCCGAATAGAGTTTGTGGATATGATAGCACCGGACTCAACCGTGGAGATGAGCTATCAGGACAATTCTCCACCGCCTCCTGTAGATCCGCCTACAGATGCTACTACACCGCCTACGGATCCGCCTACGGATCCTACTTCTACAGATGATCCTGAGCCTGTAGCTCCTTCCAGTGCCCTGTCTCCGACCTCCTCATCGTCTTCTTCTTCGGAGGTTCCCACCACCTCCTCCACTACTCAGGTGACAACTCCGTCCACTGACTTGCCTACACCTCGGAGCAGGGGTGCAGCTTCGGGGCTCTCGATCTCCACTCACATAATGTGTCTTATTGTTACTACTAGCATTCTATGTATGTAATAAGCATTTCTTTTTGCATAATTTCTGTAAAAATATCATTGCACGTGCAAGTGGAAAAGATATCGTACATACCTACCTCCACCCACCCTGGGTGGGGCACATAGTTGCTATATCTCTCGTGACAGACATTATAGAGGCTATACACGGGGAGGTGGAGCATACATCGCTACTGCAACTATTTCAATAGTTATCCCACAACATATTCCAGTTGTATGCAACTCTCTTAGCCCGGAAAATCACGACGTAAACTGCAGCTGAAAAAAGTGAGGAACAGTTAGTTCATTGCGCACTCTAGCAGTGGGGTGATTATGTTGCACCGTTTTTTTCCAGGGACGGCATTGCTGCAATGTCTCTGTACCATATACTCATGGTCTCACTTTTCTGCGCCCGACTGGCCTCAGCCGTAAGTTCCGACAGCCGCTGCGAGCATGCGCTGAGCCGGCGGTAAGGCTCGTAAATACAAGTGCGCGCGTTCAGACTGAGCCCTTTACACTGTAAGTAGCTGCAGAAAGATCTATTCGCAAACACTTAGTGCCTCTCAGCTCAGGTCGTCTTTGAAGCAATACGTTACGGTAACGGAACCACACCTGAGCCCCGTGCGCGCACGCTGCGTCAGACCGTACGGCGTACACAGACCGTTGAGCGAGCTATGCGGAGGAGGTTTACACAAATTCTCCCTAGAGAGAGAGCCTAGTGTGCTGCAGTAAGCAATAACGTCAGGCCACCCGCAACAGAACTATTAGCATCATTCCAGCAGCTTTTAGCATGTAATTACTGGGCGAGGCCAAGACTTTGCTTGCATCCCTCTTGCTGTTTACATGCAATGCTGCCCAACAGAGCCTGAATGGAGCTAACCATCCCTCATGTATTCCCCACACAGCACAGTGGAGATAATGCTACAGAGGCAACTGATCCTCCAACTGATCCTCCAACCAATCCTCCCACACAGCCTCCATTCGGACCCTACGTGGTGGAATACCGCGTCGAATACGCTGATGCAGACTGTTTCATGAAGGAGAACATCATGGACGGTAGTGGGTCGGGTTTGATCTTTGACTACAACGTTCCTCCGGAGTTTTACACGGATCTGACCCTTCAAGACGACATCACAGCAGGAGTCACGTACTCTGTCCAGGATGTCATGGAAGTTGCAGTTGAAAGCGTCTCGTCGCTCTCCTTCAGTGTCCTGTTCACTGGAAACGTAACTGGGTACTTTGTCAAGGGAATCAGCGGAGTTAGAAGCAACCCGGACTGCATGTGGTTTCTCTACTATCGTGGACCCAACATGCAGTACCCTTTCCTAAAGAGCTTCGGTGTCTCTGAGTTTGCAGCTGAACCCAACTCCACTGTCGTGATGCGGTACCAGTACCCGCCAATCCACGCCGTATACTATGAGGTTGATTTCCCCCACGTCCCAAACTGTAGTGTTGTCTATCCCCTCAACCTCAAGCCTCTTACTATAGAGCTCTACTTTGGTGCTCCCAACTATACCTATACTGTCCAGCGTATCATGGAAATGGCAGTGGATATGGAGCCGTCGTACCAATTCCTAGTCACCTACTACGGCCGGAAGAGAGGATACGAGGTCCAGGCTATCAACGGAACTGAGAACGAAAACGAATGCTCCTGGCATTTCTTCTACATCCCTCCTCGTGTGGCGAGAGAGTCCGCCAAAAACTACTCAAACATTTCCCTCTTTACGGTGGAGGCAAACTCAACTATCCTCATGAGCTACCAGATTATTGAAAGGCCACCACCACCACCTGTACCCACAACTACCACCCCTCCCTCACCCTCCTCCACTTCCACCTCCACCTCCACCTCCACTTCCACCTCCTCCTCCTCTGCTATTCAGTCCTCATCCACTTCGACTCCGTCTGAAACACCTACTGTCGGTACTGAAGTACCCACCCCAAAAAGAGGGAGTGCTAGGAGCACAATACTCGTGGACCGTGTTGCTCTTCTCCTGGCACTACTTGCCTGTCTAGTGTACTTACTGTAAAACACCATGTGTAAATACATTATACTTTTGATAAATTGTATAATTCCCACAGCGGAGATTAAAAGTTTTGACATTGCGTTATGTTAGAAGAGAGATGACACACAACTTTATTTTGCTGTATTACGTGTAGATATCAGTGGGTGGGGCTGATTGTGCGACCACTATAACGCGCGCAAGTGAAAGTGGGTGTGGAGTGAGAGCTAAACAGCCGAGGTAGGTGAGTGTGCATGGCGTGGTACTAAGCTAACTCCACAATTTTACGTCCTACTTTGACCGTAGGTAGCCATGTATCTCATTTCACTACTGAGCGTTTCTCTTCTCGTCGGCCTCTGCGCTGCAAACGGCGAGGTATCGGTTACACCCGAGCCCCTGGCTAGCCAGCTAGCCAGCTAGCTCTATCTCCTCCCCTTGCAGGACAGCTATCTGGATATCCAGTTGAATTTCAACGAAACTTGTGCCAATGTGAACGCTACGGGGGCCACTCCGCCGGAGCCCGTCTCCGTCTTGCTGGAGAACGCCAATAGCACCACTTACACGGTCCAGAACGTCATGGAGCTGGCGGCGGACACCAGCAACCGCTACAAGTTTACCGTCACGTACACTGACAAGACAACTGGCTACACTATTGACGTTCTGAGCGGGCTAGAGCAGGCGGAGGACTGCGAATGGTACCTCTTTTACCGCGCTCCAGGGAAGGAGGAACCGTCCTACCAAGAGGGTGCCAGAATCTCTTTTTTCGTTGTGCAACCCAACTCAACGGTGGTGTTGAGTTACGAACCGGAGCAGACTGTTCCACCCGAGCCGTCCCCCACTCCCACCCCGGTGACGCCAGATAATGACAACAACAACAATGGGGCACCCTCTGCGTACCAAATGGGCAGCTTTATGATGTACTGTCTCGTGCTGGTTTTGGTTTCACTCTTCTAAACAAAAAACATTGTCATAGCTTAGATGTAGCTACCACCATGTATGTCTGTTGTACACAAGCTCGTAAATATAGAGTGGATCGATGAAAGGCAGGAGGCGGGGCTGCGCTGCTGCATGGCACGTGCTGCGTGAGCTGCTGCAACTCAGTCTTGTCTCCATAATTCCGGCCGAGGATGTGGAGCGGCGGTAGATTTTTTCGAGCGCCGTCAGTTAGTTTCCTCCTACACGCGACGGTAGCCGCCGGATCGCGATCCCTGGCGAAAGCGGCGGAACAGGGATGGTGCGCACCAATTAGAGGTGTTCCACATCTGATGTCAGGTAGAATAAGTATTGTTTTTGGTGTGCTTTTTTGGTGAATTGTAAAATACGTAGTTGGTGGATGTCGACATTATGCCAGAAATCCAATGGAAAGACGTATGTATGGACTAATGAATTTTTGAGGTGATGTAATTGTGATGTCATCCAGTCACGATGGATCAGCTGAAGGGCTCGGTGGGAGGTGGGAGAGGAGGAAGAGGGGGGAGAGGGAGGAAGAGGGGCGGGAAGAAAGGGATGAGGGACACCCAAGCCATCTGGATCGGACAAGGTAAGAACAACCATTTTCCAAACCATCAAAAGTATTTTCCTCTTCCTAGGTAAGGGAGGAGAGAGATGGCCAGGGCTAAGCTACCCTCTCGAAGAGACAAAGTATTCTCTGGACTGGCTGCAGAGACGAGGGCTGGGCATGAAAAAGGTGCAGACATCTCACACACACATGGCAATCCACTGAATGCTGCATTGTCAGTCCTATTGTGGACTGGACTGTAGGCAATGTATGTGTTTATGCACACAATCATTGTCTGTCCCTTCTTCTAAGGGCAGAGTGATTCTTCGTTTAATAAAGACTGCGTCTGGATGTTGGCAGCCTCGTGTACAGAACTGGTTTTTGATGCATTTTCAGTGTACTACTCTGTACTAGGTGCATCAACCGGAACATCTGTTGATTACATTGCGAAATTGAAAAGACTCACATTATTTGGAGTATGCCTGCATATATACGAACATGTAGGTACAGGAGGAAGGGGAGGAGAGGGGAGGGGAGGAGAGGAGAGGGGAGGATGGGGAGGAGAAACAGCAGTTCATGCTGCGACTGAGAGTGATCGAGGGGAAGAGGAGGGAGGTGAGGAAAATGTCCGAGATGGGATGGGACAGGAAGGGCTGGTCCGGACGACTATGGGGCGGGAGGCACATCGGTTGCCCTGAGTTACCTGACAGCAGTAAGTGATCATGTGATCCACCGTGAGCCCACACCCACTAATTTGTAATCTTCTCCCTGGTTCTCAGCTCCTCTTGAAGATTTCAGATCAGTTGTGATTGAGGTATATACATCATTAAATAGGGTGATGTAATAATGATGTAATGCAGGTAAAGAGGGTGGCCAATCAGACGAAGGGAGGGAAGAAGAGGACAGTGAGTGCACTGGTGGTGGTTGGCAACGGCAATGGGATGGCAGGTGGGTGTGGCCTCACGTCCTCACTGCCAGTGAGCCTTACTGTGGGTGTGTGAGTGTAGGTTTTGCAGTTGGACGAGGAGACGAGATAAAGGCAGCCATTAGAAAGGTATCATAATTCTGAGAACCTCAGTAATGACGCACTACTCTGTCTCAGGCCAAGAACAGGGCAGTGAACTATCTCCAGTTTATTCCTCGTTGTGAGGGTCATACCAGTAAGCTTCTCAAACTGCTATATATATATCCCACTTTTTTCTCCTCTCCCCTCCCTCCCTCCTTCCCCTGCAGTCTACCACAATGCCAAAGTCAAGTACTGCAAGACAAACATTGAGCTAGAGAGGAGGGTTAAAGGTCAGAAAACCTCAGTAACAAAAGTAGAAACTGTGAATATAGTTGTTGTTCTGTTGTCTTGTGTGTTAGGTCACGGGCTGAGGTGTCATCGCTCAGTCTCTGCCGTTTGTCAGCTGGCTGGCATCAAGGACATGAGGGCAAAGGTCACGGGATCCAATAACCCTCTCAACACAGTGCGGGCCACTTTCAAAGGCCTTACGTCACAAGTGAGAGATAATGTAGTGCAGAATCCAGTGTCATTTGTTTCGCTGTGCAGGAGTCATTCCTAGACCTGGCAAACAGGACTGGCAAGTTTGTTGTCGAGTACCGACGAGAGTGTTTGGATCGCCCCGTAGTGGTTGCCGTGCCAATGACCCCGGGGAGTGGTGGGCGGGGCAGTGATGAGGAGGGGGTGTGGCAGGAGCTGAGGGACTTGCAGCTTGTGCCAAAGACTGCTCTCACAGCAGCTGACTCTCTAGCATAGCAACATGCTTCACTCTCTCATTATTAGTGATCAAAGTTTAAAATTCCGTCATGTTTTCAGTGATCAATGCTGATTAAAGTTTAATACCAGTGTCAATATTAATGCGAGTGATCAATGTTGATCAATGTTTAATTCAATAATTTGGATGGCAGCAATCAAACAGATGCTCAATTTCAATGCAAGATGAGTCAAATTCAGTTCTGATTGAAGCAAACCACACCCACTGAAGGTCTCCACAAGCTACTGGACAATCCAGGACAGTTGTAGAGACGTCATCAGGAGGGGGTCTGTAGACCTGAACATCATCGATCCACAAAACACCATCATGATAATAAAGTACTAGAGTAAGGAGAGACAAGAAGACATTACCCGAGTTGCTGCTGAGACGAGGAGTCATTCCCGGTCTTCAGGAGATGAAGCAGTGCCACAATGGCTTGGAACAGATTGTTTCTTCCCTGCACCACAGGATGAGGGACAGTACTCTCTCTATGTGTGTATAATAACTTCCTCACCTTTGGTATGTCCACCAACTTGTCTCCTACCACAATCTATATATGGAAGACAAAGAGAGAAGGTTGGTGCACTAATATACTAGAAGAATGTTGAATATTGTTGGTAGGAGTGACTGACGTTGTAGTGAGGAGGGAGTAGGGTGGACTGGTAGACGGCAACTCCTGGCGATCTGGCCACTGTTGAGGGAGAATGGGTCATCACATGGTCAACACAATCTGTCTTAGACTGGTATTTTGCTAAGAAGACGGGAATAGAGAATATTGAGTCAATGCAGGCCCGGAGGCTGACCTACACTAATATTGAGCTGCACGTCCAGAAAAATGCCACTACCACCAACACAGGATATCTCCAATACTCTTACTATAATATACCAGCCGTCCACATAGGTGAAGGATTGGGAATAATGACAGGGTACATACATATATATATACCCGGTTTATCAGGGCTCTTGATGAGGTAGTGAGAGGTGAAAGGTCGTCCGTTGGTGAAGAGGGGAGAGAGAGGAAGATGACTGTCCAGATATACACAGAGCAGGTGGAGCACTATCTGTCGGTGGAACATTGACCCTCGATAATCTGATGCTTCATACACTAGAGATGCATGAGAATACACTTTTTGCATGAGGTTTAGTTCGATGTACGCTGTTACAGTGATGAGTCAACCTGTGGGTCAGTGGGCAGTTCCTGGGTCCAGGGTCTTCCGTTCCACGCTCCTCCTCCATTCCATCGATACACACTCAAACACCCTCCACTCGATAGCTCTGAACAGAGAGTCAAAACATGCCGTCCAGTAGAACTGAGTATAGGGACTTGCCTCTGATTCTCTGGACGAGGTAGGCCTGTTTCGAGGTGAGCTCGAGGTAGGGGAGCACTAAATGGAGTGTGGGGACCTGCGGGGCTCTTCGCTTGCTCTCTCTCCTCAGATCATTGGAACTGGCAGCTGAGTGGAGGGGTTTTCCCTCTATTAGTGCACATTGAAAGAGAGGTGTGTGTCTGCAGGGCTCACCTCCAATTTTAACAGTTGGGGTGGAGCCTTTGGCCAGTGTCTGGTTGATTTTGTCAATCTCGGCAGCCACCGGTACAAACACCGTCTCCGCCAGCCACTGCTCCACACACCACACCCACCACGACGATGACATCACACATGGACAAAGACAATACCCACGTCATGTGAGATGGTGGTGATTATCGCCATGGAGACTACTAGCGACTCACGCGGCGACAGTTCTCAGTCCATCGAATGAGGTTCCCTCGACTGATCCCAAGCTCCACCCACACCTACACACAATTATACCACACAGTTCCTCTATATAATATGTACATGGTAAATGTTGACATTATTATAGACGCAGCACACTATGTACTTACAGCGTCGTCCTCGGTAACAAGTGGAGAGCCACTGTCACGAGACGGACTCTGACCTCTGAGAGAGGGAGGAAACAGCAGAATCTGTCACACTGTGTATACCACAGGAAAGGAAGGGTCGAGGTGGGTATCACCTGGTGGCCACATGGTACTTGCGGAGAGTGGAGGGTGTGTCGGGGGAGGGTCTAGGAGGCCAGGAGAGGTCAGGGGTCAAACCCAGCTCTCTCTCCGTCTCGGAGCTGAGGTAGGACTCCAGAGCCTGCTGGCTTGATATGACACCTCCACTCCCTACCATGAGAGAGAGAGAGGGAGAATAGGAAACAGCATGCAAACCCTAATACCATACCCACAGGGGATACAGTCTGTAAAATTTTTTTCTTTTTTTTTCTCTCTAAGATAGGGGAGTGACAAAATTTTGCTTTTGGTTTTTTATCACATTTACAAACTTTCAGGTAAAATTGAGCCCCACTGTAACATACTGGGAGTGTGTGCAGGTGTGGAGTGAGAGCTTTGTGGAGTGTGCGGAGAACGAGGGGTGATGTACGGCGAAGGATGGCGCTGGAAGAAGGAGGGGAGGGAGAGAGAGAAAAGAAGAGACACGAATAACGCAAAAGAAAAGTTTCTCTCCGTACGGAGGGCGTGAGGAGAGCCAGGGGTGAGATCTGGGAGAGGGAAGAGGAGGACAAGGGTTGGGGGAGAGGGACTCCAAAAGGAGTTGGTGTATTGACAGTATCATAACCACTCTCTGCGGAGGAAGATGACAAGAGACGACGCTGGTTGAGGGTAAATGGCTGACTGGGAGATAAACCTGGTCCAGTGCCAACACGCAGGAGTTTCTTCTGAGCTGGGGTGAGCTCCACGTGAGGGCGCGAGAGAGCCACGTGGGAGCAGAAGACACAGTCGTAGAGCCCACTCAGAGCTAGGAGACCCAACACAAGTACTTCTGTTTGGGAGAAATGGTGAGCAGAAGAAAGGTGGAGGTTAAACTAACCGATGTACCACACGACTGCGTCTCTGAGACCACTGTAGTAGCTCAGGAGGTGGAGGTATCTACAGGGGGTGAGTCTGCAGTTGAAAAAAGGCGGCAAAATCTCTTGCTAGGAGACGCGTACAGGTCAAGTAGCAGCGGGAGGGCCAGAAAGAGGCAGGCAGTCCCCCAGCGAGCCACCGAGACGGCTCTGGCCTCCGTGTACCGTCTGTTGAGAGTGGTGCTCACCACGGGGCTCTGCGTGGGGCCCAGACGAAGCCGTCTCTTCATTTCTAGCTCAAGATCACGCACGCGCTCACACATGGACTTCGCGCACTGCGCTAAGCGCAGCCCTAAGGGGTAGTCCCTGCTCATTATCGTCCGTCCGGAGTCGTCAAGTCCGAAAAGGGCAAGCCTCCCTTGCTAAACTGCAGACTCACGCTGTCTTCCCAGGCGGCACCCCCGGGGCGGTGGAGGGAGAGAGATCGATATGGCAGGCCCCATCTTCCAGTACACCAGTCTCTACGTCAAGATCAGCGAAGGAAAGAAGCTGCCTAGCCGCGAAGTGTAAGTGTCTGTGTGTATCCGCTACACCTGCCCTCACGGAGCTAGCTCTAGATCCAAGGAGAGATACTCGATATTCCTTGAGACCTGTATAAGCTAGCTACGAGCCGTAGCAGCTGCGGACAAAGGCAGGCATTGTTCCCCCGCCGTGTTTTCCCTTGTCCGAAATCTGTATGCAAATTTTCTGATTGTTTGTTATTCAGTTGTCATCGTTCGCTCTCCTCCGCCTTCATGAGCTAGCTGGCATAGGTGTGTCCGCGGAATGCGCAACCTCTGGCCCATTAGCTGCCTACCCAGACCCTGCCAGCTCTCACACAAGACTATATATGTAGACCAAGTGCCAGTGGTGGTACAGTATAATACTTGTCCATGCGTTAGTGGGAGCCAGGGCTTGTGGATATGTTGTAGTGTACGTTTCATTGTTTTGATTTGGCCTCTCAGTTCCAGTCATAGAAACCCTTTCTGTGTTCTCAAAGTCGACAATGAAGCCGTCGCAAGGTCAGTTGCCCAGTTGCCCGACGCCCTGCCCCGATTACTGTCTCGAAAATCGATGATGTTTATTTCAGGACTGCCACAGTCTACAGAACTCTGGAGCCGTTCTGGGGAGAGGAGTACACGCTACATGTCCCGAATGAATTCCAGGCCGTCTCGGTTCATGTTTTTGACCATGACCTCATGGGGTACGTCATGTGACACTCACATGATGCCCTAAAACTGAAACACTCGTCAGTAAAGGAGTTCCCTGTTTCAACATTCTCTCGTTGGTCCAATTCTGTAACAGGAGTTTGCATGGCAACGGATTTAGTGTGGGCATCGTCTCTAGGCGTCTGTACACACATGCAATAATCTATCGGTAAACCTGTTGTTTATTCGTTGTGTGTGTGTGTGTGCAGGTCTAAGGAGCCACTAGGGAAGGTAATGCTGGACCGGGAGAGCATCTTAAACTCTCCAAGAGGTAGCTACATAATTATAGCTTTTCCCCTTTTCCCTTCCCTCCACACCACCCCTCCCTCTCTCCCCCACTGAGAGTGTGTTCCGCCTGTCCTCAGGTCTGGACAAGTGGTTCCCACTGACGGCGGCCACCAAACACGACGAGGTCCAGGGAGAAGTGCTGGTGGAGATTATGCTCACAGAGCAGGGAGCCAGTGATGATCACATGAAGGCCCTTGTCACTGTTGTGGAGGCCAGGTATTTAATATACCAATTGTATTTTTCACATGTATGTAGGATGCTATGCAAAAATTGTTCTTTCTCCAAAAAATTTTTTTGATACAACACTGAAAAGTACTAACAGACAGGCAGATTGCAGAGCACGCCAATTCCAGGGCCTTGATAAAGACTTCCCTCCATCTTGTCCAAATGCAGAGACCTAGCGGCAAAGACGGACGGGAAATGTGACCCATTTGCCACTCTCTACTACAACTGACGAGCAGTTCAGTACACCTGTAAGTCACCATACAGTACCTACCTCCACCCCTGGTCCAGTCAGCTAGCCCCTTTTTGCTGCCTCAGGTGATTGCCAAGACAAGGTTCCCCCGGTGGAAAAAGAGTTTCGATATTTCCATCCCTCACCCCATGGTCACCAGGCAGCACAAGACACTCAAAGTCACCATCTACAATTGGGACAAGTTTACTCACAACCACTTTATGGGGCAGGTGAGAGAGGAGAGGGAGGGAGAGATTTCTCTCTTTCTCCTGTTTTTATTCACATCAACTAACAGGCGAACTAACAGTTTTTGTTCTCAAACAGATTGAAATAGATCTGAGTGAGTTGCAGATGGACCAGAGGTACAAGACATGGTACAGACTCCAGCACAGCGACCACCTGAAGGGCAAGGACAAAAAGTGAGCCAGTCCCCCCACAGTCACCTGAGTGTCATGTGACAATCACATGATCCCCAGGAAAGAGCTGGGTTCTCTGAGACTCAAGGTCCAATGTCACGAGGAGAGAATACTGGACACGCAGTTCTACACTCCCTTCGTGGAGTTCATGCTGAACGTGGTGGACGACAAGAGGGTATGTAATAATGGTTCAGAAGGTGTCGGGTTTAAAATTAAGGAGAAAAAACTCCTGATTTGTTAGAAAGAAAAACTTTGCACAACATTTTATTCTCGTTTGTTTGTCTAAAGTTTCGCAGATATTTTCGATAAGCCTGGCTCTGTATTTTGAATGCAGTCTCTCTCTCTTTCTCTCCCAGCCTGAAGGGTGTGCGGTGCTGACGGCCCTGGAGGAGGTGATGACGATGGACAGAAACTCGGTGGCCCACGCCCTGGTGAGGTTCTACTTGGCCCACGGCAGTGTCCTTCCTCTGCTGGATGTCCTCACTCTCAGAGAAATCAACAGCACCAGTGAGAGACACACACTCCCTTCCAGTTTCTGAGATCATTCAGAGTTGGTTAGGAATCACCTGCATTCCTTATGAACATGCATACTTAGAATTGGCTAGTTTTCATTGAGCCTGGCGGAGATAGCTAGATTACACATTGCGCAATGTGAACAAGGCAAACTGCAGTCTTTCACTCTCTCTCCATGCAGGCAAACCTGCCACTCTCTTCAGAGGTAACTCTCTTGCCTCCAAGTCCTTCGACCAGTTCATGAAGGTGTGTGTGTTAACTGTAACAAGGGGGAGCCCCCATACCTTGTTTGCTATGATGTCATGAGTTATGTTCTGTTCCGTTTTACAAGGTGACATGTGTTTTCATGTAAAATTCATGTAATACATTTTTATAATAACCAGTGTAGTTGATATTTTTCTCTCCTCTCTCTCTCTCTATCGCTGTATTGCTTTCTCTCTCTCCTCTCTCTCTCTCTCTCCAGATTGTGGCCTTGCCATATCTCCATGCAACAATCGCGCCAGTCATCGATGCCATATATACTGAGAAGAAACTATGTGAGCTGGACACAGAGCAACTCCGTCAGAGCAACAAGTGAGCTCTCTGATCAGTTCACCCCTGTAATTGGCCAGCGAAATGTGACTACTTAGTCTGCAATATTCTCTCTCTTCGACGAAATTGAAATTTTGCCATCGGCAATGGTGTATGTTGCGTGTGTGTTGCCAAAATGCTCATTCTGGTGATGAATTTCTCTGTCATCAGGTCCTCGGCAGGGAAGGTGGTGGAGTCCTCGGTGGCCCTCCTGGGGGAGTACACCAAGCTAATGATGGACTCTGTCTTCTCCAGTGTCGACCAGTGCCCCGGACTGCTGCGCATGGCTCTCAGGCAGCTGTGGGCCCGAGTGGCCGAGCGGTTTACTGGAGCTGAGCACGCCGTGAGAAATTATTTCTCTAAAAACACTTGTCTTCTTCTCCCCCTCTCTCTCTCTTGTTACTTCTCTCTTGCTTCTCTCTCTTTCTCTCACATTTTACCATCTTACTGTATACCAGGGATATTTCTGAGTGATAAGTCAATTTTGTGAAAATCTCGCAGAATGTTCCGTATCTGGCGGTGTCTGGGTTTCTGTTCCTGAGGTTCTTTGTCCCCGCCGTCTTGTCCCCCAAACTGTTTGCCCTCAGAGAGGAGCACCCTGACCAGCGCACAGAGCGGACTCTCAAACTACTGGCTAAGGTCTGTGTCTCTCTCTACTGGCTAAGGTCTGTGTCTCTCTCTCAAACTACTGGCTAAGGTCTGTCTCTCTCTCTCTCTTTCTCAGTCCTCCATACTCTCTGTACATGTGCTCATGTTCCCTAGCATTGTACTACAGTTCCAAAAAGACTCTAAATAAAGCACACCTCTATAAGGGACACCCCCATACTAATACATTAGTGTATTATACTACCTCGAGTAAAGGATGTCTCTGAGAAAATCTCAATGTCCCCAAATTGTTCCTTATTCGGGGTTTCACTGTCTTGATTTTGCAACATTATGAAAGCTGGTCTATGGCTGTGTGTATGTGCAGGTGATGCAGAATGCCAGTAATCTCCAGGAAGAAGATGGAGGCAAAGGAGCCGTTTCAATGCACCCCATGAACTGCGTGATGCCTGAGAGCGTGGCTCGCGTCAAGACCTTCATCCAAAGCCTCGTCCAGATTGACCAGAAAGAAGGTGGGTGTGTCCGGTCACATGACACGGCTGTGATGTCACGTGAGTGACATTGCCGTGGTGTTGTGGCACAGTGTCGGCAGAGCGAGGGGTGAAGGACGGTGGTTACATCCATCACCTCATCCTGTGTAAGGGATTTCTGTGGAAGAGGAACACGTCTACGGCCAGTGGAGGAAGTCTTCAGTATCGGAAGAGATACTTCGAACTCAGCAACATCGCACTCACCTATAGTCAGAACGAGAAACAAGTTGGAGTGAGTTACCAGTGGCTAACTATATACAAGAATTGTCTAATTTTTGTTAAGTGTAGAGCATTTTGTCACTAGACAGCCTCAATACATCTGGGAACCTTAATCTTGTACATGTAGGTATGCCAATGAGATTCCTAGTCTCTCATGACGTTTAGCATATATAGAAATTTGCAATGCATGTTGCAAACAAGTGAATATATTTCAATTTGTCCCCAAAGAGTCCCCATATTCAGTGTATCCTCTGCTACAAGAATAAGCCCTCTCTGTTGTCTGTCTGTCGGTCCTGCTCATTAGGATGTGAAGAGCTACCCGGTGCAGTGGATCAAGGTCACTGAGAAGATGGACGAGGGAGCATTCCATCGCAAACACATGCTCCAAGTCGTCATAGTACCGACCCCTGGCATGCCTAACGCGCCTCCCCAGACAGCCCTCCACCTTCAGGCCTCTGTTAGTCTCTCTCTCATTTCCTTCCCTCCATTCACCCTCCATAATAGGATGTGAATGAGCAGAATCGCTGGGTGTCTGCCATCCGCAAGGCCTGTCTCACCAATAGAGACATGATCCCTGTCTACCACCCAGGGGCCTTCAAGAACGGCAAGTGGACATGCTGCAGAACTCCTGCCAGCCAAGGTATGTAATGTTGCTATTGCTCAATACTCCCTATTATATCTACTGTTTTAGAGCAACACCCACACCAGTTGATTGCATTCGTCAAACACAAAAAGCTTACAAAATCCATGTGCGTGCTCTACATATTATCTGCCCTAGCTAATGCCATTCTCCCCATGAGTAAAGAGTCTGGCTATATCTGCCCTACTAATGAATGCCATTCTCCCCTCCCATATATAGAGCCAGGGTGCAGTCAGTGCCACAGAGGGATCACGATGGGAGACTGGCGAGATCCCCTGGACCCTGACCTCGATGCTCAGATCCTCTTCTCACAGTTCCTCAAAGGTCGACAGAGTCTGATCAAGAAATACTCGCCAGGTCAGCCGGCCAGCCTCACTCAATGCAGGGGGTGTGCCCAGTGGCAAACAGCTGCGACTGAAGCGTATCTCATGACACAAACCCAGTTCCATATTGTGCACGATGTATGTTTCATGGGGAAAAGAAGTCTATTTAGGAAAAAGGTTTATGCAATGACTTTTGTGGCACTGGTGAACCAGAATAGATGCGAGTAGCGTATGTTTAACTGTATTTACTTTCGTTCCTGCCCCTCTCCCCTCCGACACAGACGATGGGAGTGGCTCCTCCACGCGAGGCTCCTCCTCTTCCCCCACCCCCTCCTCCGGAGCCACGAGTCTCGGACACGACGATGAATTGGGCGGAGCTTCAGCTGCCGCGGGGGATGGAGGCGTGGGGGACAAGCAATGCCGCGACCTTCTTGGACTGGTTGACGAGCTAAAGTGGTACCACGAACAGTGCAGCAGTTCAGCCTAATCTCATGAATTATTCATAGAATGGAGACTGGTGGTTTTATATTGTCACAATCATCTCATTGTTTGTTTATGTGTACAGACGCACACACTAACACAAGACGAGTGAGTTAGCCTCTTATGTACATGTATGACCATATGTTATGTAATACTGTGTGTATTGCTGTATGTTTGTATCATAGACTCATTTTTACCCTCGGCGCGCATGCGCAGTGAGGGTACTGTAGTTGGGTGTGTCTGTGTGTGTCTGTTACTCTCAATCTCACTTCTCGGGTGTCTGTTCGTCCCAGAAATGATACCATCTACCCAACGGGCGACGAGGGTCAGAAAATATGTGGGGTTTTCTCTGAAAATGATCCGTTGCAGAGCTAGAGCGCTTCCAGCATTGTATGGCTAATGCCGGTAGTCGCCATTTTATCGCTGGCGGATAATGCGCATGCGCTTATATTTAGCACAGGCACCTCGACCGGGTCCGCTTGCTCTGTCTATCTTGAAGGCACAAGAAGTCACAACGAATGGCGTGTATCGACTCTCGCGTGCTATCTACTACTGTAGCTAGCCCGCGTCAGACTCTCTGCGAGCTACTTCGCCGAGGGTTTGCACTTTAGTGCTTTTAATTTTACACTGTTCCCATTCAAGTAATGGTGGTGGTCTGATGGATAAGCACCCCCTCTCTTGATCGTGAGGTCCTGGTTCGATCCCGGGTGTGTACGCCTTTTTTACAATGATGTAATAGGAGTGTTGGCTGTTGGTAAGTATAACTGGAACGTTTTTTCATCACCTCTCCAGGCCAGCCTGAGTGGCTAGGTGGTTAGAGTCGTGGGGACTGACACCATAGGTGCCGGGTTCGTATCCCGATCCCGCACTAAAGTGTCAGGTGGTCCAGAGCATTGGCTGGGAACAGCTCTGGTTCCTCCCCTTACCCACAAATCTACCACTGACCCACGTTTCTCAAAGGGCAGCGTATAGTTCGGCATAGCACTGTGTCCGTAGACGTCTGTCTGGAGAGATGAAGGGCTGGCCGTTTTTTTACTTTTTTTCAACCTTAGGTTGTTTTTTTTGGTTTTTTTTGTTTGCACTAAACAATCCATGGGTAATACGAAGATTAATAGAGAGATGAAAGGTTGGCAATTTTTCAACCTTATATATTTTTTGGGCTCAAACAACCTATTGACACTCTGACCCTTTCAATTATTGTGTGTAGGATGTGATTGCAACAAGAAACAGAACTGCAGAAACGTTTTACTGATGACGTCACTGGGTGTCTCTGGTGGAAGTGGCTGCTTGCACAAGAGCCCTGTGATAGAGAGGGATATATTGTGAGATTCAATGTTTGATACACCAATTGCAAATCTGTGAGAAATACAGACGTACATGTAGTCAATGGTACTGGTCTCTTCCGTTGCCTCCGTCTTGCCAAATTCCTTGATCAGTTTTTGTCTTTCGAAACCCAGCAATGGTGCCTGAATGTGCTGCAGCGGTGTGCATGAGGTGTGGGGAAATTGTCTCCATTTAATTCTCAGTATACAGCTATAGTATATTCCTGACTTAACATTCTACAGTCGGTTGGACCATTGGAAATTATAGGGTGTTCTCATGGCAGTAGAGGAAAGGCAAAGCAAAAACTTGTCAAATTTCCAGGCCTGGAGACTGTAAATCTAGCCTTAGCCGCACAAACTAATGCTGGTCTCCCATGTTCCGTCTTGTGACCACTATTTTGACATCTTCGCACCAAGAGACACTGACATATAGCACAGAATATTATGGTTATAAGAGAACTACCTTTAGGGAGCTCTTGAACATCTCCCCAGAGAGCTGTCCGGTCTCCTCCTTGTCAAACGACCTGAACAGGTCCTCCAGAACCAGAGAATGCTCCTCCGCATACTTCACCAGTTTTTCCAGTGGCGGAGTGAGAGGCTTGGTCTTGCTGTAGCCGCCAGTACCTCCGTAGATCACCGTCAGGTCAGGTCTCTTCTCCTCCATCTCGATCACCTTGTCGGCCATCGCGAGAGTGAACGTATATCCTGACAGGTCCAGGAGAGTGAGGGAAGAAGAGGAGGCAGCTTCGAGGAGGCTTGCCACATCTCCCACTGGTTGAGTGCTCTCGGGATAAACCTTCTGCATCGAGTTCTTTCCCATCTGGTGAGGAAGATGATGGGTGTACAGAGAGAGTGAGTAAGGTGTATGTAATGAGGATAAGAAGAAAGCTCACCCTAAGAACCTTCAGTGTCTCACAGACTGGAAGGACTTTGGTTGCAAAGAGACTGGCAGTAGCTTGTAAAAACCTGTTTGCACTGCAGGTACATAAAAGATGATTTTCTCAATGAGAGATGCAGGGAGTCATGTGAGGCTCACCTGATGTCTAATTCAGAGAGAGTTGTGTTGATCTTGAGAGCCTCAACCAGAGCAGTTGCTCCCTCATCCCCCAGTCCGTTGTGAGAGAGATTCAATACCTTCAGCATCTGGTTCACCTGCAGTCAAACACATCCAGTGCAAAGCATGTGAGCAGAATAAAGAGACAGAGCTTGAGAACTTCAGGGTCTTAGACCTCCACACGATAAAAAGACATGACAACAGTATTATTCATATCTGGTGCTATATATGCTTCTTGGACCAGGTTGACGTCTATGTTGTGATGAATAGACCACCTTGAGTCCGTTGGCCAGAGCTACTGCTCCCTTTCTGCGTATGTTGTTCCAACTGAGGTTTAGTGTCTGCAGCACTTCACTCTCACCTTCAGAGACAGAGAGATAAGTTAGTTAGTGAGATCGAGTGAGAGAGGGGGGTGTGTCCACTGACTGAGTGCCTCCCCCAAGAGAACCCCTGCAGCCTCTCCAAACTGGTTGTGGCTGAGGTCAAGGTACGAGATCTGGTAACTGGTCTGTGGGAGAGTCCAGGGAGAGAAAGGAGGCAACGGTAGAGACAGTCTAGTTGCCCACAATTACTACTGACCTTGATCACTTCACTGATGGGCTCCGCTGCCTTATCATTGAAGTCACTTCCTACATGGTCAGTCAGATTGCAGGGGGAAAATTGATCTACACTCACAAAGACTAGACCTACCTCTGAGAGAGAGATGAGTCAGTGTGTTGTTAGATTCCAACATGCCAGCCACTGCCAGAGCCCCTGCAGCTTCTATCTGGTTGTCTGACAGATCCTGTAGTTAAAACACACACACACTCTCTCTCTCTCTCCCCTCTCTCGTCGTGTACCAGGTGGGTAATGTAGCAGTTTTCCTTGAACATGGTGGTAATGGCCACAGCTCCCTCAGTCCCCAATCCACAGTCACTCAGATCAAGGTGCGTCACACAAGTGTTAGACTGCATCAAAGAAATCAGCATCGTGTCTAAAGACTAGAACATTCTAAATGTTGGCAGTGACAGCTGTGAGTATGTCCAATAATGTTTAATGTCAATGACAAACTATTTTGTAATGAACTATCAATGGTTGAAGCAGTTGGTGTGTGCTCACAGCAAGTGCAGCAGACACGGCCTTGGCTCCCTTGGGCCCCAGCCCGTGGTGCCGCAGACTGACGCTGGTCACGTTGTTCTGGAGATCCCTCAGTAGATGAGACACAGGAATGATACCCAGGATCTCGCAACATTTGCGGTACGCAGCGCCCCCGGTAGCATCGTACTCTTCCTTCTCATCTGCAGGTTATGATACGTTGGTTGTGTTGTGTGTTTACTCTTGGTGCAACGGACCATCATACCCATACAAGTTGCATCTTCTATCATTGCAGGGAGATGCGTATTGACCTTCTGTGTCAATGTCGGTGTCCCACGCGCCGTCCGAGCCGTCAGACAAGTTGTCCGCGAGGTGTTCTCCCTCACCGCGACCCGTGCTGGTCCCAGCGGCCAGCTCCGAGCCGAATCCGGACCCGCAGCTGAGGTCTCCATTATCTTCCTCTCCGGCTCCCTCGAGATCGTCTCCAGAAAGCGCCCCCTCCAGCTACGAAAGAAACGGCAGGCGTAAAGTTTCAAGACCCACTCGAAGGTCTACTCGTTCTCTCACCAGAGGCTCGCTGGTCTGCGACTCCAGCGGTAGGTCTTCCGTCAACCCGGCCTCGCCGTCCGCCATCTTGTTTAACGGTTACCATAGCAATAACGAGCCGTTGCCGTGACACCGTAGTAAACGTAAGTCCAAATAGAGCGCACCACCAGAGGAAACAAGACGAAAATTCGTTGGTATGGCCACTGGAGACAACAGCAGAGGAGGGGGAGGTCCAGGATTGGACGATTATTTCAAGACCACCTTAGAAGACAAACTGCTGGCGTAAGTCTTGAGTCTCAAGATTTCTAGCTACAGCTAGACTCTGACACGTTACTGCAGGAACATGCCGGAGCAGCCGTCTGACGCGCTGACTCCGGCGACTCGCCTGCTGGAGAAGAAGCGGGAGATGGCGGCCGTGGAAGCCGCGCTCGGCGCCAAGAAAGAGGATTTCCAGTTGAAGATGGAGACGCTTCAGCAGCGGCGAGACGACCTGGAGCTGAAAGAGCGGAGCCTCAAGGAACAGCTGCTCAAATTCGAGAAGTTTCTGAAGGTGAGGGGAATTCGTAGAATGTAGCGTTAGTGTGGCAGCTGATGTCTGTGTCACAGGAGAATGATTTGAAGAGGGCTCGGGCGTTGAAAAAGACGGAGAGGGAGAGGGAAGTGTGTCGGGATAAGGATGCGGAGATTGAGAGACTGAGAGAAGAGATCCGCGAGCAGACCGAGATTTCCGACAGCCAGAAGAGGGCGATAGAGAAACTGTCGGTGTTCAGGAAGTTTATGGGCGACGTTCAGGAACAATCGGATAGTGAAGTAAGGCCATAAACTGATCCAGTTGAGATTTCACACACCTTCTCTAAAAGTTAAGTCTGCACCATAAGTTAATGGCCTCATAATGTCCACGCAGTTTGATGAAGTGAGAGAGATCATTGGTCGATACGACACACTCAGTCAGACGAGAGAGGTCAGCCAAACCTTTACTCACAGCTCAAATCAACCCATCTTCTTATGCCTAACTTAGCTATATACGTTGAATATATGAACTAGGATTTGATGGAGAGGGAGCAGAGAAATCAAGACGCCATAGAGGAGGAGAGAACAGCTCTAATGAAACTAAAAGAGGTAGACACACGAAAATGCCCACCATTTTAAATTTCACTCCCTCTATCTTTCGTTCTAGGAGAAGAACAATGAGATCCTGGGCTACAACAACGAAGTAAGTAATGGGACGTCCACTGAGAGAAGGAGTTAATGTTGTGTTGTTTTTGGTATATAGTTGGCTCGTCTGCAGACGAGGCTGGAGGAGGCCCAGAGCAATGCCGTCAAATGGTAATGTTCCATCAGAATGTATCCCTTCACCAACACTCTCTCAAAACATGTGTAACGTCACTTAGCATACTGCCAGAGTAACATGTTCCATTGATCTATGCAGGGACTCTGAGTGGACGCGAATCCAGACGACGGCGGCCAAGAAGACGCTGGTCCTGGGACAGCTGAAGATTGCCACCCACAACCTCTTCCTCCTAATGTGCAAACACCTGCAGAAGAAGATCCCTCCCCACGAGCACGAGGACACTCTCAGACAGCTCGATAAGGTGGGTCCCCACCTCTTTGCTGTTAGGTGCATATAGGCAGCTTTCTTGGGCCTAGCTCCCCCACACAGTGGTGACCAATGGGACAGAATCAAGTAATGAAGTGTCCTTATTTCAGGGGGTTAGAGGAGTCGTGCAAGAAACTATTGTTTTGGATAGAAAGGTTGCCTTAGAGGGTTCAAAAGGTCAATGGCTCCTCCGTACAGTTGCAGACATTCATAAAAGACTTGACGGAGATCACAAACGACATCAAGAGAAAAGAGTCAGCAGCCATTCCCAATGCCCAGCTGCTCGCACCTGTCAACCTTTGACCTCCGCTCCCTCTCCGTTCTCACCGAACATCTACCAACGTTACTCACGTGATGACTTGTACAATGTAGCAAGGCAAAAAGGTTTTTAAAATGTGTACACAAAAACACACACACACACACACACACAAAGGAGCTGTACAATATTTACACAGGGTGTTGTTGTATATATTATGGTGTGGAATAATTAGAGAAAGGCCCCTCATAAGAAATACTCTGGTACTGGTTTCTTTGTTGGTTCGCCCCTCACCTCCTGACAACAGACAGACAAAGAAATGATGGCAAGTTACGTAACGTTCCATTGTACAGGGAGCACTAATACTTACAATTGGGGCTGCTTCAAACATGGTATAACTTCTACTGAGGTTTTCGTCAAGTTCGAAAATGGCAGCCACGTTGCCACACCTGATGGAGAATAGGGGAGAGAGAAGAGAGAGCGAGGGGAGAATGAAAAAGGTTTTAACCCTCTACTCACTGTATTTACCTGTAGCAGTAGTTGGGGGCAGACCACACGGTGAGAACCGTTTCCGAAAAGTGCCACTTGTAGCCTTCCATCACCAGCTGGTGAGCTCGACAGATCATCTTTATGTTGTTGGTCGCGTTGAACTACAGCAACAGTCAGTCATTCACACAGATACATCACTGTTTCTCGTCACCAATACTTCCCCAATTACAGAGTTATGGTGTATTATATAGCTCCGTACCTGTGCCACTACCTCACTGCCAAATAGAAACCCAGCCCCTCTCGGACTCACTCCCCAGTCATCAATGTCTGCATGTACATACGTAGATGAATAGATACTATTAGTAGGCTGAATGGGAACGATGGGAGGGAGGGAGGGGGTGAATGAAGGAGAGCACTCACCTTCAGGATCAGACCAGAGGAGATCACACATTGGCCCGTCGTGTGGGACTCTTGTTTCCTATCAATGGAGCGGATCTAAAAGGGACGAGAGAGAGAGAGAGAGAAGAGAGAGAGGGAGGGAGAAATAGCACACATGTCTACTCTCCACAACACACACACAAAAACATCTGAGAGTGCTAACGAAGAGAGGGTTTTGTTTTGGCTGCAGAGAGGGAGAGCGTGCCAAGAACAGAGATTATAAGCCGACATAATTTACCAGCCAGCCCATCGTGCCAGCAATGCTAGTAGAATTCAGTCGGGAGCTCATTAGTACAGAGAGAAATACCACACAGGCAAACAGACCTGGTCCAGTGTTGTGATGGAAGGTGAGAGACCTCCGTGAACACAGAATATCTGCAGTTACACACAGAGAGACAGGAGAGAGTCCAGTGGGGGAGGTAGGGGAGCGAGCTAACCTGGTTGTCAATGATGGCCGACAGACTGAGGTAGTCAAAGATCTCTGTGCAGTAGCGCCACACGTTGACTGAGCCATATTTCCTCCTACACTCGTCGTAGAACCCATACACCTGGAAGCAGGGAGGGTTTGGGACGGGAAGAAGGGAGGGAGGGAGGGAGGGTTTGGGACGGGAAGAAGGGAGGGAGGGAGGGAGAGGTAGGAAATGGCAATATGTGGAGACTCATTCAAATGAGCTCCGTGCTAACCTGAGTCAATGTACTGACCTGCGTGATCTGCCGACTTTCGTGGTTGCCTCGTATCAGAGTTATTCTGTCCGGATATCGCACCTGACCAGACACAGAGAGAGAGAGAGAGAGAGACAACGGAAGAACCAGAGTATGCAAGTGTGTCATAGACGTGTGTGTGTGTGTGTGAGCGTGTGAGTGAAATGTCAAACACACCTTGAGGGCCAGGAGTAGAAGAAAGGTCTCCACGCTGTAGAATCCTCGGTCAACAAAGTCGCCCAGAAAGAGGTAGTTTGTGTCAGGCACATCCCCTCCCACCTGCAGGGACACACACACACGTTGATGAAGAGAGTAAGACCCTGTAATGATAGCTGTGATTAGCTTGCCTTGAAGAGTTCCTTCAAGTCATAGAACTGACCGTGAATATCGCCACACACCTAGCGAGGAGGAGGAAAAAGGAGGAAAAATTGGGAAACAGTGGAACCACAGGGGATACCCCCGCAATCTCTCCACAAGAACAGTTTCCTGCATGCAATTGACCCTGAAACAAGGACACCTCACAAATATGGGCACTTTATTCTCTCCCATTAGTGTCAGGATTAGAGGAGTTGAACTGGGTTCCACTGTAGTAGTGTATCCACAGACTCACAGTCACTGGTGGGTCCACTCTTTGTACATTACTCTCCTCTATTAGAATCTCCCTAGAGAGAGAGAGGAAGATGGAAGATTGAGACAGATGAAAAGCTCTCACTCACCTAGCTTTGGCACAGAGGGCCTTTACCTCCGACTCCTTTATGATCTCACAGCGACGAAGCTGCTCAATTTGCCTAGTGGTAAGAACACAACAGTTCACAAATATCATATACCAGCTTAGGCTCTTCAGTATTATACCACCGGACTCGGCATGAAACACTCACCTGTCCAAGTCTGAAAAGTCCGACATTTCCAAGGGCGGCGAATCCTTCGAGGAAAGAGAGATGTTTCCATTTAATGCCCACCCAAGCTATTTCGTCATCCACTTCGCGCTCTCTCCGCGGATCTTACTGTAGCTACGAGTCAGAGAGCGCCACAAAAATGTCTCACCTTGTATCTTACAGTCGAGCCTTCTTTTACTTGTGAACGAGGAATCGAATCTTTCTCTGGGCAAGTCCACGCGTCCAAACACACCGCGCCTCCTTTTCCGTGTGTGTTTTGGTCGCGGAGACCAGGCCCCGCCCACCGCCCATGCGCACTGTGTGTCGTGCTAGCTAGAGGCGGTGTCATGTCGATCCTGGGCCTGGGCAAGGTTTGCTGGCTGCCAGGCCAAATCTACCACCGTGGACTCGCCGTTCCCTGCCATACTTAGCAAGAGACCATGGAATTAGGTAAGGTTTATGCCCAGGGTAATTCAATACTTTTGTGTAGCGGCTTTTGTCGTGGGTTGCGTGCCAAACGCTGCAGAGAGCTGCGTTCGTGTGTGGTTGGAGCGACGGACAGTTTGCGGATGTGCTGCGTCCGAGGCCGTGTTACTGTGACATAGCTAGCTATTTATGCCAACTATTCCGCCGAATTTACTGGCTTCCGCGTAGTACCTGGCGAGTCTTAGCGAGCGAGGGACGTACTATTTCCCTCGCGTGTAGCTAGCTATAGCGGTCTCTCCATCACGGGAGTGTAGAGTTTCGACTATTCCGTGTGGCGAATTAGTACTGGAATTGTGATCAGTGTAGGCAGTGGATCTGTGTGTGGCGTCTCCTTGCCAACTATCAACTGTGGACTCCTCCATTTTACCCCCTTCTTCCTCCCTCTCTCCTTTGTCTACCTCATCCTCACCTCCTCCCCTCCCTCCTCGAACACCTGCCGTCCCTCCTCCCCGCCCACCTCCCCGCACCCCTCCATCGTCCCCCTCGTTATCGCCCCTGACGATGATAAACCCACCAGACGAACTCCTCGCTGATCTCCAGTCGGCTCTCCCTCCCGACGTGGAGCCTTCCTCCCCGTACCCGCCTCTCTCCAATGGCAGCGGGTTCGGATCTCATAATCACAGAGAGCAGCACACGTATGAGTCGGCAGACCCCGAGGAGGAGGCGGGGTTTGTGGCCAGCTACGAGATGCCGCACTCCTCTGCGGAGAGATCTGTCAGCCCTGAGGTCAGTTGAGGGGTGGAGGAAAAGAGAGAAGGAAGAGGAGAGAGAAGGAAGGAGAGAGGATAGGAAGAGAAAAGGGGGGAAGGTAGGAGAGAGGTAGAGAGACGTTTGGTAAACAGAGCTGATGAAGTTGGGAATGTTATTTGAGGGGGGTAGGGTGTGTGTTTGGGTTTGCCTGAAACAAACAATCAGTTTCAACCAGGCTGCTGCACATTCAGTCTTCCATATTCAGTCTTCCATGATCACCATAAGAAACAGCCTATAGCGTTGTTCAGTCTTCAATGTATCATTCTGCCCAGCCTTTTCATGTAGTGTTCTATTGTGGCACGTATTATTTTGTCTTGAATGAGTGCTGAATTGACAAATGAATGTTCTCTGGGTGTGCATGGGAAAGAGAAACTAGCCGGCACCTCTACTAGTGTTTCCTTTTGTCCACCATTGACACACACACACACACACACAGACACACACACTCTGTATGTAGCTAAAGGGAACCTGGAGTGAGCCTTTACAACCTTTACAACCTTTTCAACCTCTCAAAAGGAAACCGTACTCTAGTATTTAGGGTCCAGATATGGAGGGGTCCCCCTATAGTAGTACTAATGAGAGTGACTGTAGAAAGCAGTAGCTATAGAGCTGCGGTAGGTGCTGTGGTTAGGAGGATGAGGTAAGTAAGAAGTGAGCCAAGGAGTGGAGGATTTTGGCTGCCGGCTGCCTGTGGCTGTCACCCTCATTGACCCACAATGCCAGCGACATAATTAACCTGGTGTAGCGAGGAATGTTCATATTTGGAGCTGGCCCGGGGAAGGGGGAGTGTGGAGAGATGGGGGAGGGAGAGACTTCCCGCCCAGAAAATATGACACAGTCTGTCTGGATACACGTTCATGTGCTAACGATGGCAAAGTTACTGGGGGAAAACACAGCTAGTTGGGCAATATTTTAACCTCCCTCCCTCTCACCCAGTCTCAGCCAGGAGAAGAAGAGATCCAGTACAGTGAGGTGAGGAAGGGACCTCGCTACGTCCCCAAGAGCCGCTCTGAGTCCCGCTCCCCACCCCCCCACGGAGTCATCTCCCCACCCCCCAAGGTCCCCCGCAGTCCGGGGGGCATCTCCGAACTGGACTCCCTCCTGGAGATGTTGAATGAGACGCAGATCAACAGCAAAGGTCCGCTCATGAATTATTCATCACTAGTTGTTAGCTCATAATTAACTAGAGTTTGTCAGCTCATGAATTATTCATCACTGGTTCTATTACTGAGTTTAACCCCATTGGAACATGCCATTTAACCCCATTCCAATGGTGGTTTCTAACCTCACAGGCACTTCTATTTTTAACTGAGGTTTTTAACCCCATTGGGACTAAACCATTTAACCCTCTCATAGCGAGCTTATGTGGAATGTTAGTGTTACCTTATATGGAGTGGTTCGTAAAACCCCATAGCACCGAGGAATTTGAACTACGTGGTATTGTATTCTCTCTGCGTGCCGTGATGATGTCATAGAAGTGATGCGATATTGTTAGAGTACACAAGTCTTGTTGTCAGTCTTGTTGTGAACATAATATTGCTATTGAACACCTACCTATATACCTATGTATGTATGTATATATAGCTCCTACATACCTATGTATGTAGCTCCCACCTACATACCTACGTATGTATGTAGCTCCTATAGTACACATGTATATACCTACATAGTATTATAGTACATGTCAGTATGTCCGCTGTACTCTGATTTCATATCCTATGTACTGGAATACTGTCGCCCTCACTTCCCGTGAATCATTACTCTTACACCTCGCTGCTGGTGGTCAATAGGTGGACGGCCACACTGTATGTACACATGTAGTATGAAGTATGGAGTGAACCTGTGAGAGGAATGTGAGACTAATTGAGGCTGGATTTCGAGTAACAGGCCTGTTTCCTGTTTCAGCTTCCTGTCTGTGGTCCTCCATAAAAGCCCCTGTCTCCCGGTAATACAGGCAGTTCGTGACCTCTCCATTGTTAGCTCTGCCAGTGGCCCCCCTGGTGACTGTGTGTGAGAGTCTTGCTGGGAGCTATAGAGGCTTCATATCGACAGCCTCTGACCGCCTGTAGTACTAATGCCAGTTCTATAGAGAGAGTCTCAGTTGTGTGAGAGAGAGTCTACTTTGCTTGCTGCCTAAAGTGAAGAGGTTGGAACTACAGTACTTTGCTTGCTGCCTAAAGTGAAGAGGTTGGAGCTATATTACTTTGCTTGCTGCCTAAAGTGAAGAGGTTGGAACTCCAGTACTTTGCTTGCTGCCTAAAGTGAAGAGGTTCGAACTCCAGTACTTTGCTTGCTGCCTAAAGTGAAGAGGTTGGAACTACAGTACTTTGGTTGCTACTGGTACTTTGGTTGCTGCTGAGGCCCCTGGAGGTAACTACTGAAGCTGAGGAGTCCAGATCTCAGTGTTGAATTTGACAGAGTTCTGACGTACAGTAATCAGTGAGGTTCAACAGTGAGACTTGTTGAGGAGTTCTTTCCCTGCCTCTGGCTGTCTTCCCAGTGCAGTGGGACACCACTGGCTCTTTCAGGACAGCTTCTCTGTGAGCCTTTTCAGGTTCAGGACAGCTTCTTTCAGGACAGCTTCTTTCAGGACAGCTTCTTTCAGGACAACACTGAGCCTTTTCAGGACAGCTTCTCTGTGAGCCTTTTCAGGACAGCTTCTTTCAGGACAGCTTCTCTGTGAGCCTTTTCAGGACAGCTTCTCTCTGAGCCTTTTCAGGACAGCTTCTTTCAAGAGACCTCCTTCCAGGGCAACTCAATCTTCCTGTAATCTGTAGCAGGAAGAAGATGACCACACACTACAGTTCTTCAACGCAACCTCGGCGGACGTCAGGTCGTACCCACCCTCCCCTCCCTCCTCTCTCCACCCTCCCTCGCTCCTTCTCAAGCTCCCTGGACAACCACGGACCCCCCAGTCCGAAATCTCACACGATGGCCCCCCGAGGCCGCCGGCCCCACTACAGCACGTCGACAGCTCCCGCCTACCGGATCTCCCAAAATGGAGAGCTCACGCTAACCAAGAGAATCCTCTCCACCGCAGGTCAAACAGGGAGCACACAGGACTTGCGTGTGCTGCTCAGCGATGCTCTGGCACTCACAGAGAAACTGGATTCAGTGACGGCATCAGTTGGAAGTCGACCCACTAGCTCGACAAGCACAAGGCTCTCTGCTAGCTCAGTCTTCCTCAACAGTCCTGTGGCAAAGAGCCCTCGGAGCCCTGTGGTCAAAAGCCCGCGGAGCCCTGTGGTACGGAGTCCCGGTGCTTATTCTGAGACCCGTTCCATGTTCCGAGCCCGGAGTCTCGGGAATGGGCTCGACGATGTGGGTATTACGTCGCCTGAGCATCACTACGAGACTTCGGCCACTTTCTCTCCAGCAAGAGCTGCTTCGACCACTCCTGTGAGGAAGTCCCAGCTCGTTCAAAACGGGCACACGTCCCCTCCTCTGGCATCGGGGACCCTCCCTCACCTTCGCAGGGGGTCTCCCCTCCTTAACGACGCTCGTAACAGCGACTACGACACACCAAAAGCTGCGCACACCTCCCGCCAGTTATCGCAGAAGAGCTTAATGTCACAGAAGAGCGTAACTTCAATATCATCGCAAATGAGCACAGGATCAGCTGCTCCACATAAGTCGACTATATACTCCAACGGACATCATAACGAAGGGGCAAAGGAGCCCGCGGGGAAGGTTAAGAAATCTGACAGCGTCGACATTGGTCTTGATTGTATCGCTCAACTTGAGGCGTTGGAGATGGAGCTACGCAGCTATGAGCCGGCACAGGGCCCTCCGAGCAGCCAGGAGGAGAGAGGAGAGGTGGGGAGCAGCAATGTGGAGATAGAGAGCCACTATGAGGTGGACCCTCACTACATACCCACACCAAGTCAGTGGAGGGAGACTGGGAGAGGGTTATTCTTCTAGTGTGTGGAGAGTAAATGGGTAGATAGATGTTAAAAATAAATGTCTGCCCTTATTAATAATTATAAAACAGAAGGCGTTGGGATTTGCAAATTTTTAAGGATCAACATATGTCGCACTCTGCCAATTTTTAAGAGTCAAGTATGCCCCTTGTTGACGTTTCTAGGAAAACCTGTGTGTGGTGTGTGTGTAAATTCCGATGGTGTGTGTGTGTGTGTGTGTGTGTGTGTACTTGTTGTAGTATGGAGGTGTTGTATGGTGGTGTGTGGATGGAAGAGAGAAACTTGTCCACAGTTGAATTATCAGCTGCCTTTTCCCTCTATAATACTCTGAGATTGATAACATCTCTTTCACTCCACAAAACACACACGGCCTCAGTTGTTGACACAGTGCCCCAGGAATGAAATACCCAACTCCCTACTATAGCAGCGAGATTATCCAGGACCATGCCCTTGTGGGTTGGGCTATAGCTGACTGAATGGAAGCAGTTGTTAGTAGTGCAGGTTAGAGTTGTTTGTTCATCTGTCTCTTCTCCTACTCCCTGTTTGTTCGGTCTTCCTCTTTGGGCACGCTCTCCACTGCTTGCACTGTGGTCTGTGGGTGGAGGGAGACAAGAAACGAGGTCAGTGATGCTGCGATCTGATGCCCAAACAGTCTGTTTTGCTGTAGGCACAGTGCAGAGACGAGGAGAGATTTTATGACAAATTGGCCATGGGTGCGCGCGCGCGCGCGACACGGAGCGAGCGGGAATCAGCGCGCGCGCGGGCGCAGAGGGATGAAAACAACGAGAGGCGAGAGGCAAACGAGCGCGCGGGCGCGATGGCGCAACACAGAGAGAGAGGGCGAGCGAGGAAACTACGGGGAGAGCGAAGAGCAGAGAGGGAACGAGAGAGAGCGCGAGCGAGCTGGCGCGAGCGCGCGCGCGTGGAGCTAAAAAGAGAGAGCGACCACCGATCGAGAGCGGCCCTGCTCGCTTTGCGCGCTTTGCTCGCGCGCGTCGTCGTAGCGCGTCTCTCTCTCGCGTCTATCTTTCTGGTCGGTATATCTACTCTTTCTCTCTTACGTGTACACACACACACACACACTCACTTTCTCTCCTTCTCTTCCTCTCGCTGATTCTCTAGCCCCAAGCATTTCAGTTCCCTCTCATCCACATACACCCACCAACAAGATGTTCACTTTTCCGCAGGGATGAACCAACACATGCTTTCGGTGGGAGCCTGAAATGCCTCCTCTGTCCATTCATGTCAAGAATGCTTTGAATGCCTCAAACTGCCCTTCACTCTATACACCTCGTGTTGGCGGTATCGTTTACAGTTTTCTGGAGACTGTAGTTTCGTGTGACATACGTCTGTATAGGCCTTTGTGGGAGAATGATGGTGTGGTCTGTACATGCAAACCAGTCATAAGGCCATGATAAATGATTGAATGATTGATAATTGATGAACCTTTTTGTGTGTGATAAAAGTCACAAGCAACCTTGATTGTATAGGTATGATAGGTCATAGAACATGTAGCACACGTCATGTGGGATAAGGTCTATGTGCTATTGTCTTGGGGATCAAAGTTGGCTTACAGGTGCTAGTTAGCATGCAGCCACATAATGTGACTCTCAACATGGTGGGTGGCTGTTGAGTGTGTGTGTGGTTCCTGTTGACACATCATCTCTACCACACATGGCGAGAACCTCGCCTGAAACCCATGAATACCACATTCCTATATACCTCCCTGTTGTTGTTGTTGTGCCAATGTGATCTCTCTCCCGGGCATTTCTAATCTTCTTCCCTCTCTCTCCTCTCTCTCTCTCTGTACCTCCCTCCCTCGACCACCAGAGAAGGAGAGGTCCGTCCCCCCGTCTGAGAGGGTAGGTGGTGTCCGACCAACCATGAAAGATTTCGTTGACGAGCTGACAGAGGTCGAGCAAAAGGTCAGTGAGGACCTTAGCGACCCCCACCGTCCTCGTGGAATGACGTCGTCAACGGCAACCAGGGAACTGGACGAGCTTATGGCAAACCTCTCGAACTTCGAACCCGCGTCTTCGTCCTCCGGGGGGGATGTGGAGAGGATGGAGGGGGGCGGGGCAGTTGCTAGGGAGTCAGGGAAGACACGGTCGACGGCCATGGACAACCTCAACTCCATGTTAGGATCGCTGGACGAAGTCATGACCAAGAGACATGGAGTCAACACAACCGCCAAAGGTGAGAGAGGGGGGAGAGAGGGAGGGAGAGAGGAGAGAGGGAGAGAGGCAGGGACTGTATTGAACAGTGAGAGAAACTCTCAATCAACAGTTTTTAAAAACATTTGCTAGTTTATCCTGAAAGTTTTGGGACCCCAAGACATGTTATGTCTGAGGAGAAACACTCTTTAGGATATCAATATCACATGAACAGTGCTCCCTCTTCAAAACACTACACTGTTGATTGGTGATGTGACGAATTGGCAACGATAAATTTATGTCATTTTGCATCGTCTTTCCTTGTACAGGAGTGTGTGCAGCATGCAACAAGCCCATCTTGACCAAGGTGGTCAACGCCCTCGGCTGCCAGTGGCACAAGGAGCACTTCACGTGCGCCCAGTGCGATGTGGAACTCGGTAGCTCCACCTACTACGAGAGCAACGGACGGCCGTATTGCGAGAAGGACTATCACGAGTTGTTTGCTCCTCGCTGTGCCTACTGCAACGGCCCCATTCTGGAGGTAGGTTTATACTACTGCCTACAGTGGAACCCCTCTAATCTGGACACCAATGGGACAGAATATGACCGAGGTGTTCAGGGGTTGCATTCTGCAATTAATTTTCCAGTGGTAATTATGGTATCACGTCACATGTACACAACCCCTCCCTTGTTCACATAATAGCCAAATATGGTATGCCGTGTAACATTACCTACTGACTGTAACTTTATCCTGTTTAACCCTTTTCCTCCACTGCCTTGCTTTTCCTCCACTACCTTGTCCTGTTTAACCCTTTTCCTCCATGTGGGATTTCCAACTATTGTTCATATATGGACTTGTGAAGGAAGTGTCCTACTCCACTATTTATCATGTGACTGTGTGTTCCCATGGAGAAAGTGTGCATGCACTCCATGATGTGGGATTATGACATCATCCCCACGACGTCATCATGACATCATCTCTCCACACAGAGGGTCCTGAGGGCGCTGGACAAGACTTGGCACAAGGAGCACTTCTTCTGCACGTTGTGTGGCAAAGATTTCGGAGCTGAAGGCTACCACGAGAAAGACGGGAAGGCATTCTGCCGGGAGTGCTACTATGAGAAGTTTGCTCCTCGCTGCAAGAGGTGTGAGAAGGCCATAATGGAGGGATTCGTCACCGCCCTCGGCTCCCAGTGGCACCCCGAGTGCTTCTGCTGCAAGGTTAGGGAGAGAGAGAGAAGGGGGCAGGACTCAAAACCCATCAATAAGAGTGCCATCATCTCCAGAATCTGGTGGGTGGGTAGTGGGAATTACTACTGTACTGTATGTTGTCAGTGGCTGTTGGAGTCACTACACGGATGCTCTAATAGACACAGCATGAATAGACAGCAGCAATTCCACCCTTTTTCAGTCAACAATGTTCCAATTAAAGACCACTCCAATGCTTGCCCACACAACTAACCAAACTAGACCTGTTGTGATGAGTCTCTCTCTCCCTCCTTCTCCCTCTCTCTCTCTGTCAGGTGTGTGGAGTGACGTTTCCTCGAGGGAACTATTTCGACCACGAGGGAGAGCCGCACTGCGAGATCCATTACCACGCCTCTCGCGGGACTCTCTGTGCCTCCTGCCAGAAACCTGTCACTGGTGAGTGCTTACATCACGTGCCTCTCCTGGTTTGGGGGAAATACAGTGGAGCCCCTTTAATCTGGACAGCAATGGGAGAAAGTGTCCATATGAGTGAGGTGTCCTGTTGAATTGCATGGTGAACTGTTTTGAGGAGAGAAAATGTCCTTATTAGAGAGGTGTCCTCTCTCTAGGGGTGTCCTTAGAGAGGTAAGTACCACTGTATACTTTATTCTCTCTCTCTCTCCCTCCCTCTCTCCCTCTCTCTCCTCTCTCCTCTCCCTCCCTCCCTCCCTCCCTCTCTCTCCCTCCCTCCTCCCTCCCTCTCCCCTCCCTCTCTCCCTCCCTCTCTCCCTCTCTCTCTCCCTCCCTCTCTCTCTCCCTCCCTCTCTCCCTCCCTCCAGGAAAGTGTATAACTGCGATGGGTCGCAAGTGGCATCCTGAACACTTCACGTGCGCATTTTGCCTCAAACTGCTGCAACAAGGGCACCTTCAAGGAGCATCGCCACAACCCTTACTGCCAGCCTTGCTTCATCAAGCTCTTCGGCTAGCCAGCAGCCCCACCCCTCCCACCCTACCACTGCTATGTTATATCTACTGACATTATGCCACTACTGTAACATGTGTTGCTGAGAGTCACCACTAGCTGCTAACTTTCACCAGTTGTTGAAAAGAGTCTAGTTTTGTGCTGTAGATATTATTGATAGAGTGTATATAATATACAGACATTGTACTATTGAAGTCAGTATGTTGTAACTTGTAGATGCTAATTTTTTATGACCTTGTCAGGGTATCAAAAAAAACGAATACCGTCAAAAATTTACTGCCTCTCAAAAATTTAGGCATGCTAACTTTTTGTTCACAATTACATCAGTTAATGCTGAGGGGTTTCCCCAGTAATCAACCCATAATTTTACATCACACACATGGTTTGGTTTGCCATGGTAACACTGAAATGACAAACAGTGAGAGTGCGAGAAGGGTGACAGGGGTTCGCTGTGATCTGGGGGGTCGTCAGTTGAGGGTTCCCCTGCAGTTGGGGGCCCCACAGAGGCAGGGGATCTTCTCCTCCTCAATGGGGAACTTGTAGTCATAGGTGATCTCCTCTCCCATGGCGATGTCTCTCTTGGAGTAGATGACTATCTTCTTCTGCGTCCCAACACTGATGACCTTGGCATAGCAGTTGGGCTGAAGGTAGGGAGGGAGGAGAAACTATAATTATACACTTCCCCTAGCTTGGCTGGCGATGTGATGCAACATTGCATAACACACTGCAGACTGACAAATGCTTCGTACTATGGTTAGAGCTGTATTGTGTCACATCACGGGCTCTGGAAACGTATGGTGAACCAAGTCTCTTTCTCTTCACTCACTCCTCTTTCCCCCCAACTCACATCGCAGCAGTGGTTGATAAATCTAGCCATGTTTCCGTTCCTCGTGGCATCGATGATGTAATCGTGATCCACACGGAACAGGTAGCTGCTCCCGATCCCCGCGGCCTCGTACCGTCTCTCCCTCTCGTCAGCCACGGCCTGCCTCACTACCTCTCCGACGTACTCTATCACCATCTCGTCCGCCGCGATGGCTTCTATGGCGAAGAGTCCCCAGTTGTGGATGGTGGATTTGGAAAACTTCAGCAGCTTCTTTCTGGCCTGCAGGACACAAATAGGGAGGAAGAGAACAAGGACTGCCTGTTGGAAGCACTTGGCTTGCAAACTGTTCTGGAAGCATTGTCCTTTGCAAATAATGTTTTGAATCACAAGCATAATAAGCATAATAAAACAACAACATCATTATTGAAACAAACCTTCAACTGGTTGTACTTGGCGAGGTCGCTGGAGACGTCACTGGTACTGAAGACAGACGCAAGTCTCCTCAGTTTGGCCCGGTTGACACGCCCACTGCTCGCCTTCTTCTCCAGCTGCAATCACATGACAATCACACAAAGTCACATGACTCATTGCCAGACCACACCTTCTCGTTAAGCCTCAGTTTCCGCCGGTGGTGTGGCAGGTACTTGACCTTATCTCTGGCATCGATCTTGTAGTAACCCTCGGATCTTGCGCAACCTGTCGCGTGGACCAACAGATCCTGTGAGTCTTGCCGTCTCCGCTTGGGGGGCGGGGCTCCAGTTGAAAGTGGGTGGAGTCAAGAAAGCACACAAACCCAAGGAAGGAAACATAAAAGAACGTATGCACATAGAAATTGGGAACGAAAGGATATCATTAGGATGGTAGGCCCAGTTGACTCCGCCCACCAGCCCCGCCCTTCTTCTCTCAGTCTCCCGAGGGCCAGTCTCAGCATTGCAATGTCCTCTTTGTCCATTGGTTCCTCTCTTGCCTCTCTCACGACCTCTCCTCCTCTCTCTCTCCCCGTGACTTGAACATCGGTCTCTTCGGCTCCTCCTTGGGCGGAGCTTGAGTGGGCGGGGCTAATGGCTCTGGGGGCGGGGTAAGTGGGCGGAGAACATCGTCAGTCGGAGGAGGTGAGGGGGGAGCGTGGTAGTTGGCTGGCTCATTTCCTCTCTCATCTTCTTCCCAGGTGCCCTGGTCTTGGTTGGTGTAACTGGCCGATCTCTCATCTCACTCTCCTCCCCCTCCTCTTCGTCTTCACTCTCCCCAAATATCTTCTGCAACATGTCCACCTCATTCTCCCTGGAGACCAACAGTTTGTTGAACATCGTGTACGGCAGTAATAGGATGGCAAATTGCGCAATGCAAACCCCTCTCAAGGACACCATACTTCACACAGTGATCAGTGTACATACAGCTCCGTGAAGTTTTTTGAGGCGCATGATTTTGCAGATCCTCAATCCACAAATCCGCTAGACTAACACGAATACCAAAACTGCCAGTATGGCAAAAATTCTAGCCCAGAGAGAATTTGGTGTTTTTACGGTATTAAGGAACGACTTACTCGTTGCTAGACTCTCCAAAGACCTCATATCCTTCCTCACTCCCTCTCCTCCTCCTCCTCCTCCTCCTCCTCTTCGTCCTCCTCGCTCAGTTCTTCGCTGCTAATGTCCGATGTCATCTCCATGTACGACGCCCTCCGAGACGCGGCAGGCATCAAGCGATTTCCTTTCCGACCGCTCCTCTCTCTGGGCTCTTCTGCAGGGGAGAGAGGCGTTTCAAAACCAGAGTGACCTGTTTCTGAAACAGGTTACTTACCTTCGTCACTGAACAGTCTGCGACGTGTCACTACGGAGGCACTCTGGTCTCTTCTCGAGTCTCTCCGGTTGACGATCGGGATCTTGAAATTCATCAGTCGTTTCCTCGGAGTCGGTATATTCTCAGCCTCTTCCTCCTCTTCCTCTTTTGTCGCTTCATCCTCTCCGCCCCTCTCCTTCCTCCCTCCGTCTTCCTCCTTCAGCCCCGGCCTGTAAGGTGCCACGTGGTACGGCAGCTTCTCCTCTCCCTCCGTCTTCTGCTCTTGCTTCCTCTGGATGTGAGAGCGAGAGAACATATTTCTCACAAACATCTCTCTTTGTGTTTAACGGGTAATAAGATGTACTTTTTTCAAATTCATTGCAAGCAAAACGGAATAGCGACTTGCGGGAAAAAAACAGGAATGGCTTTGTGTAAAAAGGTGTTTTTTTTCAGCCGCTGTCTGCACAAACCAACACAGACAAGTAGACTCACATTTTCCATCTTTTTCCAGTAGTTCTCCAGTGCTCTGTAGGCATATCTCTCGACCAGTTTCTTCTGCACGTCGTTAATGAGTATCATTCTCAGCTGTTCCAACGCCTTGTACATCACATCTAGACTTATTCCCTCCTGTCGATTTTTAGGGGGCGTGGCCAAGTCTCGTTTCATCTTCCCGGCCGAGCGACTCGATGGAAGAAGTCGGGTGGTGTGGGGGGCAAAGTCAATGAATCCGTTTGGTGGTGTGGAGGAAAGGTGGAGGGGATTTGAAATTGGGGAGCATCGTGCCGGGGGGAGGGGGAGGGAGTGTGGGATGAGGGGGGAAATATCGGATGTGGGTGTGGCAGGAACCCCTGTGGGGGAGGGGGTTGGGCGAAGAATGGCGGGGGTGGAGGAAACCGGGGTGAGGGGGTGGAAGAGGAGGAGGGTACATGGGAGGTAGGAGTGGAGGTGGAATGTTGACTTCGATGAGGTTGTCTTCATCTCCGGAGCACACCTCCATGTCCTCCCCTCCTCCCTCATCAGATGAGACACTCTCCACCTATCGACAGCAGGACACACTCATCATTAGGACAACAATTAGGAGTATATACTCAGTTCAGTGGGTGTGGTCTCACCTGGATGTCATAGGATGGAGTACTGTTGTACAACATGACTGGAGACTCATCTCCAGAAACATCTTCAACCTCTGGCTCATAGCTGGGAGTCACTGACGACGGAGGGAGAGGGGGCGGGGCCTTGGCAGCCGCAGCGGAGACAAAAGTCTGGAGGCCGAGGGAGGGATCGGCAAATCCGAGCGGAGCCGAGCGTGGCTTAACCCTCTGACCACTGATTTAGGAGAGAAGGGTGGAGAGATTGAAACGGGGGAGAGGACATCGAGTGTTGGCCGAGTCAGACTCGCTCGTCGGGGGTCTCTAATTATAGGGGGCGCCTCTTCATCGGAGCTGATATTCTCTATTCCCCCCGGGGGCCCGTGATTGTTTGGTGGGCGTGGCGAGTGCGGAGGAAGAGGGGGCGGTTCCAGGGGAGGAAGGGGTGGAGCATCATTTGGGGGGAGGGGAGGGGGTGGAGCTACGGGGAATGGTGGAGGGTTAATGGGACGATTCTTCAGTGGGTGTGGTCTTGGTTTGTCGACAGGGCTCACAGTGGAGTAGAGTCGGAGTGACGATACCCCGGAGTCGAGACTGGATGGGGTGTGTGGGGTGGGGGAGACGATGGAGAGTGGGGACTCTGCTGAGGGGGTGGAGCTACCTCCACATCGCAGGTGGAGAGAGGAGAGAGGGTAGAGCTTGGTGGCCGAGGGAGCGATAAATGTCTCGCTAGACCTTCGACCTCCGGTGGTAGTTGGTGTTCCGACGGACGAGAACTCCGTCTCAGACTCACTCAGTTCATGACTGCTCTCAGTGGTTGAGTTACGACGTGGAGCGGAACCCTCCTCCGCATCGGAACTGGTCGACTTGAGGGGTTTCCGTTCCAGTCCACACTTCTTGAGCACGGGCTCCAGGTACTTCTTCAGATGTTCTCCTGTAAATCACCAACAAAACACTTCTCATCGTCCAAGAAAACAAAAAAAACTTGAGCTTGTGGACTCCAAACCCTCACTAGCTTTACTTACCTTTATCGTCAACCTCAGCTCTGAGGTAGCACCCTCCTACTATCCTCCCATCCAGCTCCTTGGCTGCCTTCTTCCCATGTCCTGGGTAAGTGAACGCAACTGTGGCCGCTCCAAGAAACGTCTTTGTCCTCGGGTGGTGATGAAACCTCATCGAATGGACGGGAGCCAGCTGGGAGCACGTCTCTCGCAGGACGGCGCCCTTCACTGCCTCGCTGAGACCAATTACAAATACATCTCTCTCTGGAGGCTCCCCGGCCCAGTCCTTGTCATACTGTGACACAAACAGAGACGGCGTACATCAAGTATTTACAAGGCCAGGGCTAGGTAGACACACAGAGAGCGACAGGGACCGAGAGAGGAAGACAAACGGGGGAGAGGGAGAAAGGCAGACCTTGAAGCGAGGAAAGGCCAGCTCCATACTGCTGCCAGCCATGCCCAGCACGGTCTTCTGGGTCCGCGGGTCTTCAGGCTGACCCACTGGCGGCATCTGGGAGAAACAGAGAACATGGCCGGAGACGCCAGAGCTCGCGAAACGACAAAAAGCCACGCGCGACGGTTTCTACACCCGCTAAATCTCGACAGCACTGCACGCACGCTAGTTCTAATTAGAGAGCACCTTACCCCGGGCACGTCCTTTCCATTGAGACGGTAAAGCTTCTTGTGGCCTTTCCTCAGCTCGGGATCCACCAGCAGCTTGTAGTTGTTTCTCTTTTTCTGACTATTGTCGCTGCTCGACATTGCCCCGCTACTCTCCTGGAGTGCTTGCCCAAAGCTTTCCCGTGCAATGCCAACACTCTATTTGCGGCTAGAAAGACTCTCTTGGCGCATAACTCCACGTCTCCAACAACCTGGCGGCGTATGGCGTCTCTCTGACTCAGCCAAACGACCAAATATCATCCATGTTGTGTTCCTCCTCTTGGTCCTTTCTTCCAAATAACGCACACCTCGCCAGGGTCAAAGGGCACAAACACCTTTTATGCGCATGCGTAAAACTTCCGCATTTCATTACCGCATTTCATTACCGCATGCGCGTTTAGCTCAACTTGAATCACCATAATTTACAATTTCTTTTTAGCCTATTAAACAAATCGTAATAATGCATGCAGCTATCCCTACATTTTGCAAAAATACACAATAAGAGTAGAGACGGCCTAAAGAGTAAGGATCCCATAATAACACAATAGTCTTATGTGTGGCTAGTACTGGGGGGCGAAATATGGAACCCCAGCTCCCGGCATTGCTCCAGGGGGCACCATCCCCGGGGGGACCATTGGTGGCGGGGGCATCCCTATTCCGGGACCTGCTGTAATCATGAGAGGCATGTCAGCTGCGAGGAGAGAGAAGAGGGGTACGATGAAAGATGGGAGTGAGGAGAGAGAGAGAGAGAGAGAGAGAGTAGAGACATACTCATCATGGGGACAGGTGGCTGTCCTTGCTCCTCTTGCGCTCTTTCCGCATTTGCCTGCTGCAGTTTGTCCACCTAGACACAAGGGCAGAGAAACAAGAGGTCAACACACTGTGGAACATTATATACATAATGGAAAGAACGTTCCGGAAGCTTGTGCAAATGGCACTGCCCACCAAAAGAACGTTCTGGAAGCTTGTGCAAATGGCACTGCCCACCAAAAGAACGTTCTGGAAGCTTGTGCAAATGGCACTGCCCACCAAAAGAACGTTCTGGAAGCTTGTGCAAATGGCACTGCCCACCAAAAGCAGCTAGGTTATGTTATTCAAAACCACCACCAGGTAGCAAACAGACCGACCTTGGTCAGGTACTCCCTCAGTACTTGGATGACGTAAGGCATGGCAAAGTCCATGATGTTGTGTCTCCAGGCCAGTTCCAGAATGACGTCGGGACGCAGGAGGTCGTAGCAGGTGAACAGACAGCTGGCGAAGCACTCTTTCTTCCCGATCTCCAGGAACCAGGCAATCAGGCCTTCGGCAATCTCCACCTCTCGAGACTCTGACGCATATTGCATCGCATCCTACAAATACAACAGAACAGTAAGTAATTTTGACAAAACTGTGAGGTGATGAGAAAAGGCATCTTCCACGTGCTTTCACCAAAATAGGCTGTGTTTTTTCAGTGTGCCTTCATTTTTCTAAGAGGTGCACTCCTTTGCCTAGTTTTAGAAATCACACTATTATTGGGTCATCCCATCCTCGGATTGGACATCCGGCGGCTCTCTCACCTTGAACAGCTTGTCCTTCTTGCACAGGTTCACAGACTGTCCCCAGCGGTTGTTGTTCTTGTAGAGGTAGGCAGCGATGCGACGGAACTCGAGCAGCTCGTGTTTCTCCAGCTGCTGCGCGAGAGCAATGGTGTCGAAATTGTCGAAAGTATCGATGGACTTCCTCAGCCCCTCGTAATCCTCTTCCTCTGTCAGTACCTGGTTTATGGCCTCGTTCACGGCCTTGTTGTTGTTTGTCTGGACGGTGCGCAGGTAAGGCTTCACCAGGTGGAGGTGGCCGCATTTGGTGAAGAAGCCGACAGCACGGGTGTGGTCCAGACGAGGGGTGAGGACCGTTAGGAGGTCGTTGACGAGCAGGGGCTTGTGGTCGAGGTAGAACTTGAGGGCCCGGTAGTAGAGCTCGATGTTGGCGACCTTTGCCACCACGTCTTTGAACTGAGACTCCTTCCAGGCCTCGGTGGGGTGGGCCATCATGGTGAGGACGGCGTTGTCATACTCTTCGTACTTGTCGTAGAGGAAGACAAGCTCGGACCAGAGGTGGGCCTGCTCTGCTGCTCGGAGAACCTGCAGAACAACAATACTTTCATACTGCCCTTCTAGCTCCACGCACACACGAAGTTGGGATCCAACACTAAATTCTAAACACTCTCAACTCAAGCAACGGGTAATATAGGGTATGTTAGTAAGTCCAATAATCGTTAGCTACATGCCCTAACCTTGCCTTAAAATTACACGTGTGCTAGAGCATAAATTGATGGTTATGCTGATAGTACAAGTTATAAAGCCATTGCTACGAAGGGTCCTACCCACCTTGGGGATGTTGACACGAGACCAGAACAACTCGAGATGCTCCCTCATCTTGGGCGTCTTGTACTTGGAGTAGAGGATGGCGAGCTCAGTGAACATGCCCATGTGAGCTCTCTCCAGACCCAGCGCTGCCTCCATGAGGGTGATGAGCTCCTCGAAGTGGCCGCGGTTCTGGTAGTAGTTGATGAGGTCCTCCAGCTCGTCTGCGTGGATCACGATGTGGAGGCCACAGACTTGAGCCAATCGGAACTCCTCCGCATCAACACACGAGAAACACACCTAGTGAGAGGGGGGAGGGAGAGAGAGAGAGAGAGGAGATTGTAAGCCATGAAGCAATTGAAAGAGACTGACAAATTTTCCACACTTTCAGTAAAGGAAGGTGGAAGCAAAAGGGATTTAAAAGGTCCCTACGACAGTAAGACATGAAAACGGACGGAGGGAGAGGTTAAGAAAGGGAGAACCAGTGAATGAGAGAGACCTCTTTCCATGTGCGGGTGGAGTTGGCCTTGCGGGCAGAGTCCACGGCGTTCTGGAACTCTCCGAGATGGACGAGGGTGGAGGCGAGTCTGGCAAAGTTGGAAATGTTGTTGAACAGAAGTTTGGCCGCTTCGTACATCTTCTCCTCGTAGCACCTCTCGCCAACCTGACGCAGGGAGGGAGGGAGAGGAGACACACTGAGGAGGGGGCCACAGGGGGGTTTTCTTTGTACGTTGCACAGGGGGCACAGTTCGCCCCCTCAACAAGGACTCAAATCAATAATCAGGTGAAATTAGTGCTCCAAGTGTCCCTCTTTATAATATCTCAAAGACTCAGTTGTCCTTCTCTAAAAAATAAAAAAGGTTGCACCAGACAGTGAGAGTAGACCTGCATGATCTGGGCGTGGTTTGGTCCGGAGATGAACTCCTCCAAGTCGGCCAGACGGTTGGTCTTGGCGAAGGCAAACACCAGCTCTGTTTCGATGAACGTCTCTCTCGTCTTCTTGCGGGCCATTTGCAGGTAGCGCACCAGGTCCTCAAAGTTGCCTATAATCAGTGGAACAGACAAACTAACTACTGGGTACCTACCTTGGCCTCCTTACAATATGAGGTAAACCCCTAGTCATTAAATCTGGCTTCCTTCTCCACTCACCCTGAGCATTAGCGGCCTGAATGACCTCAGTGTAGGTGGAGGGATCATCTGCCTTGATGTATGAGTCAATGGCCTCCTTCACCATGACTCCGTCCAGCTGGGCCTTTGCCAGGAGGCTCCACACCGCAGGCTGGTTGCATCGCTCGGCAAACTCGTAGGCACGATCCAGGTTACGGATGTTGACTATCAGCACCTGAAGAGAGATAGGAGGAGGATGAATACCCCTTTCTTCTTCTCTTTATCTCTCCCTTTCTTTCTCTCTTTCCCTCTCCATCTCTTTCTCTCTCTCTCTCCTCCCTCTCTCCCCCTCTCTCTCCTCCCTCTCTTCCATTACCTCAATAGCTGAAGTGTTGACGTCGTATTTCCTGAAGATGGAGAAGGCCTCCTCAAAGAGTTCGCTCCCGATACAGATGGTGGCGAGATCCGGGGCATCATAGTTGTCAAGACGATTGATGTACTCCATGACACGGGTCTGATCTGCCTTGACAGCCGTGAGGATCAGCAGGTTCTGCAGATTGCTGGTGAGAGAGGAAGAGAGAAGGGTTGAAGAGAAGGGAGAGAGGGGGTTGAAAATTGGGTCTCAGAATCTGAGGCAAATGTTGTCCTCAACTCTGTCTTCAGTTGAACTGAGTGAATATCTTCACTGACCCAGAGAAAAGCATGACAGAGAGAGGAGGGGCAGTACACATACCGATGGTCTCTGAAGACGGAGCTCTCGTCAAGGACAATCTTCTCCAGCAGCTCGATCAGTTCGTTGGGAAGGTCAGCCGACATGAATGCCTTGACGGTGACAGAGACGTCATCTGGGTTGGTCGTCTCGTTGAGAGCAGTCTGGACCACCTGTGGAGACGGCATACACTTCCTTCAAACTCAGAATCAATGGAAAATGCATATCAGACATGCACACATTGGGAAGGTATGTCACTTGTGTCCACATCAGCACCTGCTCTAGTTCTACACTGCACCATACAGACAGCCTACTTCCATATGTATAAATCTGGTACTTAGTATGCAGACACCTGTACATGTCTCAACAACTTGGTAACGAGGTAGAAAGGCAAGGCAAGGTAAACAAAATCAACTACACACACACATGTACAAACATGTACACACATGACATATCGACTTATCAACACTGTGTGCGTGGAGCACTCAGTGAGAGAGAGCGGACCTGGTCGATGAGTGGTCTGCGATAGGTGTTGTCGGGGGCGAGGACGACGGCCCACAGCTCCGCATCCTGTCTGCGAACCAGGTAGCGCGCCTCGCTCTTGAAGAGTGAGTTATCGTTGCACACCTGCAGAAAAAAGTGGGTGAAAAATCTGTCATCTGTCCAAGGAAAGAGAGAGACATCGATCCAAATATAAGTAGAGGAGATATAATTATTGAGACTGAAAAGGTTGGCAAATGTGTACATGTTCTACTTTAGTGAGTATGCGAAACGAATGATTCCAGTGAAAGATATGTCAGAGAGATATTATTATTATAGCTAGCTATGTGTGGGCGCCACACACTAATTGATGGTTGAACTGTAACACTAACAGACAGTGTACCTTGATCAGTTCCTCGTCGCACTGCCCCCTCTCGTAGGCCACGCAGGCAAGATGGGGGTCCCTCTTCTCGCAATAGCGCCCCACAGTGCGACTGTCGTAATACTGGTTCTCCCGCAGGAACCGCTCCGGGTTGTTGTTGGAATCGATGTAGATCTTTGCCAGGGCGTTGTGGGTGGCCGGCTCCTCCTCTCCCTCGTGGACCCTGCTCTCCAGCCACGGCAGCAACAGCTTCAGTCTGTTGGTAACATGCAGCAACAGCTCAATACATTACTAGTAGCGGAGATAGCCTTGGCCAGCAACACTAAGAGTGCAAATCCTCTGAGCAATAATGCGAAACATTGAAACACCACACAACCACCGCACCACCATTGAAGATGGAACTTCCAAGGCTCTGATATCGCACTCTCACCTGTTTCGCTTCTCGACCTCCTCCACGAGCTCGTCCGTCGAGAACGGTCCGCGAACGGAGAGGACGAGATTTTTGATGATGTCATCAGAGCAGTCCACGTCGAGTAGCCCTCCGACTACGATGGGCAGACGAGAGGCGTTCACCTTTTGGACGTAGATCTCGATGTACTTCTGCAGGCTGTTGCGATAGAGGTAGAGGACCAGGTCGTGGACAAAGTCGAAACGATCACAGACGATGATGAGGGGAAGCTGGTCTGTCAGCTTGGCTTCCTGCGAGGGAGGAATTGAACGGAGGGAGTGTAGGAGTGCACGTGTGTGTGTGTGTGAGAGGGAGGGAGGGAGGGAGGGAGGGAGGGAGGGAGAAAGGTGAAAAGTAAGGAGGAAGGAAGAGAAGGAGAAAGTGGCTGAAGAGGAGAAGGTCCGACAGACCTTGAGGAAGTTCTTGACTCTCTCAGGATCGTAGCAGTTGCTCTCTCGGCAGATCCTCTCCACCTCTTTCATCTGGCCAGTCTTACACGCAGCCTGCACACACCACACACCACAGTCACAGCGAGACTGTAGGTAGGATACTATACACTGACCTGGATATACTTGAAGTGGACCTCCGTCTCCTGACTGAAGTTGACAATGGAGCCAAGGAAATAGAACAGACCTTCACACATAAGGGAGAAAGAAAAAGAGGAGAGAGAGAGAGAGAGAGGGGGGAGAGAGAGAGGGAGAGGGAGAAAGAAAAAGAGAAGAGAGAGGAGAGAGAGAGAGGGGTTGACGTAAGGAGGTACACATTACATGGGTCGAGTGGTGCTCACCTTCGAAGCTCTTGAAAGACTCGAAGAGGTCGATGAGAGAAGCAGTGGTAAGCTGGTCGTGGTACTTGGAGGCTATCTTCACACACACCTGTATGTACCCACAGCAGAGCTGTCAGTTCCAGACACACCATACTGTTCCCATTCATTCACCCTTCACTGATCACCACTTACTTCACAACCCTCTTTCTCCCTCCCCCTCTCAACATATGTACACAACAATGTACAGAGTATAGTACCTGCAGGTTCTGCCTGATGTTGGCCTGCAGCATTGCCCTCAGGCACTCCATTGAGTCCTCCACCGACAGAGACCCAAAGTAGTTGACCAGCCAGTCAGGGTTCAACATGTGCGTGTGGACCACGGCCCTCTTGATGTCGTAGATGTCTGTGTAGTGCTCCAGGGCCCGCTGGAGTAGCCCCGCCTTCTCACACAGCTGCGCGATGTGCGGCTTGTCGTAGTGAGTGAACATCTGGTTCCCCATGATTGCGTCCGCGACCTGTAGGACAAGGTTTCAGGACAGAGTTTCAGGACAGAGTTTTAGGACAGGGTTTCAGGACAAGGTTTCAGGACAGAGTTTTAAGACAAGGTTTCAGGACAGAGTTTGAGGACAGAGTTTTAGGACAGGGTTTTAGGACAGTGTTTCAGGACAAGGTTTCAGGACAGAGTTTGAGGACAGAGTTTTAGGACAGAGTTTCAGGACAGGGTAAGAGCGAGACCTGAGGGGCGGTGAGGAGGTTCATCTCGAGGAGTCGAGTCTGAAGGTGTCCCTCGGTGGGTTTGTTGTTTTTCAGGGCATCCAGCAGGAAGGAGGTACACTGTTGTACCATGTTCATCTCCATGAACACATCCACCACCTTGTGGGGAGGGAGGAGGGGGAGGGGTAATGGAGGAGGGAGAGGGTAGTTGTAGAGAAAATGGAATGAGAGGGAAAAGGCTACGCATAAAGCAAGGAACTTTGTGAAAAAGTTAGTGTTTTAACGGTGCCATGCACCACAGAATAATGGCAAGAGATTCGAAGCTGGCACAGCCACTTTCCCCTCCATTACACAGAACGTGAGTGGGCAAGAAAAGACAGAGTGACAGGAGGAGGTGCTGGTAGTGTACCTGGTTGAGGTCGGCGAGTGGCTCCTCATCAGCCACCATCATCTTCGCGAACTCTGTCCCCTGCTCCGGATTGATCCTCATCACGTTCCGGAGGAGAAAGACGTAGTCTGGGGTGTAGTTGACTTTCTTGGCATAGAGAATGATCTTCTGGAACTGCCCTGTCTCTGCAAAACACTGGATCACCTGCACACACACAGAGAGAGAGAGTGGGCTTTAACAGGAGTTAAGAAGAGAGGAGAGGAGAAGAGAAAATGCCGGTAGGGTGATTTTAAAAAGACAAGGAGAAGAGAGGTTTAAGACAAGAAAGGAGGAGAGAGAGTGTGTGTGTAAGACAGAGAAGAAAGACAAGAGAGAGGGGAGAGAGAGAGGGGAGGGAGGGAAGGGAAGGAGACCTTGCCAGGGACGCCGGCCCTGAGGAAGACAGAGAGAGCCAGTGTTGGGTCCACTTGTTTCACCAGTTCACCGAGATCCTCACTGCACTCCAGCTGCACACAGAGACACACAGAGTGGGGTTGACACTCTCTAGTGTTAGGGGGCGTCAACGTCAATCAACAAACATTCCTCTCCCAAAAAAGGAGTTGGGCAACTCATGCCTTCAAAATTTGTATCCCAAAAATGTAGTGTCTCAGAAACCTGTGGTTTGAGTGAGATATGCTAGTAAAGTACAATGGTTTTCGCCTTTGACATTTTCCCACTATTTCACACAGTACACACACAGCTACTAAACCTTGTCCTCCTTCAGCCACTTCTCGATGAGCTGTTTCTTGCCCTGAGCCAGCACGGGCCGGCACAGCTCCAGTGCCTCATGCTTGTTCAACTGGCTGCTCTCCAGCAAGATCCCGAAATACTGCAGCAGCGGGGAGGTCTGCCCGGGAGGGGTGGGCACTTGTTGGAATCGCAGGATGGTTTCCGTCGTCCGGAGTATACCCTGCACGGAGAGAGAAAGGGAGGAGATTGAAATTTGAGAGTTAAGAGAAGCGCAACGGTCTGAAAGTGCTCAAGACAGGGGGAGAGGAAGTTGAAATTGTGAGGATTAGAGAAAGGGAGAGGGGGGAACCTTTGGTGCCTTGGCGGCGGCTTTGGCAGCCTCAGAGTACTGCCCCTGGGTGAAGAGGAGGTTGAACTTGCGGACAAAGAGTTCCTCCGCCCCGCTGAGGTTGTTGCGAGTGGCCATTCGCAGAGCCAGCTCGGGGTTGGCCAGGGTGTTGGCGATGTACGGCACGACTGCAGCTTCATCAACTGCCACTGAGAGAACCTACGGAGGAAGGGAGGGAGAGGGTTTAAGAATATGAACAACAGTGCAGTCAACAAGCTTTGCTTTTCTCAAGGAAATATTCTCCCAAGGGAGGTCCTTCCATAACAGAGGGGAAAGGGGGGCACAAGCAAAGCCCCATTCTAGAAAAAAACTCTTGTACAATATATGCATAAAAGTAAGAAAGGGAGAGAGATCTACTGTTGTGCATGTAGATATGTACCTGGCCCTTTCTATTGACTCCAATGATTCCACTGGACAGATCGTGAACAGCGGTGACAAATATTGTCTCTCCACTGATGCGGTTCATGTAGATGCATGTCCCAGTCTCCAGGTCGTAGAGGTGGATGTAGCCAAACTTCGTGATGAGGTAGATCACGTCGTACTTTGTGCTAACCTGGAGGGTGAGAGAGAAGAGCAAGAAGAGAGGAAGAGGGAGCAAGTGAGGATGAAGGAGAGAGAGAGGCAGAAGGAGAGAGAGAGGCAGAAGGAGAGAGAGGGGCAAGAGGGAAGAGGGAGGAAGAGAATGGAGAAAGAGAGACCTGCATGGCGACAGGGAAGTCTGTCTGTGCCTCAGGCGGAAAGAAAACATCGACTGCCTTCTTCTGGAAGGGCTGGTTGCCTGAGGCCGGGGTACCAACTTCTATGACGTGGAGCTGAGGAGAAGAGACAGCGAGTGAAGATGTGAAATTTGGATGGAGAGGTAAATTTATCTCTCTAACCTTCCCTCCTGCCTGTCCACGGACGGCGAACGTGAAGAGAGTAGATTCCTCAGAGTTTCCAGGCATTCTGAACTGAGCGAATGCTGCAGCGTGTCCCTCGATGGGTTGGCTGACTTTCCTCTCCACCGAGTACAGCTGCATGTGTCCTGCCACTCTGTGTTGCTGTGGACAGAAGAGGGAGGAGGGGGAGGGTGAAGTGGCAAAGTGAAGGAAGGTGAGAGCTAACCTGAGCAGAGATGCCAACCAGGAGAAGCCACTTGAGCGGGGCATCGGCTCGATAGTTTATGATCTGACAGCCGGCGAGACTAGAGTGACGATCAAACACCTTCTGAGGCTGGGAATCACCTACAGACAGAGAGAGGTAAAGGCAAGAATAAACAGAGGACAGTGGAGCCCTCCCTAACAAAACCCTGAAATGAGGACACTTTCCCCAAGAACAGTTCTTGAGTGCAATTTAACCCCTGAAATAAGGATATCTCACTAATATGGACACATTCAGTGGTGGCTAAATGAGAGAGGTTCCACTGACAGACAGTCTCAAGTGCACACACATACCAGAAGGAGACATTGGTATGCAGACTAGGAGAGTGTGAATAATGGATGTTCCCCTCTGCCTCTCTAGTGTATTCACAGCCACCAAGGCCCACACACTCACAATACCTACACCACCCCTCTACAACAGACGGTCACGCTAGGTGGACACACCAATGTTCCAGCACATATCTACTACTCACAAATGGACGACAGAACTACTATTGGCTCAGGATAATAATGCATTATACAGATGGTACAACAGAGGCCCGAGGTCAGCTGTGTAGAATAGGTGCAGTAAGGGATATGTAAGGGAAACAGCAAGCTAATGTTGAAGGCTATTGCCCCAGAAGCATGTATACTCCATATACACTTGGTGTATTCTAAATAATGCTCACCCTCCATGGACCAGTGGTAGACGGAGGTCTCGGTAACCAAGGCGATGGTGTTGAGGTTGACCCACTTCCAGAACGTGACGTCCTCGACCATTTGGTGGGCCTTCATCTTGCTCTTCATCTCTATGTTGAATATCTGGAGACTCTTTCCAGCTGGCGGCAGAAGAGAAAAGGGACAGAGAGAGGGGAAGGTGTAGGAAGAGAAAAATTGGGAGAAAGAGAGAGAGAGAGAGAGAAGTAGAATCAAATAAGGGTATGTACGTAACATTAGGCCACAATTCTAGGGTAACTACTACATATGTACATCAGGCCCTTGGAAATAGTGTTGAATACAATACACCAGCCATCCAGTAAGGAAGTTAGTACTACACGTCGACAAGAGGAGTTGTGTGTGGCGACGTGTAGTGCTGCATTGTGGGTGTCAGTGGCCAGTACAGACCGCCATTATCCTGGGGTTGTGTGCTGGTGTGTGTGTGTCCGTGTCGTGTCTGTGTCGTGTTGACTGGAGACACAGTTGTTTAAATAGAGGAGTCACCTGACTCACTGTGTGTCATCTGTCTCCCTCCTCATTTTACCCCCTTTCTTCCCTCTTTCGCCCAAATTTTTTCATTCCCTCTCATTCTCCCTCTCTCCTCACAAAAAAGGTTGACATATGTACCTTTCAGAGCGATGACCTTTGAAGCAGGGTTCATGATGGCGGAGTCAGCGGTGATGGGTCGTCGGATGGGGTTCCCTGAGTCGCTGAGGTCGATGATTATCACCTGAGCTGTCTCCCCCACCTTCTCCCTCACACATATGAACTTATCCGACTCCATGGTAAGAGTGGCAAACCCAATCTGCTGTACGTTGATACCCACATTTTGCAGCTGAACGAAGAAGAGGACAAGAGAGAGAAAGAGAAAAAGAGAGTAAGAGTCAAATACACCGTCAATTTCTTTCAGGGGGGATCAAGTTAGGGCTAAAGCTCCACCTACGCTGGCCTGCAAGACGCGCGGGCGGTTGACTCCCAACTATCTCCCCACGCACGTTTGTTCGTGAGCACCGACGGCCCCGCGGGTCCCCCGCAGCTAGAAACACACCTGCAGGTGCTCCTGGAAACGAATAGGGAGGTTCTGCGCCATCTTGAAGGCGACACGCAGCTAGTCGGCTTCCGGTGTCTGGATCTCTAGTTTGGCGGCCCGCGCTCCAACCCCCTTGCTGCCGGCTGGGAGAACGGGCTGGTTGGAGTCTCTTAGAACACGATAGAGAGGGCGAGCACTGGACCTTCTTCCCAGAAGCTTGTACAGTGCTTCCGCCAACGCAGACAGGGTTTTGTCACAAGGATAGATCACGGTTTACGCATGCGCGCGTTGATGATATACATGGGCTCTAATTAGAAACATCACAATATGACATCTACTTATGCTAGGTGTCCAATACAGCTTTTACTTGACTTAGGAATTCCTGTAGATAAAAAAGAGACATTAGAACAATAATGGTAAACAAATTTCAGAGCACTGACCTGAACCTTGTTGTCCATAACAGCAATGTCGGCGTTTTTCTTGGCACGTTTGGTTGGTGGTGCCCCCTCTCCTTCCTCCACCAACTCTCCATTTCCACTGTACGCCATTCCTTCTGAGGTGTAGTGAGCATGGCCTGATCCATAATACATCTGAACCACTGTCTGGTAGGCACCGCCATCAGCGCCATACAGATCGTCCTCCTCTCCTCCCCTACCACCTACATACACGTTCTGAATTCCTTCCTGCTGCATAATCACAGGGTTATCCCCTTCCTCTTCTTCCTCTTCCTCGTCTTCAGCAGGCGGTCCAAGATCAACAACTCCCGTTTCCAATACAGTCCGCTTCTTTTTTGGCGTCAGTTTGAACGAAACGGATCCGATGTGACTGAGTTTCTGGACCTGTTTCCCCCACTGCGCCTCTCCTCTCTGTCGGCGGTTCGATTTCATGGCTGCCAGAGCCTCCTCTGCTGCCTTCTCCTTGTTCATGTGCAGCCGGAACTTGTAGTAAGGGTAGTACTGGTCCCAGGGGTTCAGGAAACCGAATTTTGGGTCCCCGCAGTGCCTCTCGAGAACGGTCCGTTCGAAACCTTCGCTGTTTCTGGCCACGTATTCGGCAGTTTTGTCGATGATTGGTTGCAGGTCGGGGGGAGGGGGTGGGGGGCCAGGGTCGCGACGGCCGGGCGGCGGGGTGAAGGTGACAGTAGCGCTGGCAACAGGAGCCATCTTGCTCTGCAGGTGATCCGCACGTAATCTGAGGTAGTAAGCCTCCAGGTTACTCTGGCTGGCAAAGTCGGACGGCTGAGGATGCAGGGAACACCCTACACACACACATAGAGAGAGTATACACACCATTGAAATAAGAATAGAGAGAGCTGACAAATTTTGTTGTACTCAATAATTTGGGTGGGAGCCACACATAAATATTGTAGAGCGTCATTAAAACTAGCTATATATACATACATGCACAATCTGGCTGAAGAGTGAAGAGAGAAGTCTGACCTTCATTGGTGGGGTTGTACTCAGGGTAGTGCTGCTCTCCATCAGTAGCCATCTCTGTCGAGTACTGCTGACTGTGGGAGATAAGATATAGGATCAGTAGTAAGGGAGCTCCCTTTGTAACGACAAACAACAATACCGCAATACCAGCAGAGGTATTATTTTACATACGAGTACAGTAAAGATACCACAGCACCAGTGTCACATTATGGAGCACACCACTCGGGGCCTCACCAGGATCACCTTGTCGCCTCCTCCGGACCACACGGCAACACACACCACCTGGCCCAACCGAACCAAACCACAGCCAAAACACGACCACAAGATACCAAACTGTACCGCTGATGTTCACATGCAAAAAACGCCAAGTCAAAAACTTCACTCTTTACATGCTTTTTCAAGTGAGTGTTCATCCATCTCCACAGAACTTTTGTAATAGTCGGACAAACACCCATCGGAAGTCGACGAAGGTCATCTTGACAAGGCTCTTCAAATACTCCGATACTCAGCCTAAAAAGGGTTAACGTGTATAATGTACGCCTAAATCGCTGCGTATAATATGCTGTCTTCAAACTCCTCTCGCACTCTGCCAGACACGCCACGTGGCTCTAAACGGCTCTAGGAGGAGAAAGTTTTCTAGCGGAGGTTTGATGTTTCAGCTGTTGAGGGAAAGAGAGCACACACAGAGTGTGAGCTATCTGTATACAAAGTCGAGGACGACGCCTCGCGAAGTGACGGAAGTTTCTCTCTTCTCTCTACCTACCTCTCGAGAGAGGGTTGGGGGTAGTGGGTGGGGTCGACGGGCTGCCATGCCCCTCCCTGCTCCGTGTCCAGGGAAGGAGCTGCGTTCACAGAGGAGAGAGATATGGAGAAGGAAGAGGATTGGCTCGCAGTGGTTGTGACAATGGAGGGAGGAGGAGAGGAGACTGCATTCGATGAAGAGCTGGAATTGGTCGATTTGTCTGTCGCAGGTGGTCGGGGAGACGAACGGGGCGTCGTTGAAACTCTCAAGAGCGGGTGCAGTTCAAATCCCTCATCGTCTGAATCTCCCGAGTCTGATTCTTCCTCTTCTACCTCCTTCTCCGTCTCTCGCCCCTCCCCTTCTCCTCCCTTCTCCACTTCCTCTGTGGCCACTGGAGTGTACCCACCAGAGGCAATCATCTGGAGGAGGTGGCGGTAGTACGAGTGAAGAGGGTCGTAGAGAGAGAGGAAGGAGAAGAGAGGATTGTGTTTCTGCTTGGCTTTGATCATGATCTCCATCTGTGTCCCCTGTCTGGCCACAAACCCAGCAGTCCTCTCAATGATAGAATGGAGTTTCTTAGTCACAGGCTGTCAATAGGAGAGAGAATACAGCATCAAATACACCACACACCCATCTGCAAATCATGTGCCATTTTCAGAACACAAGCGACCTAGGAAGAGTATTATATCACACAGAATTACTAAAACTAAAGGGCAAAGGGTTGATGGAAAGTAATAAGTCTCTGTACACGTCCTCTGTCTGCTAGAGTAGAAGATACATATGTACAGGTGTCCTCACCTGTTGTATGTGTCCAGGTATGTCTAGACCCACGGGAGGGAGGAACCGCTCGGCCTCAGTCTCGGCCACGTCGACAGTTGAGGTCGGTGGGTGCTCTGCACGGCGCAGAGGGAGAGAGCTCGTCACTGCGTGATTCGGTGGTGCAACTGCGCTCTCCTTGTAGGCGAAACCGACGGCCTGGTACCCACCTCGCTGCTCGCTCCGTCTCTTCCTGGACTCTTCTGCAGACACACACAACATCAGAGTCCAAAACATGAAAGTCGTGTGTTCACAGGGAAAATATTAATGTATGTAGTCGCTCTTGAAAAGGTAAAAAGCTCTACCTTCCAGGAGCTGGTGTTCAAGAACATCAATCCCCAGTGAGAAGTATCTGTCCTTGTCCAACATCTCCTCCAGGTCATCTTCCTCCTGCGTCCTCCGGCGAGGCAGGATCGGCTTCAGTCCAAACTGATTCTTGTCCTCCAGACGGTTCCGAAGGTCGTACCTGTTAGTACATAATACGTGGTGGCTGAGAGTTCTAAATAAAGCCCACCAGTAAGTAAACAACGTTTCTCTCGGGTGAATGTGTTACCTGTCGATCATTAGAGAGCCGTCCCCCATCCAGGGGATCAGTAGCTGTCCAGAGCTCTCCAGCAAAGCTTTATCGTCGTCTCGGAACAACTTGCAGGCGTAGCCGAAGGCGAAGAGTTCATCTTCCCCGGGGCAGTCTTGATGATTGGTCCCCGTGTCCCCATCGTCCCTGTTATCGTAGGGACCCAAAATAAACGACATTTTCGCTAGAGCAAAGTCAATCCACACCACTTCTCTTCACAACAACAACTCTGCGACATGCGATGTGATGCGATGTGGTTTGTCAACATTACGGACTTCCGGATATTTTTGTGGCGGTTACGCATGCGCAGATTGTCCTCAGCCCCGCCCCCTTTATTTCTCTAGCGAGCTCGTGTGCCCTGTGCCGGATTGGTGGTGGTCGTCATGCCAGTCCTTGCAGACGAACTCGCTCGCCTGCAAGCCCACCGCTGGCAGATCTCAGACCTCTCCTTTAGTCCCGACGGCACTCGCCTCGCTAGCGCCGGCTGGGACAAAGAGGTGAACATATGGGAGCTAAGCAACTTGGAGCGGGTGCTCAACTTGTCCGACGTCCACCGAGTTCCCGTCACCAGCGTCTCCTGGCTCCGTCCCAACGGTCTCCTAATCTGCACGGGATCTGCAGACCGCACGGCCGCACTCTGGAACGCGGAGACGGGCGCACACGTTGCTTCTCTTACCGACCATGCCGGCTGGGTCCTCGACACCGATTTCTCCGCCACGGGAGCGTTTCTGGCCACCGCCTGCTGGGACCACACCGTACGAATCTGGGACCCCGGTTCCGAGAAGGTGGTGAACAGTCTGACGGGGCACGGCGGCGGGGTTTGGTCCGTGGAATTCCACCCCAACTCCTCGCAGCTGTGCACGGCGAGCGAAGACAAGTCGGCGAGGATCTGGGACACCCGCATGAACAGACCCGCGGGGAGTCTCTACGGGCAGCACACGGACGCAGTCTACTGTGCTGCCTGGTCTCCAGACGGCAGCGTGATTGCCACCGGCTCTGCTGACAACAAGGTAAAGACAACGATAAAGGGGGTGGGGCTCAAAAGTGTCTCTTTTTCTGTACACACACACAGATTTGCATCTGGGAGCCGCGCCAACAGGCAGTCATCAACACAATCTACGCCCACCAAGACACGGTCAAGAGCCTGGCCTTCAACCCACACACTGACAACGTCGCAGTCCCTGTACTGGCATCAGCAGGTGGTGACAAGCTCTGTCTCTCTGACCATCGTCCCTCTCACAGGGCAGACATTCTGAGCGTCTCCCTCCACAAGGAGGGGAAGGAGATAGAGGCAGTGGCAGTGTCACCAGACGGTTCCCTGCTAGTATCGGGAGGGAGGGACGGTCTCGTGGTGCTCATGACGCTCATGGTGCCCTCCATCGTACCGAGATCAGAGAGCCACTACACGAGCCTCACGTCGTCCGTCTTGCGCAAGAGCAGAGTCCTCCGAGATCGCTCCTACATCTACGACGCCACGGTAGACGAAGACATTCCACCAGAATTGGAAGAGGAGGAAGAGGAGGAAGACGATGAGCTAATGGCGAGCTGGCAGGAGGAGATCGACCACTTCCCCGCCGAGTCTAAAAAGACGGAGAAGGTCACAAGCTACAATAGGATGAAACGAAGGAGCAGATTCGACGAGAAAGCAACCGAGCTACCAGACTATGCCACCGTCAGGAAAAAGAAAGTGATGAGTGCCAGAACTGCACGGGAGAGACGTGCAAAGGGGAAATCCTTCGACATTCCGACAATGATTGCACATTTGTCAGCAGCAGCTCGTGTGTATGGCCCAGAAGAACCGGACAGCAGCAGCGAATCAGAGGAAGAGCAGGAGAACAAGCCGCCACAGCCAAATCGGCCTTCACCGGACCCCAAAGTGGACATCCTCTCGCACATCAAGGCCTGGTCGAACCCACAGAACATCTCCTCCCTACCCCCACCCAGGAGGAAGATTAGCATAGAAGTCACGGGGAGGGCAAAGACACATCGCGAATTCTTCGAGGCTGGGGACTCCCTCACAAAACACACGATAGAGGAGGAAGAGAGCCAAGAGGAGGAGTTGTCTTCACCTCACAGCCAGTATGAAGTGGGGAACAGCTACAGACTTGAGGACCTGATGACGGTCAACTCTGACGAATGGACTACTTCACCTCTTACTGACCCACACTTCACTCCCACACTCCCCACCCAACCAGAGCTGGGAGAGGAGGAGGAGGAGGCGTACAGTGATGACGATACTGTGAGCATGATCTAAAAACCACTCGCTGTGATGTGACATTGTGTAAAATCTCCGGTTATTTCCGCGCACGCCACACAACAACGCAAAATCAGGTGATAAGAAAGGGAAAGCGGTGAGAAAACGGGGAATATACGGGGTTTTAGTGGTCCGAGCTGTAGGGAATCTTTCCTGGAAAGAAGCATTCTCGACTTCGTTTGTACCATCGACTAAGTCCAGATACGTTGCTGGTGCCGTTGGAGGTGGAGGGAGAATGCCAGGCGGGAGAGACGAGGTACGGGAACCGACCGACTCGGTGCAGAGCGACCCAGGTGTCCGGAAGTTCACGTGGCAGGAGCTGAGCAAACTGAACGAGAGACATAACGCGCACGTCGCCGTCAGGGGAAAGGTGAGATGGGAGAGAAGCTGTACATACGTCAACCTCACTCGTGAAGGTGACACTTCTGTGACCTCTGTGTATCCCAACTGCAGGTGTATGACGTAAGTAGTTTCATAGAGAAGCATCCTGGAGGGGTAGACCAGCTGTTGCTGGGAGCTGGAAGAGATGTCACCATTCTCTTCGAGTCCTACCACAACTTCAACGTCAGCAAGTGAGCCACATTTGCTGCTCTTTTTGGAAAAACCTTTCTCCCTGGTTTAGGGTGTTGGAGAAGTACTATGTCGGTGTGCTGGTCAGTAATGAGATGCCCGTCTTCCCTAAGCCAGGGTAAGAAACTAGGCTACAGTCTGTATGTGCTTCACAGGGTGGTACCTTTAGAGAAGGGTAGCGGAAAGTGGTTATGTAATTAGATGCAGGCTGTATATTTTCATTATGTTGGAGACTTCAGTTCAAGCACTTTCGCCTCCCCCTCTTCTCCATTCAGTTTGTTCCACAAGACTGTAAGAGAGAGAGTGGACACGTTTTTCAAAGAGAACAACATTGTTAGTCTCCAACACACACTCTCTCTCCCCTCCTTACTATATAGCATGCCCCCTGTGCCCTCTCTGCAGGACCCGAAGATCAGCTACTGGATGTTCTTCCGGTACTTTGTGTTCTTTGCCACTGCCAACCTTTTCTGGTTGGGAATGGTGAGGTATAGACCAGAGAGTGTGTGTCTATTGAAGCTAAAGGATGTTTTTTTTTGTGAAACAGACTGCATTTTGTCTGTGCTTTGACACGGCCAGTTGGCTGAGGAATTTGATTTTATCCATGGGTGTAATCACTCCGTATTTGACCTCTCCAAGTGAAGGAGGGAGGGGAGAGTTTCTTACGTCTGGTGTATATATTCTGGTTTGCAGATGGTGTTCAGTGACAGCACAATCCTGGGCGTCGTAATGGGTGCTGGCTGGGGGTTCTTCTCAGCTCTGGTTGCCATGACTTGTACCCACGACGCCAGGTGAACTTTCACTAAAATGTTTTGTATGCACAGCGAAAAATTCACCGAATACGTAATCTCTCTTTCTTGTATTCAGCCACTTTGCCATCACCCACAAGCCGTGGGTGTGGCTTGCAGTCGGTAGCGTTCACGACTTCTTCCAGGGTGCATCCATGATCGCCTGGCTCAATCAGGTGGGTAAAACCCTGCTCGTTAAATCACAACCATAATTATGACATCACTCTATACTGTTGATCCTTTAGCACACTCTGGGTCATCATCCGTACACCAACATTGACAGAGCTGATCCCGACATTGAAACTGCCTCATCTGTAAGTTACCTCATCACCGTACGCAATTCATGACATCATCATCTGGTAATGCTGTTGGGTGTTGCAACAGGACACTCCAGATGTCCGTCGCATCAAGTGGACACAGGCGTGGGTGCCGCTCTACTTTTACCAGCACATCTACATGCCCATGCTCTACTGTGTGGTGAGTATAGATACAGCCCTTCCTTTCTCTTTCTTTGTTGTGTGTTGCCTTCTCTTGATTGTCTTACTTCTCTCCGTGAGTTAGCACTAGTTGATGTGGCTCTCTCTCTTTCTTTCAGTTAGGGATCAAGACACGACTGCAGGATTTCTACATCATCTACACTCTTCAAAACTGTAAGTGCTCTCTAATGTGGACCCTCCTCTCACCTCATCTCTCTGTCTGTCTCCTGCAGCCACTATAAGGGTGAACAGGCTGTCGAAAAAACAGCTCCTCATATTCGTCGCTGGGAAGACCACTCACTGCATCTATCGTTTTCTCATCCCCAGCCTCTTCATGCCCTGGACCAGTCTGGTATGTTGGCAGGAACCTTCTCCCTATTGATGTACAGTGGAACACACTGAGACCATGAAGATTGTCCTATACGCAGAGGTGGCCATAGTATGCACAAGTGTCAACGCTTAAGTTCCACTCTATTCACACTACATTCCTCAATTTCCTTCTTCTAGCTGCTGTGTAATCTGATAGGGGAGATAGTAGGCAGCTACTGGTTGGCGCTCATATTCCAGACCTCTCACGTCATTAGCGAGGTACGTACTAAAGAGAGACCCAGCAGTGTTGAGGTAATACACACTGACTGCAGGTTGAGTGGCCGAAACCTGACCCAAAAGACAATATGGTCCACCAGGACTGGTGAGTTGACCTTGTGGACAAAATAACACCCATCCTCCCTCCTCCCTCCTCCCACACACACACACACCCTCAAAGGGCGGAGATGCAGGTGGGCACGACGCAGGACTACGCCACTGACAATTGGTTCTGGAACGTCTTCACCGGAGCTCTGAACCACCAGACCACCCACCACCTCTTCCCCGGAGTCATCCAGGCACATTACCCACTCATCACCCCCATAGTCCGCCAGACGTGCAAGGAGTTCGGCGTCACCTACCACTACGTTGACACCATCTGGGAGGCCCTCAGTTGCCATGTCAACCACCTTCGAACTCTCGGACAGACAAAGGAATCAAAGGATGATTGATCAATCTTTGTTTTATATATACTTATGTATTTTAGACACAGTACTGTATGTTGTCTGTGTGTAATACATATATAATTATAGCTAGTCCTTGTCAGTAGGATAATACTGATATTGGTTGTAAAAATTATCATATTAACAAAACATTTGCTATATACTTTCAAACAATTTACACAGTGCATGAACAATTGATCTAATCAGTTCCTTGGCCAAGTCTTTTGAGGAAGTAAACGTGTTTCTTCATGGCTTCCCAGGCCGAAGGAGTGTGGCGAAACTCGATGTTGAATTCTCGACATGTTTCCCTGACGACACGAGTTACTCCGGGGTAGTGGCATTGGAGTACCCCGGGGAACAAGTGGTGGGCTATCTGGAGTAGAATAGATTACATCATCAATTACTATTTCATTACCGATGCATACCCTCCACCGTCCTCTATTAGTGAAGGAGTGGAGGTACACGATCATAATCATGTCACTCAACGAGGAATTGGGGCGTGTCTGTTGCTCTCGTTTCAAACCTGGTTGTTGAGGGCTCCTGAGGCAAAGTTCCAGAAATGACTGTCTGTTGCATAGTCTTGAGACGTAGCCACCTGCAACTCCGCCCTTCACCAACAGGTCATGAATAATGGTTGGAACAAATTAATACCGTGCCATTCAAAGGGGGTTGATGGTATGTATGTACCAGTCCATGTCAATGTAGTTGTTCTTGTCTGGCTCAGGCCAGATTACGTCAGCAGAAACATGGGTAAGTTGGGTGATGATCACCAGCCAGTACCACGCTATAAAGTCTCCCAGCAGCACAAAGGTCACCTGATGGAGAGCATGTGACATCATGTGACAGTCAAGTGATGTCTGACCTACCACTAATGGCAGGGGCATGTATAGAGAGGGAAGGAGAAGGTGACATGTGATGTAGACAAACTTCCCCACTATAAATATGGTCATTTGGGAGTGAGTGAGAGGGTTCATCCTTATCGACACTGCAACCAGCAACAAGAGAAAGAGGAGAGAGGAGAGAGATAGTTTGCATATTAATAAACAAAATCGGGATAATTTTTGGAAGCGACTATGTTGCTGTTGACTCACAATTTTTTAATTGATACACGGCAATAAAGTCTTGAATCCTCTTCTTCATACCAACCTGCAACGATTGAACCAACGACGTACACACAGCTCGAAAGTGGAGAAAAAGAAGAGAAGAACATTGAACTGCTGTCTGCACTCACAAAGCAGTAGAGGAATACGAGGTAGATGTGCTGGTAATAGTAGCGAGAGAGCAGTTTCTGTGACTTGTGAATCCTGCGAACATCTGGAGGCTCCTGGACAAATAGGGCATTCGGAAAAAACAACTGCTGAGGGGAAATACATACTTTAGAAATCAGCAGAAAATCTCGGTAAGCAGTGGACCTCTGCTCACAAAAAATCGCACCTTTGAAAAAGTTTGAGTCCCAAAAGAAGTTGGTCCTTTCTCATTTCCTATTGGCCCTGTGTATTCTACCGTTCTTTGGTCACAGTGGGTCTACTTACATGAGTGGTAAAGACGTCGGGATCAACTTGGTCCACGTTAGTATGGACGTGATGTCCTACCACGTGTTGGTGGGTCCAAACGTACATAGACATCCCTGTGGTACAGTCATTGATGGCTCCCAGGAGCTTCCACACCCACGGCTTGTGGGTGACGGCAAAATGACTGGAGAATGAGAGGGAAAACTTACGATGACCTCACTTTAAGAAACAGGAAGAGATTGTCGAAAAAAGAGAGTGGTTTGTTGCATTGTAGACGTGGGTTCTTGGGCTCATAATTATTTGTAGTGTAGACAGCTGTGGTTCGTGATTCTAGCAATCACACTTCGCAAATTTCGTGTAGTTTAGGATGATACGTCACCTGGTGTCATGTGATGCGGACATGATCAGTAGAGAGCTGCAGACACCCCAGCCACAGGCACAGAACACACTCAGCCACACCCACATCTGGTAGCAGCAAATCTGTTGACAAGTTCTTTAAAAATTCCTCTCCTGTTGATTTCTTACAGACTGACCGTCAGGGCCCAGAGGGTATTGGTCATCAGTAAGAGGACCAGGCACCTCAGAAACATCCCATAACACATCTTCGGGTCCTGAAAAACACTTGTGTTAAAAAGTCTTTGATTTTTCCGGACTCACAATGTTATGTTCCTTGAAGTACCTGTGGACTCGATCCCTCACTGTTCTGCTGAACTCACTGCAGTAGAATAAACCTACCAGTAATCCCAACTGTTTCAGGTGGATACATATGCTCCAATTTTTGAAGCTGTAGCCCAAGAATATTGCTTGCAAAAACATTAGGGTGCTGCATATTTCTAAAGGACACCACCATAATAAGGTTCTGACCTAAAGGTATATATTAGTAATGATGGGAGCGTCTTACTTGGGTTCACGGTAGACCGGGAGTTCGTTGCTGATCAACTCTCCAACGTAATACTTCTCAAGCACCCTGCATAATGTTGTGACATAACTTCACGTAATCATTATCACTACACAACATAGTTTTTAGGCCAGCCCCTCACGTGAGGATTCAGTGTGCAAGACTACATATAGCTGATTTTTGCAAGGCAGTTTTTGACTGCAGTGGTGGTGAGACAGAAGGCAGCTCACTTGCTGACGTTGAAGTTGTGGTAGGACTCGAAGAGAATGGTGACATCTCTCCCAGCTCCCAGCAACAGCTGGTCTACACCTCCAGGATGCTTCTCTATGAAACTACTTACGTCATACACCTGCAGAGTGATGTAATAATACTAGAGCTACCTAGCTTTGATTTAGGATGCCAACCTTGCCCCGAACGGCGACGTGCGCGTTGTGCGGACGGTTCAGCTTGCTCAAGTCTTCCCACGTGAACTTAGTAGTAGCTGGCGGGTTGGGGCTGTGGGTTGCAGACATCTGGCTTCTGGCCTCTTGCATGCAGCCGAGTAAACAACACCGGCCAAAAGTGCGCATGCGCAAAGTTTCATAGGCGTGTCTCGTATCTCTGAGGTAAACAACAATGGCAGCTGCTGCTGCTGGTGGTGAGGGAGGAAGGGCAGAGCTGGTGCGAGCCCGCCTCGCGGCAGAGGAGCAAGAGGCGCTGGAGGCCATAAAGGGAGACCTGTGTCGGTGGTTGGCGAGACGAGACGTTCTGAGTCTGGAAGTTGTGCCTGCGACTTTCCTGGACGCGCTTGACTCCGGCGTGCAGGTCTGTAACCTGGCGGGTCTAGTCCAGGAGGCCTCCATACGCTGGGAGGACGAGGGAAAGGAATCTCCCGTGCGTGTCCCCTCGCAAAAACTCCCCTGCAAGCCTATCAAGGCCGCCAGAGGCACCCCAATGTTCCTGGCGACAGCTCGGGACAACGCCGCTCAGTTTATCCGATGGTGTCGGGAGTTAGGCGTGGAGGAGGTCGTTATTTTCGAGTCAGTGGGGCTCGTGGAGCATTCGGACGAGCGGAGAGTCATCCTCTGTCTGCTGGACGTGGCTCGGTTCGCGGAGAAGGTTGGCGTGAGTCCGCCCGAGATTGTTGCTCTGGAGATAGAAATTGAGGAGCTAGAGGCTCAAGTCCTAGAGGGAGACAGAGCTGGTGGTGAGGAGAGAGAGACACCTACAAAAGAGGAGATAGAAGAGGAGGCGGAGGAAAAAGGAGAAAAAGCGGAAAAAGAAGAGCAGGAGGAAGATGAAGTTGAGGAGAAGGGGTGTTCAAGTGAAGGAAATGAAGAAGAGAGTGGAGTCCAGGGGGAAGAGAAGGGTGTTGATAGCGAGACCATAGAGGAGAGCAAAGGGCCTCCAGCAAAACGAGTAAAACATGTATCAGTAACTGGAAAGACTGGAGCAGCGACTACACCTCCAACGTGCCGGAGGAAAATTTCATCACGCGACAAACTGAGAAGTTCGGGCGAGAAAGATACAGTCGACAAAAAGGTATGAAGTAAAAATCAGCAATGCTCTGAATAACTGTTTCTTAATCCATAATGTGTGCAGGTGATGCAGTGTGTGAATGAGTGCACATGTGAGCGGACCATTGAGGTCCACCACTGTGGAAATGGAAAATTCACCGTCTCCAGTAACTCAGTCTCCATCCCCAAATCATCACTCATCACCATCTACGCACGGGTAAACCCCCCCAATCACTGCAATGATGAAATGATTCAGTTTCTGGATGTAGCTGCTGTCTGATCGTGTGATGGTCCGCGTCGGAGGAGGCTGGGAAACTCTCGAGCACTTCCTTCTCAAACACGATCCTTGCAGAGCCGACCACCTCACTGGTTAGATCTATAATTACACACACCTTGTGTGAATATTTACATCGATTTTGGCATGTCCGTTTGCAGATCAAAAAGCTCAAGTCATGAAAAACTCTCGAAAGAGGGCAAGAGAACTGTAATAATGTTTTATATCACCACTTATTTATGCGCAAGTACATTTTGTGCGCATGCGCCTACACCACGTGGGCAAGGGTCGGGCATTAGTTGCCACCGCTGATGGCTAAACTGTAGATGGTCAGATTCAAGAACAGGTATAGCAAGAGCTGCCAACCTGGTCCAGCGTGTCTTCACCTATCCTTTCCCCCGCTGTGCAGGTATCTTTTGGTGGAAATACACTCCGACCCCCAAGGTCCCCGGGGGGCCGCGCTACGCGGGGCCACCACTCGCTCGCTGCTCCTTTGCCTCAGAGATGCCGTCTCTGCTCTGCACGGGGACTACGGCTTCGCCTCCGTGTATCGCTCCCTCTGCGGTACGTAAACGTTCCGTTTGCGCATGCACACCACGTTGATGCCAGGTGCAACCCTTCTCTATGGAAATGAGGTCACCTCTCTAAAATGTACACCTTTTAATTCAAAACAACCCCTGAAATAAGGACACCGCACTAGAGCACTTTCTTCTGTCCTATTGCTGTATCCAGTGAAGTACCTGAACGTGGTAACAGGTGTGGCAATAGTGCGGTGTCCGCGGGCCCACCACCGTGCCGTGTGGACCGCCGTTTCCAGTCTCACCTCCCTCCACGGGACCCCCTGCTCCATCTCCCTCATCCACCTCGGAGGTGAACCCCTCTCGTCTCATCTCTAATGTCCTGCAGCCTTAGTCTACTGCAACTCCCTCTTTCTCACCCTTAGTTTAGCTTCAGTAGCTACTTAATGACATAGCCTTCCACTATCACCTGATATTAAATATTATATATAGGAAAGAGAATTCAGTACATTACAGCATTCTGCAGCCTCTCTCCCTCACTTCTTCCAACAAAAGTGTTTTCGTCATGTGAGATTGTCTCCATAAATTGCTGCTCTATGTTTACAAACCAGGCACCATTCGTTCGTGTCAGCGACATCTGGTGGCCCACAACAGGGCCCAGCTGACCGAGATGGTTGCCTCGGCAACCACCCCCGTGGAGCGAAGACAACTTCGGAGCAGAATGGAACAGATCCTAGGCAGAGATTCTATTCCCATTCCAGTGTGATGACAACCACTCACTGGCTTTTAAATCACCAAAAACACAGTATTTGCACAAAAATTGCATTATAATGGAGAGCACAGATGGCTTGCGATAATAATATATATATATAATTTTGGTCTAAAATGTGAAATGCAGAAGTGAGTGTGTGTATATAAAGTGCATGTTTGACAACAAAAAAACAAGAAACACAAACAACAGTAAGACGTTTTTCTGCCGCTCCACTAAGTGGTGGGCGTGGCTTCATCATCGCTACTTCCAGGAGGCGTGCAGGCTGGTGTGATGTTCTTCTGCCCTGCCAACTGTTGGGGGAAGCAGGTTTACAAACTGGTTTTACAAGCCTATTATTACCTATACACATACTGTCATGGACCAAAGCTACTGGTTTTAGGCAACTTATTCAAGTAGACTCTCTCAGCATGCATAATTATCTTCATTGAATTTCGTCATGATTATTCAATGCACACCAATTGTCCAGCTTGAACTATAGGATGTATGTTGTATGTACCTTGAAGGCAGTGAGCCATTGTTTCATTTCTGAGTTAGTCTGTGCAGCAATGACGTAATTGTTTCTCTTGTTCCAGGCACTCTCTGTGTGGATTATGAACTGAAACGACTGCTTCCGTGCGCCTACAGTCACAGAGAGAGAGAGAGATAGAGAGGATTAATGATAAAGTCATGAACCCTTGGGGCAAGTCATCTCGAATATGCATACACCACCACGTAAACTAACATGACATAATAAATACTGACTCCCCAGGCGTCCACACATGGAAGGTGTTGTCTATTGGCTGTCTATATAGAGAGAGCAGTGGAGTAGTTCAGGTTCCACCAGCCAAGGGACTGAGAGAGTGCTGCTGACAGGCTTCTATTGGTGAACACACATCCCAACACTCTCACCACAGCCACAAAATGCAATGCACACTGAGTACACCTGATCTCTAAGCAACTACAACATGTCACAGTATTGCTGCTTCGAGTCATTAGCACGCGTGACAATGCTCTGAGCTAATTCGTAATCCATGATAATTTGCCGACAGAAAACACATGGTATTGTGTTACAGAAGACTCGATGTTGCACAGTATGTGTAGATGGGTGCAGGGGAAACTGTGTGACAGCAGAAAGAATGCACACAGAGTGTGGGAGTCTTACTGGCACTGGGATATCTGATCTGTAGGTTCTTTAGCTTCACTTCTCCCAGCGGCTTGGTGGCCTGGGGAGGGAGGAAAGAGATGTGCAAACCAATCCTCATGTATTGCTTATTGATTGAGGCTCAGCACCAGTTGTCATACGCTCTATCTTTTACTATTGACTAGCAAGCTTGGTTAAAGTGTCTATCAATAATATTGGACTGGTATATAATATATACTCACGGTAGCGTTCTTGTAGTAGGAGAACATGCCAGGCTGCAGGACAAAGTATCGCAACTTCCACGTCTTTCTCTGACCGCCTTCCTTGTAGAGGAATCCACGTTTCTCTATGAACGGGGCTGGGGCTGAGGAGAGAGAGAGATGAATAACATGATGACTCAACTAATTGTCTAGTACGGCTATAGAAGGGCCACCCCCAGTGTCTGATCTGACCAGTCTACTAGGAGGAAATCAGAAACATGACTGGAGCTGAGGGCCATGAATATGACTCCTTACACTCCAATTCCAGGAGATTAGGTGCCAATATGAAACTAGTTCTCTGACCTTCCCACATACACTATCACTGCTCCATAAGAGTGACCTTCCCCCCTCCACCCATACAGAAACCACTACTTCCTCATCTATCTTCAGTTCCCCTTCCCCCCTCCCAACTATACTGAAATCAAAGGTGGCCTTACCCCCCCCCCCCCCCCCCCTTTCTCAGAAACTTACCTATTCTCGACTTGTCTCCCATTGCCTGCGGAGGTGTGGCCACCTCTTCCTCCTCCTCTTTACTCATTACGTCTGACTCCACGACCTCCGACCTCTTCAGTGTCGGGACTTTCTCGATGGTAATGCTGGGGGTTGTGGGGATCGATGGTTCGGGGAAAAAGGCGTCGGGTGAGGGGTCAGTGGAATCGGAGGGTTCGTCTTTCGTGGGTTCATTGGACTGAGATTCCAGGGGGGCTGGGGGAACCACCAACTCGTCCCCTGTACTATCATCTGTGGAAAAGAGAGAGAACAAGAAAGAGAAGAAGAGAAAGGAGATTTGAAAGATGGTTTCACACACGTGATAATTGAGACGTACCATCTGATTCAGTATCTGAGGCAGGAATGTCGACTGTGTTCTCTCTTATCATTGTGATTGTCAGAGCCGACTTTACTTCAGCGATGGCCACCTCTGTACTGGTTTTCCTCTTGGGCTCCTCGTCTCTCCCTCCCTCTCCCTCCTCCTCTTCTTGGTCGCTCCCACATGCCTGGACCTTCACCGACGTCACCACTTCCACCTTCCCCTCAATGTCCATCGAACTCTCTACTTTCTTCTCCGCCTCCAGTTCAATTCCGTTGGGCTGGACTTCCTTGGTCTCCTGTGGTTCAGTTTGGTCACTTGTGGCAGTACCATTGGACTGGTCCTTTTTGGTCTCCTCTGGTCCAGTTTGGATGATTTTGGTGGCCCCATTGGACTGGTCTGTTTTGGTTTCCTCTGTTTCGGTTTGCTCGCTCGCGGCAGTACCATTTAAAGTAGGTGAGGAGTGACCATTAGCGATGATGTCATCGCAGTTGTGTTCACCTCCAGTTGTTGCCGTTTCCTCGTCACTGGAATCATCTCTTTCGTTTTCCTTCGTGCCAAGTACCTGAAGAAATACACGGAATATACCTCATGTCAAACAGCAGTAGTGTATAGCGTTATTGCTTATAGCTAGAACAGCTGTCTTCCTAGGAATGGATGTATGTGTTATCATAGGTGTGTCTGTACCTGTGAAATGAGGTCATCATTGAACGATGTCGCTGCTTCTTCTTCCTCCTCCTCATCGTCCTGCTGGTTGTGTGAGTTCTGCAGAGCCTCGTTGTTCTGACTGGTGGACAGGTGGCTGTCAATACTAGTCTCCTGTAATGAGAGAGTGTGTGTCACTCCATATTTGGCTCCCCACGCTTCAAGAGACACCATACATTAGCTATTTGCAGAGAGAAAACTCCTGATTTCTCCCCCAATAAACCAAGAACACAGTTGGAGTTCAAACCTAGTATCTTATAATTAGCTTAATATGCTTGCTTGTGGCTTATTGATGACTTGGCTAATGCACTACCTCTTCCTCCTCTCCATCCCCCGTGTCCAGGAGAGCTGCAGTAATCGCCGTGTCTTGTCTGAGGACTTTCTGCGGGCGTTGGGTCTGAGCTGGTTCCTCTGCCTTCATCTCCTTCTTGGCCAGCTTTGGGCTGCGTGGAATAGCGTTCCTCACTGCAGTTATCCAGTTGTCTCTGTCTCCCTTGTTTACTGCATTCAGTAAGTACGACCTGAGAGAGACGAGGAGAGGGGGAGAGGGAGGGAGATGGAAGGGGAGAGAGAAGAGAAAAAGAAAAAAGTGAATACTAACATGCAGGAAGATTCGTGGAAATGGGTAAAGGGGAAGAAGAGACATCAAAAGTGATGGCATATACTATGATTGCAGGTCTTCAGAGAAAGTGAGTATATGGCCCACATCCTGAGAATTCTCCATCTACACTTCTCCCCGTTTCCATGTTTGCCACACACTCCTTCCTGTGCTGTGTAAGCCACAGAAGACTCACAAACAATGGAGTAGAGTACTCCCCAGGAGCCCCTCAATGGAGCCGGCGTGATTACTATCTGCATTCCAACCCCACTTTAAAGTCACGTACATACTACAAAGGTGCCTTGTTTCTCCCGGCAGGCTATAAACGCATCAGCAGAGTCTCTATATGACTGCTGTAGGTGGCAGTTATAAACTCCCACCCTCCAACATATGGAGGAGAGTAAATTTGTTAGCTAGGGAGAATAACACCAGTGTTTACCCACGGTGTTTACACCTTGGCTGGCCTGCCTGCACGTGTGTGTGTGTGTGTGTGTGTGTGTGTGTGTGTGTGTGTGTGTGTGTGTGTGTGTGTGTGTGTGTGTGCTCCTGCTATACACAACAACAGCAACGCAGGCGGAATCTTGGAATATTCATTGCGATGAAGAGGTCCAGCCATTTCAGCTGTTTCCAGCTCTCACAGCCATAATAACACAACTCACTCATCAGCCAGACCAGCAATAGACCCCTGCACTAGAGCACAACTGACAATTATTGCACAAAATATGCCTTCCATTCATTCTTTCACATTCAACTGCAGATTAGACCTAAACAGCACATCACTAGTGCCACATCAAGCATAGCACACAGTCAGGTGAGCTGAAACAATCCTTGTCACTGGCACTTTAAAGAAAGCTCCCTCATCTTTCTTCATCATAAACCACATCGGCACTCTTCCCTTTCCGTTTGGCTGCATGTAGCGAAACTGGGCTGCAAAACAGGAAGTTTTAACACACGTGGCTCCTCCAAACACAGCTCCCTAGGCTCCCCTCCAGCCCACATGAAAACTCTTTCATCTCCGCATTTCCCATAATTCCAGGGGCTCCTCGAGACAACGAGCTATGCCTGTGGCAGCCATCAGTACAGTAACTGGCAAGCCAAGAGAGCAAACCTGGTTGTCCGAATCGTGTAAATTCCAGAAAGAAATTCTTTCACAAACAAAAATAATGCCTCAAAACAGCAGGCGGAAGAGCATGCTATATATACCAGGGCCCAACTGATCAGGGCCACTGTATATAATACATACATACACACACTACATACCTATATACGTAACAGGGAAAGCAGAAGCCATTGTCTGTGTGTTGGTAACCATATGAAAAGGCATCCAGTAATTGAGTCATGGAATGGAGTTTGCTAGCGTAAGTATAAGGCTCCCCCAACGTTAAGACTTTTTATAAAAGCTTTTTGCTCCAGACTGTATATAATAAGCGTTCCTTGCCATACTCAGATTGTTGTTGCTAGTAATATAATGCCAGATCCTACATATTAACACCACCCCATTTCACATTGCTAGCATTCCAAGTCTCAAGTTGCTGTTCCCAAGATAAAAAGATACACAGAGGACCAAACGCTAATTACTATTTACTGCCCATCGAATGTGTGTTTTTAATATAATGCAGAGTGAGGTGGGAATAAAAGACAGGAAGGTGGAGATAGAGTTTGTTGTCAGTTTGAAAGAGGGAGTTGGATGGTAACAGTAAAAGTTAAGAAAGGGAGGGAGTAGGGAGGTTGGAGGGTCTTACTGTCTCTTGTTGACTGGATCAGGGGCATGGACTATGAGCCCAAACTTGCAGCCTTTGGGAGTATCACGTGCCACATTGACTGTCCCGTTCTTCAGCTTTATAGCTCCAATCCGGTTCTGAAACAGAGGCAGAGAGAGAAATGAAGTACATAGTTATGCTGCATTTGTTGGAGCCAAGTATACAAGCGAACAAGGGTTATAACAAGGCAAGCTTGTCGTTTCTGTAAACACAAACAAGCAAACGCGACAGGAGTTACAAGGCTAGTTACAAGCTACGGTCACTAGCTATACGTTTCGCTCTACCGGCGGAGCGTGCGTACAATTGGTGCGTCCTTTCGATCAAAGCAAGAGGCAGCGCGACACTAGTGCTCACCCCGAGTGTCTCTCCCTTGGCGAGGTCCACCTTCCACTTGTTTTCCGTCTCGTAGTACACCAGAAAACCAGGGTACAGCACAAAGTACCGGTACTTGAACGCCTTGTGCAGGGAGCCTTGTTTCATGAGCATACCCCGCTTGCTCGGTTTCGCCAACTCGAACGCAAACGTGCCTCTCTTCGCCATCTCCTCGTACAGAAGGTCGCTGTTGTTAGGGAAGTTTTTTTTACTTTGCAACCGTTGCTGAGCTGCGAACACTTTTATAAACCCACAATAATTGCCACAACTATGCAATTTATGTGCGCATGCGCATTTCAGTGAAAATGTCACTACCCGTGGAGAAGCGAGCGTTGTTAGTGCCCCCTCTGGAGGAACTAGCGGAAGGTGTGTGTTCAGTTTTGTGTGTGCGCCTATGCAGTGTTTGTAGATCGGGATTTTTTCTGTTTGCGAGGTTTCTGTGATGTTCGCGTTGGGCTCGTAGCGCGCCGACGGCGAGTTCGCTGCTCCGCGGAATTTCGGTTACACATGACGTAAACGTAATTGACTGGTGGGCCATTGTGCGACAAGGTTTCTGTATGGAATTTGGAATGCTTGATTTCACTGCCTGCTGAGCTTCCCCACAGCCTCCATTCTCAGGCATTCACATACCAACCAGTTCAGTGTGCCTGGCTGGAGCATTGCACAGCCTTGTCTGGTGTGTGGCAAACCTTGCCGCTGCCGGAAATTCTCTTTCGCTCACCCCAGAGTGGAGACAGGGCTGCGGCCTCTCTATGGCTGCCCTGCTGCATACCGTTTATACTTGTACACAAACACACACTAGCTGTCCGACCTTCTGTGCTAGAAAACAAGAAAAGATTTCCACCAAAGTTGAGAACATTGAGTGAAGCTTCTCTCTTTCCCTCTCTCCCCCCTCACACACACAAACACACACTCTCTCTCTCTCTCCTTCTCCTCCCCTCTCTCCACCTCTCTCCACCTCAGTACTAGAAGAAGGTCTGAAAGGGAATTTCTCAGAGGTCAGTGTTTCTGTAGTGGAATGTCCTGATCTCAGTCTCCCGACATGGAATCTGGCCGCCCAAGGTCAATTAGTAACCTCACCTACTCATTCCAGCCCCGCATTCTGAGGAAAATGTCCGAATTTTGAGTGAAACATTTTTAACTGTCAGTTTCATCATCATGAGGAAATAAAGGTCACCACAACATTAATTACAGGAAATTGTCATCTGAGTCATTTGATAAGGGTCATTACGTGTGACGAGGGTCTTAATAATAGGGTGCAGACTTTCTCCCCCTTGGGATTTATGCATCATAGCCCCTGGCCAATGTGCTAATCAGGGAAGGTTCCAGTGTCTTACTCCATAGGCCACAGTTTTGCTTTCTCAAACTTATCAAACGTATATACTCTCCTCTCAAGGGAAAGGACACACTTGGAAGTGAGGACCCTTCTCTAATAGGACACTATTTCTTTCCTGAGGAACATTTCTTGCGTCAAATTGAAATAAGGACATTTTTCACTAACGTGGAACCGTTGGCCTGTCTCAGCGGTGTCCAGATTAGACCACTATATACCCACCACCATTATGTTCTCCTTTTTAGAGGTGTTATTTACTCAAAAGGGGGAAGGGGTGGTCCTAGGAGGCTATAATTATCCAGTGATATGGGCTCAGTTTGTTGGTGTGAGAACAGTGACCTTATACATATACACTTCTACCAACCATTACATCATTTCCTGTTCCAAGTTTGTGATCAGCAGCGAGGTTGTTACAGTTGATATTTCACTCCTGAACCCACCTTTTGGACCCACTGGGGGGAATGTCGGTCACCCCTGCAGGAGCTATGCACTCAGCCGCATTCTATAGTTCGCAGTCGTCTAGAGTTTGGCGGGTGTAAAGGTCATGGTGTTAGTAATAATACAGTGTGAGGCCAGGAAAATGATCAACAGGAAATTACAAAGTAACGATTCTTTCCAAATATGGTGTGGACGCCATATACAGCCATTACTGATTCCATTATTGTATTATAATAGCATTTCATGGGATTTTGTTTGCGGTGCGCAGTTCCTCTCTGCTATAATTAGGAACGGTAAATAGTGCCAAATGACAATTGTCTAGCTGTGTATATCAAAAGTATGGTGAACAGCCATTTGACTATCAACTTTTTCAATCTTAGTTCAGATTTTAGCAGATCTGAGCATCAAACTCGCATTAAATTATGATAATGTAATACTCACATTTTGACGTCATAAAACGCCAAACCTGTGTTTGTCAGCTAAGGACAACAATGGTTCATTTGGCCCATGATTTGCCACAATTTATCTCCCTACTCTCTCCCCTCCTCTCCATTTCTTGAATGGTGGATGTACAGGTCTGTGTGGGTCGCCACGGCTACTGGATGTGGGCGGAGTCCCATACCTGATGCCCGTACCAGACAAAACAAAGGTGGAGTTGATAATATATGATTTCACGATTTCCTAAAGCAGGAGCAGTAGCTTCTATGCACATGGTAAATTCTGCACGCTGATTTTTTTTTGTCGGACTAACAATAATTATTTGTATCCCATCGTTATTTTTACACCCTGTGGTATATGTGTCCAATTATAGTGTGTGTTTGTGCCACCCTTATTTGTATCCAGGTATGTGTGCATGCATCTGCCGCTAATGGTGGCGTGTACTGGTCTAGTGGTGACCCAGATTAGGCAGTGTGTCTTGCATCTGCCGCTAATGGTGGCGTGTGCTGGTCTAGTGGTGACCCAGATTATGCAGTTTGTCTTAGTTCAGCCTGACTTCCAAGGACAGTGCTATTTTATGACATTTGCCCAATCATCCTGATAATTGTAATATGGCAATATGGACATAGTGTCGTCCTGTTTTGGAGAGAGGGAGATGATACTATGGCGGTATTTGGGGGTTACCAGCAGTGGCTCGTGTTTCTAGAGCAGCGTGTGGGTATAGCCATCGAATAGCATTGCTGGAATGTCTGCAGACACATGTTTGCACAGAGGGACCGACTGTGTGTGTGTGTGTGTGTGTGTGTGGGGGGCATGTGCGTTGGGACATACATATATGCCTATTGGGTTGGTTAATTAATGAAGGTGTTACGGCTGAGCGATATCTCTCCCTCACTCCCTCACTTCCTTTGCACCTTCTTCTCCTCTTCACAATATATACAATGAAACAAGTATGAACAGTGTCAATGATACGACTGTCCCTTTATACTGTAGTATATGGGAGGCTCCACTGTATTGCGTCATGTCCGATCCTTATCACTGCTGAAATATAAAACACAAACATTATGCTATTGTATTACTGCACTCAACCTAATTGGGCTCCCAACCTCTCCTCCGCTGTAGACATATGATCTTGGACAGCTTGCAGCACTGGCTGGGCTGCCCGGAGGACTTATCATTGGTGCAGGAGCTGGCTCCAGTCAGGCTGCAGGAGTCAACTGTGAGGTGAGCAAATACCCTCTAGCTGAGTCGTTGTTTAGTTTGTTGCCTTTGTTTTGACATTGAAATTATCTTACTCAAAGAAACAACATTTCTCCTCCCTGTCTCCCTCTTTATTCCTTGGCTGAATACTGCTGTGACAGATGATGCCGAATGCCCTGGCTCCTCACAGCTCCTCTCCAGGCACCAATCTCACTCATATTGCCAGAGTCTCTACTGAGGTACCTGTTGGCGAGATAGAGCTAGTGCTTGTGTATCCTTCCTTCTCTGGTTCTGTCAGTGTTGACACTGGATTATGATTCTGTTTTGAAGCAACTGCACGCAACACACAGTCCAGTGCTGCTGCTGATCAGTTTCAACTTGTGATTATGATCTCTCTCTCTCTCTCTCTCTCTCTCTCCTGTCTAGGATGGCTCCTGCATTTTGGAGCGGTATCCCTCTCTTGAGGCTGGGCCCCTGGCCAATGTGCTAATCAGTGAAGGAAAACCTGGGACAGGTAAATTAGCATTATTATAATTATGCATACATTCATTGTTTTTTCACTGTTTTAGTAAAGTGTGTGAATGTTGAAGCATTTGGGAGTGTATGGATATGAAAAGTTGTCCAGTTTTTGAAAAGTTAATGTTGTGTCAAGGTTAATGAATGTGTTCTTAGGTGCTGGAGATCCAAGCCAGGAGAAGAACAGGTTCAGACAACTTTGTCTCCGCCATGAGGAAGACGGTCGCCGGGCGGTACGGGGCGGAGCCGGTGGGAATGGGCGGAGTCTTCCAGATCAAGAGCGGCCGGGCAAAGCTCCATGTCATGGTGTGTGTGTGTGAACTAGAACCAGTGAATATTGGCATGCAATATATTATTGGCCAGCACCCGCGACAATGGATCAGTATTTAGAGTATAGGATGGTTAGGAGTTCTGTTCCTGTCCATAAGACGAGCGTGTGTGTGACTATTACGGCTCGTAGGTAACTTTCAGGATGTTTTGTGTGCGTTTAAGTTGCGAAAGAATTGCGGTTTCTCATCGCACTACAGTAGTAAACTGTTGAGCTGGCAGGGAGTCCTCAGTACAGTCATGCAGCTGAGGGAAAACAGAAGAGGAAAGGCTCAGTGTCATCCACAGATCATTTATTAGCCAATTTTGTGAATAATTATGCTCCTAATGGCGGAAGTATTCTGGAATTAAAATTCCAGTTTAAGATTACGAGTTCACATACTTAATCACATGCAAAACATACCGAAAGTGTAGCGTACTCTGACGACCTTAATTGTGCATGAGATTGGGCATTTTCTTAAACAGCTGTGTTTGTTTGGGGTCCTGATGAACTAATAAACTAGGTTGGTAGCTGGAATTTTCAGTGAATGTGTACAGTATATAGCACAGTTCAACAGCCTTGCACTTAGACCCCTCCCTTTTCCACCCAGCCCGACTTCTCAGTCACACCACTGACATCAGATGAAGACGTGAACAAGTGGCTGAGGTTCTACGACACCTCCTCTCCCCTGGTCTGTCTCTCTGAGTTTGTCAGCCACGACCCTGGCCTGGACCTGCGTGTGGAACACACCCACTGCTTCAGTAACCACGGAGACGGGGGTCACTACCACTGCGACACCACGCCCGATATCGTTCACTACCATGGCTTCTTCACTGTTGCTGAGCAACTGATTCGTGTTGATAGACCTCAACTGACTCATAACTTTGGTAGAGATTAGGCCATAGGATGGGTCTCACGCATGCGCGCTTTGTGTGTGCTCGATCGGCCGGCCTCGCACAGTGTATGTACGCATGCGCGTGTCCAGCTATTACGTCATCGTATGCGTGTCGTAGGTGCGCTTCTTTTAGAAAAAAAACAGCTGGAAAGGAGAAGATTGGTGGTGAAGGCCAAGCGGGCGAATAAACATTTCAATCCTACTGAAGATGTCGGTAATTATGCCTAGCGTGTCTTGTGAGAAGGTGAAGAATGGTCTGTGGACACAGGGCTGGTGCAGTGAAGCTAAACTCTCTGGTGTTTGGTCGGCCGACGTCAGCCGCGGCTCCGCTGACCGTCCTCCACGGGATGCTCGGCTCCGCTCGCAACTGGCGCTCCCTCGGACCTCGCATGGCCGAGCGGCTGGACCGAGTAGTGAGCCCTGCTACCATGCACGGATTATGCCTTGGGCCCGGTGTCACAGTATATTTTATCCGGGGGATAGTATATTCTATCCGGCCGGATAGAATACTCTTAGTGTGGAATATCCGGGGTCCGGATATTTTATCCCTCTAATAAGAAAAGTTTCTGCGCATACGGTTGCGCATCTAAACGCGCGGGACCATTTTGTTGGCGTCGTCGCTGCTCATACAGAGTTGAATCTGCACGACTGCACTCTGTTTCTCTTCGAGACACAGCGGTTGCGCGGGTCTGCTCGCCTTCACCTGCGAACCTGAGCTCCACGCTCGCTGGGATATCCGGTAGTGTTCTACAGTCCGCTGGTGTAACTCCAAACAAGGCTATCATCGCATTCTGTAACGTTGAAATCCCCCACAGAACCTCAAAATAACAACCCGCCTGCGTTTCGACACTCCTAATAACGCACAGCACGGGGTATAAAATATCCCGGGTGCGGATAGAATATCCTAGGAAATTTTATCCGGGGGGGATAGAATATCCTATCCGCCCGGATAAAAATTCGGGGGGATGAAATGTACCGCGACACCTGTCCTTAGGAAGAGCGCTCTGTCTAAAAGAGCAGAGTGTCCGTACTAGTGGTAGTACTTTTCTATGAGAGTGTTGTTGTCCGAGTGTAGTGTTTACAGCCCATTATTTTTCCTCTCCTCACACCGTCTCCTGTGAAACCAAAGGTGTACGTACCTGACGCTAGGAACCACGGAGACAGTCTGCACACCTCAGACATGACCTTTACCCTCCTGGCGAGAGACGTGGTCCAGTTCCTGAAGGAGAGGGACCTGGCGAAGACTGTTCTGGTCGGCCACAGTATGGGCGGATCCACTGCCATGCTTACTGCTCTCAAGTAGGTGGTCGGTTATTCCAGGTTAGATTTGACATAATTTGCTGCAGCAAATTGGCATGCGGAAAGCGAAATTGCACATCTATTCAAATGTGTCAGTTTTACCGTGCTAAGAAATGTTACACGTGTGAGGCTGATCAATGACTGACTGCAGGTATCCCCAGCTGGTGGAGGCACTGGTGGTGTTGGATTCCTCCCCAGAGAGACCGCGACGACAGCCCAGTCCGGTCGGGGCTCTCCTGGGTCTCCTCAGAGACCTCGACCTGGACACCATCGCCAACAGGAGGGAGGCTGACGAGCAGCTACGAGAGAAGATTCCAGTCAGCTTCCATTCCTCCCTCTCCCTTTCTCCTTTCCCTCGTCTTCTCCCTTCCCTATATATATATACTTCTCTCGCTATAATGATATCGCTCATTATTGTTAGTGAGCTGGCTAACCTTCGAACAGTGCAGTTTTTTATCTGCTATATATGTCATGCTGGTGCCCATACGTGAACATTTGCATGCTTCTTTTTTATGCGAAATTTCTGCAGTTCTCGCTTCCACTCACACGCGTTCATGCACTAATATAGATCTCTCCTGTGTTCTCCCCCCAGTCATCTCCTCTGAGAGACTTCCTTCTGACTAACCTTCATCAAGACGAGGAGACGGGCCGACTGAGGTGGAAGGCCAATCTGGAGACACTGCACCGAATGTTCCCCCATCTTTCCACCTTCCCCGATGTAGGTGGGGCCACATATACTGGCCCCACCCTCTTTCTGGGTGGCGGAAACTCTGATGTCATCGGGTGAGCTTATGCTATGGTAATTCTGCAGAAAGACCCTAGATAATTGCCAATAATAGGATTTAGTAGTAAGGGGAAATTAGTTGCTTCCTCCCCTCACTTTTTCCCAGGGAGAGCTCCCTGCCAAGTATACAGAGGTTGTTCCCCCGTTCCACTGTGCGACACATACCAGAAGCAGGCCACTTGCTGCACACGGACCAGCCGCAACTGTTCCTCGCTGCCTTGCAGGAATTCATACAGTCACTGTCCCTCTAGTTGTCATACAGTCACGCATTGTTGGCCCCACGCATTATGAATTTCATTCCTCTCGCATGTTGAGTGTCAGTTGCGCAAGATAAGAGTTACAGTTCGCAGTTAGAAGACTCTGTCTTCAGCCGGAGGGCTTGCCAGAGAGACAGAGAGAGCGTTACGCGAAGCTACATACACTACAGTTGATCCGGAGCTACTAAGCGGTTTTCCAGTTTCAAAGGCTGCTGCCTGGAGTGCGCCATGAGTGCCCACGTGCACGTTCCTTGGAAGGCCCCCCAGCACCCAGCCAGCGTGAAACCGCTGCTGGAAGGCCTGGACCTCGCCTCCCCGGTCCGCTCTGGATGCATGTACAAGGAGGCGCACACCCACGTCGTCTTCCACAAGCGGTTCTTCGTCCTCTTCCCGCGGGTGCTGGTCTACTACGAGAAGGAGGCCGACTACAAGAGGGACTTGGCCAAGGGCTCGCTGGAGGTAAGCGGAGGTTTGGCTGATTGTCTATGTGTGCTTATTCCAGGTTCAAAGTATTATGGTAGCTGGATATCCTGGTAGCTTTGGCAGCTACGTACACACACTGAGATCGGTAGTATATACCTGTAGGGTGGGTATTTGTTTGTGTTAGAGACACACCATAATATGTTGTCAGCATGACCTAAGCCCTGTAACAGAAAACACAGGAATGCAAAACACCATAGTTAGGTCATGCATGGCACACTTTGACTGCCGTGTGGGGTTTACTCTCCTCCTCCCCCTGTAATAATAATCCTCATTAGCACCGACACAAGGCCATCGTATTGGACAGTCTCTACCTCTCAAAGCCAGAGAAGAAAGTAAAGGGAGCAAAATTTTGCTTTATTCTCCACGCTCCGGACAAGAGTAACCCAAGACAGTGAGTAACAATTTTTTGGGTTTTCTAAAGCCATCACTCTCTGGAGTATGAGAGTATTGGACCTGATGAGCTAATCTTCCTATTGCATAACTTTAGCACTTACCCACTAACACCCCATTGTGGTTTTTCACTATGGCTGCCTTTGCATGAACTTCCTTGCAGCCCCTCAAGTGTTGTAAGTGGCAAAGTTCAGCTCTCAATGCACTGTAATGTCTCCCCCTGCAGCGACTTCCTTCTTGTCACTGAAAGCAGGGAAGAGCGCAAGCACTGGATCGAGGCCCTCCAAGAGCAGAATCCAGCCTTGCTGTCATCGGAGGACCACTCTCTACATATCCATCCAGACACCCCACAGATCCCTCGCAGATCTGACAGCAGTAGCAGCACCTCCAGCAACGGTGTCCAACATCACCACGTAGTAACACACCCGAGCATGCTGGTGACTGATCATCCAGCTCGTCCCGGCTCCCCGCGTCACGATATTCAGAAAGTGGCCTCCAGCGATTCATGTGCGTCAATGTCAGTGGACTATCTCGATATTCGACAACTCAGCATCAGAGAAGGGCCCAGTGACACGGAAGAGGACAACAACTGAACCTTATACATTTTATATACCGCTGCAATGCTGTTTATGTTTTTTGTATCAACTGATGCAGGCAATCTCATTTCAGTATAACAAGAATGAGTGGAAAATTTTACATATTATAATCTTTGGACAGACAATGAGAGACACAAATTAGATCTCAGTCAATTCTTCAGAATGGTTGGAGTCTGTGGAGAGGATGGAAGGACTGTCAGCATTGAATATGAGGGCGACATCGCCAGGGTTGTAGCTCCCCGTGCTGAGCCAGGCAGAGTCCATGTTGTCAACAGAGAGCACGGACTGTAAGGAAGTGTGCTGTAGCCTCATCCTCTGAATGTAGCACGGAGTCTTGTGCGGTATCACGCTCTGCGTCAGACTTGTGTTCTGTGATTGTAGCTGCTCTACCCAGATCCTCATGTCTTTCTTGGTCTGACACACGAGGATGAATTCCCTGCAAACAATGATTGAGAACTCTTACTATAAACCTTGTTGAGTCTAAGATGTTGGACTACAGTTCACCATCGAAACGCAAATTTTGTTTATAGGACACGGTTTGCAACATAGTATCTTTGGCAAGAACTGCATACAGCCAACTTAATACTGGCAGCCAACACCGTTCCTTATATGGTTTGAGTTGAAATCTGCACCTCCGGTTCGGAAACTACTAACTGAAAACTAACTGGTAAAATGTATACACAAAACTGCACTGTACACAGCTTCACTTCTACAGTGATATAACAATCGGCAATTCTTTTGAAGTCATAAAGGAAGAGGCCTCTCGCAGGCGGGGGTGTATATAGACTCACTGTCTATGGTTGGAGCTCTCTGGAGTGTGCAGAGTGAAACTGTGCCTGATCCCACGGAACAAAGCCTTGGGTCTTGTTAGATACAGTCCATCCAGCTTTACCAGTGTACAGTGTAGGGGCTGTGTAGCGGAAAAGAACATCCATCAACTACATAATATCCCGGATAACTCTAACTCTGTACTAATGCCCACTCACCATTCCTTTGCGTTTCTTCACATCGTCCTCAAACTCTCGTTTGTGCGTGTAGTACACCAACAGACCGCCTTCATAGAGTGCGAAATACCTCTTGCTGAAGCTGTGGCCGCTCTTGTCCTGTTTGCACATGTGTCCTACGACAATTGGGTGCGGGGAGGACGCTGCGTCGAACGCCTCCACTGTCCGCTGGTGCTTGGCGCTGCGGGCGATAGTATGCTCCGATGATGCCATGACCGTTGAGCTAAGCGACGACATGCAGTGAGAAATAGTAGCATCTAAGGTGAAGCGGATTGCTCAGTCTCGCTCCTTCTCGCTTTTGTAGAAGAGCCGGCGCATGCGCGTATGCGTGCAGTGCGGTTAATTAATTCCGCGGCGGTCGGTCTCCCGCCCCCCCTTGCATGCTTCCCTCTTTCAGCGCTCGCGCGCTACATCATCCGGACATCCGTCCACACTACCGCGACCGGACGGCACTATACTACTAGCTATAGCATGCACCAAACGTCGCGCGCGGCCACCCGGCCGCCGCCAGTTAGTTACTGCGCATGCGTGTGCGCAGCGCGCCCCGCCCGCTCCCCGCCGCGCCCATGCGGCTAACGCCGAGCGCTCGCTCTCCTTATTTAGTACAAAATCGCTGATCGAGTCAGTTTGAGCTGAGTTTTTCTGTGCTGCATTCTTACCTGCTGCGTTGCAATCAACTTTACATACGGACATACGGCAGAGCAGGAATGGGCGGCGGTTCGAGCAAGCAACGCGGTGGAGCGGCAACTGAGGGAGCCAAACAAGCCAAGAAAGGTAGCTAACCATCTTCCTAGCTAGCTAAAACCCTTCAGCTGCTCTTTTCTCTCTCTCTGACCACAGCAGCGGAGACGGAAGCTGTGCCGGTTGGGCCGTTCGACGTAGCGATCAGTGGAACTAGCGAAGATGCTGCTTTGGCCGAGTTCATCAAGGGTGCGTGCATTAGATGCTTGCATCGCATTCAGTTTTAGTACATATACGATGATGCTCGTAAATATTTCGCTGCTTTGTGCCCCCAGGCAAGATGGAGGGAGCATCTCTCACTGTCTACTGGAAACCCAGCAACGTGGAGAAAGACGCTAGAATCCTAGGAAAAGTTCTTGTGGACACAAAGGTATGACTCTGTCTGGATAACTAGCCACTTGCAGCTAGGATAACTAGCCACTTGCAGCTAGCTGGGCTGGTTGAGTCCCTTGGGGCCCCAAAAAGGCATAGGCCCAGCTTTTCCCAACTCCACCACTGGCAGCACATGAGTAGTCTCATCAGCAATAGGCTTCTCTCTACAGGGTCTGCACTGTGGGTGTGTACTGCAAAAGGATTCTGTTTGCAATAGGGAGTAATTGAGTTAGCTCTCAATAGCAGGTTCCACCCACTCAAATGTCTGGCACTCCAGACAGGCTGCCAAGTTTTTTTGTCCCATTGCAATATTGGCTTCCAATTACTGGGTTGACCCACAAAATTAGCTCAGACTGGAATGTCAGTCAACCCTTGCAACCCTTGCAATCTTTGCTCCCAAATTGTGAAAATCATCTCCCAAATCAGCTCCATGCCCACCCTTTACACACTGTCCCCCTATTTGGACCTCTCTCTAAAATAACCTCCACAATAGCTCTCTACTGCAATGCCCACTCCTTGCCACTCCTTATATACCAGCTTCCCACAATAACATTCCCTCTTTCTCTCCTCCCGGCAGTGCCTGGTTTCAGTTGTGAGCGCCACGTCAGCTAAAATGAACCACTGCACGGACCACGTGTCTCTGGCCTACATTTCCAACAAACCCATCGTGGTCGTCTCTTCCACCCCAAAGGCAGACGTGATCCAGAAATTTCACTTTGGAATGTAAGAAAACGTATTTAGCCTTTCTTGTCAGTCGTAGTAGTGCATGTCATTTGAGCACTGTGTGCTGTCAGCACCATGTACAGTAAGCACTTAGAACAATCTTTGTCTGCTAACAGGTGAATATGGAATTCATAGTACTGACCTTGATTAATGTTCTCAATGTGTCAAATAATTATAGCAGTGATGAATATAGTATAGTATTGGCTTCTTGGGAGGTGAGAGACCAGTGGGATTTCACGACCCAACGTCACTCTAATGGAATGCTGGGAACTTTACTCTCTCACCTTTAACCCTACCCCCTCTTTTTTCCACTTCCTATTTCTCTCCCTCACCTCTCTCTTTTCCTTTCTGTACACACACTCTCTCTCTCCCTCCCCTCTCTCCTCCCTCCCCTCTCTCCTCTCTCTCCCTCCCCTCTCTCTCTCCCTCCCCTCTCTGCCCCAACAGGAAGCTGACTCTGGAGAATCTCTATTGGTCAGTGTTTGATAGAGCCGAGGAGAGAGAAAACAATGGCCGACAGTTTGTCCAGCTGGTCCAGGAACAGCTCAGCAAGCCCACCACCGAGGTCAGTCCAACTATTCACCTCTATAATACCACACTATAATGAAGTCCTTCTCAATGGTTTGATAGTATTAGTGGGTGTTCATCTTCACGTGGTGTCCCACAGGCAACTCTAGAGACGGTGACAGTGACAGAGTCAGCCCCGCCTGGGGGGATGTCTCGACGACGTGCCCGTATCAACACCAAGCTCCGCAGCCACGGCTCCATCGAGGGCGAGACAGTTGACACCACCAAGGACACGTTCTTCGACCGGAACTTCCCCGGAGAGACCGAGGTCCCGTGGTTCAAGTTCCAGCAGGCATTCCTGAGTGACTACGAGGCCCAGCTCTCTGGTAAGACCCCTCACACAAGGCAAGCAAATTCACAGAATTCACAGGCATGTGATGTTAGTCTAGGGGGAAGGCAAGGTACATTGCTATTTGCATTCCGATGATTTCATGCATAACTCCAATCGTTTCTATATACAACTCATACTAGGCTCAAATCAGGACACCTGCAGCTACACGTTGCTAAATAAGCTCTAAAGCTCTTTCATAAGTATGGCTAATGCTCCACTGATGCAGTGGGCACTTAACAGCATATGCTGTTGGCTGTCATTTGTTGGGTGTTCTCTACTCACAGGGCTGTTTACTGAGGACCAGGTGCCCTGGCTTCTGGAAATGCTCAGGAACGACGTGTTTGGAGGAGCCGAAAAGATCTCGCGGGACCATTTCATGACCATCAGGGGACATTCTCCTGACAAGAACGCCTTCTGGAGGCAGGTCTCCCAGATTGCCGTGGAGAAGTTCAACATGCAGGAGGTTTTCAACATGCGCTCCACCGTTCGCCTCACAGCCATTGAGAAACTCTGTGAGTGTGTTTCTTAGCTCTCTGTGGTGGTCTTTACCATTCTGTTGGCTGGCTGATTGTCATAACTGTAATACTTTTGGGAGAGTTCAGTGTAAGGTTCAGAGTATGTGTAAGCTGCTTTTATGGTAATAAAGTAGTGTAGTTAGTAGTGACATAATTGGAAAGGTAGACTATCAGTCTATCAGCATGTTTCTGCACCATGAATATGCTTGTCAAATCGTTGGGAAAAACTTACCCAAACACACACTCACTCACTCACTCACTCACACACACACACACACACAGCTCAGTTCCAGAATCCTGCGGTGGTGGATGCTCTCATCCGACTGCTCGAGGACCCAGACCCCAACGTCCGTGCCGTGGCAGCAGTCTCCCTCGGTCGCACCGGCAATGCCAGCGACGACGTCGTCGACAATCTCATCACTCTCCTGAAAGACGCGGACCGCATCGTGAGACAGGGGGCATGTCTCTCCCTGGGACATCTCAAAGCCGAGAAAGCTGTTCCACATATTGGACACATCTGGTGAACTATAAGGCACACTGTCCCTCCATTGTAATTTTTGCTATGCACCGAGGGTTTGGAAATATCTGTTGTAATAAATATTGCAGGCGAACAAAAGCAATCTGTGAATCGTAGCATGTCATGTGCTGAGTGTCCTCACAGTCAGTTTGCTGCTGTGCCACTTTAGCCATTTTTTTCTCTCGTTTTTCAGGAGAAACGATTTCATATCAGTGGTACGCAGCGCTGCTCGCACAGCTCTGGAGCTGATGGGTACCGAGTCAGCCAAACAGGTCCTCAATGTGACCAAGATTCTCGAAGACGAGATCAAGGCTTTGGAGGGAGAACATGCCATTGTGTAAACGGACCTGGACTGCAAAACAACTATATATATTTTAATACATGTTTTATGCTGATATATTAAATTTTTTAGAACAATATAAGTTACAAAAAGTGAAGAAAGCGAAAAGAAAAAGTTATTCCACCCGGGATCGAACCGGGGACCTTGAGTGTGTTAGACTCACGTGATAACCGCTACACCATGGAATCACGGTGAAAGCTCGATGTTCAAATATCCATTTATAAAAGCAGTCAGCATAAATGCACTCCCGGTCCTCCCCCCTTGGAACCTGGAAAAGCTAAGGTCAAGGTCCAAATAAACACATCATTCAGTAACTCACAGAGCAAACTGCTGAGGAAGGAAGAATAGGTCTGGTGGCCTGTCACAACTCCAGAGGCTGCTGGGTTACTCCGCACGGTTTTGACAGTGAAGCAGTTCTTATCATCGGAGCCAGTCCCTGCAGATCCAGGTCCATAGACATCCACCTCCACCACGTGACTCGCCAAACTGCACACAATACCAAATTTGTATGTCACACTGCTTTGCAATTTGCTCATACAGTGTAAAAGACAGCCTGATAATTATGAAGTTTCCCCAAGACTCTAGCGTATATACTTCAATGACTGAAAAACCACCTCACTAATGGGACTACTCTGTCAGTGTCCATATTAGAGGGGTTCCACTGTAAATTATTGATGGCAGCTACATACACACACCTTGGATCAGCCACCAGGCAACCGATGACTCCATCGAACCCCAGGTTGTGGGCAGCAATGGCTGCACAGGCCATTGTGTTCACGTTGTTTGGAGCCAGAGGGCAGAGTCCTCTCACCGGACCATCGTACAGAGTGAGAGGATCGTCTCCGACCGTCTTCACTAGCTCAGCTAGACGACCTGTCAGTTTGAACGCAGATGGATGCTTCTTCATCGTTACCTTCAGACCCTACGGCATCGTAAGTGGGGAGATGCAGACATTTTCTACCGCCCCAAAGAGAAAGTCAACAATGGACCTATTTCTAGCAGTGCTCTCACTCTCAGAGTTCCCCTGTCGGCCATTTTCTGTATGTCTTGTCCTCCCCAGAAGGCGCCGGCAGGCACGTAGAGCCCGTGAGCTCCATCCCGAGCCTCTCTCAATAGGTTCCTTTCCACGGCAGCCTCAGCCAGGGCAGTGGGGGACCCTACCTGGGGGAGGAGAGAAGGACACTCAGTAACCGAGCAGGCAGCAAAACATCCGTATTCTGCAAAACTTCTTTTATCTTTCCTCTTACACACCGGCTTGAGAAGTTCTCACTCTTTCATATCCTTTCCGCTTTTACCAATATATACAATTCTGTGTAAGCATTTTGTTTTGAGTAATAGATAGAGGAGAGGTAGAGGGAGATAGATACCATGAAATCGGCGGTCTGCAGGAGGAGCTGGCCAAACTCTGCCACCACAGAGGGATGAGCTACCTCCACTATCAGGTCGGGGCTCATGGAGCCAACCTCTCCGAGGTCACGCAGCACCAGATGCTGGGGGACCGCGTCCAGCATCTTGTCCTCTGATCGGTTCCACACGAACGCCACCTCGTGGTCTCCAGCGAGGTCCGTCCCCAGCGCATTGTACAGGTAGCGCCCTGTACGGGATAAAGAGATTTCTTTTCACATGCCTGCATATACTCACCCAGTCTTCCAAATCCGACTATGCCAACTCTTCTCCGTTTCTTCTTCCCTGTAGTGGACATCTCTTTCAACCATAGGTGAGCTCAGGCGCTCAGCTGATTTGGAGGTGCGCTTTATTTAGAAAGTTACCATGGCAACACGTTCACAAACACCCCCGAAGATGGCGAACATTGACAAGAAGTTGGCGAAAAGGCTGGCCAAGATGCCCGAGGAGGAACGGCAGGCCTTCCTGGAGAACCTGCGGCTGCAGGAAGAGGAAAACAGGCGCAAGAAAGAGGAGCTGCTGGCGCGGTTTCTCAAGGTCGGCTGCATTCGCCAGACTGTACATCATTGCTCGTCATGTTGCTGCAGGACAAACTGGAGAAGGAGGAGAAGCTGGCAAAGGTGAACCAACTAAAGCTACAGAACCAGTGGAGAGTCATCATGAGAAAAAGTAAGCTAGTTTTAAACTCTCGATAGTCATACCATATCTCGTCCTTCTGCAGTGCGGGCGGAAGAGGTCCAGGGAGACGTTCGGATAATGAAGGAGACGTTTCAGAGGAAGGTGGACTGCAAGAACGCCCTCATTCGCTCCCTGGCCAAGGACATAGAAGAGGCAGAGGAGCAGTACAGAGTGTCCCTTCGGAGGCATCTGGTGAAGTTGGAGGAGATGCTGGCGTTCCAGCAGAAGAGGATCAGGAAATTGGAGCAAGAGTACGCTGAGGAACTGGAGACACTTCGAGCTGAGTTTGACAAAGAACGGTAACTCACACAAGCCCCTGTTATGTGCTAGTTTAATTGATCTAAACTCACTCACACACACACACACACACGCACTCTGAAGGAAAGGGATAATAGCACAGCACGAGGCAGAGATGAAAGAGCTGAGGGACATTCTCTATACAATGGAGCTACGCTACAGAGAGAGAGAGACTGACGCTGAGCACGAGTTCCAGGGAATTATGGACGACCTCAAGAACAAGGTAAAAACTCTACAAAAGCTAAGACATAGAGGGCTTTTTGGTATGCAAAATGTTAAGGAACCATATGCACCTGAAAAAATGTTCTCTGCTGTGACAGCATTTGGAGGACACGCATGCTCTGAAGGCACAGTGCCAGGCGACGCTGGATGCACTGTGGGCAGAGTTTCAGAGACAGACGCAGGAGTATCGGCGGGCAACAGAGGAGAGGAAGATGAAATTCGAGGCTCTCAAGAAGAAAGACGAGGAGAGTGCGCACACCATTGCCAGACAGATGAGCAAGATTCAGAAACTGCAGGTACAAGTTTGTTGATGTGACTGTCCTGCCGAGGGAAAGCAAGTCTATGCAGCAGTAGTGTATGCAGTAGTGGTGCCATTTGGTGTGCTCTGCAGGACTCTATAGCAGATCTGAGAAGGAGGATGGCGGCCAACACCAAAGAGAGTGATGAGAAGACCAGAGCCATCAAGGAGGTGAGACAACCAACCAACCAACCACACACCGTGAAAGATATCTCTATTTCTGGCTGTGGCGCTGTCAACCGAAGGACCAACAAGCTGTGCTGACGAGGTTCAGAGAGCTGAAGATGGAGATGAATGGCTCGAGAGAGGCAGAGAGGAAAAACCTGACAACACTCACCCTCCAGAGTGACGCAGCAATGAAGGCCCTCCAGAGAACTAAGGAGAAGGTATAATTATAATGCGACACACTTACTGGGGTCAGATATTGCCAACTTGAAATACTTTATTATAAGCACACAATAGTGGTAGATATTGAATGATCTATGAATTTCCAGGGAGAGAGGATTCTAACTCTAGCGGAGATGTGTCGAAAGCTGGAGACTGAAGAAGAAAAGGTATTGGGTGTCTTTATGTGCACAGTTAGTTTTCACCCCTTCCCCCCTTTCTGTTGTCTCCATCAGATCCTGCCTTTCTACTCCTGTTCTCTGGATGAAGAAGCCCAGAGCGAGGCAGCTAGTGTCTTGGGCCAACCTCCCTCAGAGGCACTGGCAAAAGTGAGCCAGAGACACTCACAGTGCCTAGCACTCTCCCTTCCGTTGTCTCACTTCAGGTTATGCAAGAGTACGGGTCACTGGAGAACTTCTGGAAGCGATACAATAAGGTATGCATTTGACCTTCCAATTTTGCACACACACACACACACACACACACAACATACCTCTTGCAGCTTCAGTCCATGGTTCGTTGGTGCATGATTGCACACCACATGAGATTCAGTTGGCCAAACTTGTGTGTGTTGTTGGTGGCTAAGTCCGGTTTTGTCGCTCATCCCCTGTCTGCAGGTCCTCCTGGACCGCCTGGCTCAGGACAAGGAGAAGGAGATGATGGAGAAGGAGAACCAGCAGCTAAAGGCCCTCCTCAAACAGTACCTCGATGGTGAGCGAAAAAACACCATCATACTGCTGGGTTTTTGTTCACACATTTTGAAATCTGTAACTTACTGGGGGCGATTCACCATTTTGCTGGACAATGAGAAGTCTCTGTGATCAGTTTTAGAATTTCATTTCCCTTCATGTTGTTTGTCGTCAGGAATATCAGTGAGTGATGAGATTTTGAGTCGAGCCAATCCTCTGCTGGTGGTCAACCATCGCACCAACCTACCAAAGTCAGTTGTTATCTATTGTTAGACATTTATGAGTTTTTTTATTTTGTTTCTTTCAGATTGAATATTCCAGTGGGGGATCCGAGAGTACAGAGGGCAAGAGTCAATGTTGTTGAAGCAGCCCATGCAGTGAAGAACATATTATAAACATTATGTCATAGTTACCTCATTTCTTCACACATTCTTCTCATAGTCACTTCCGTTTCCGCACTGTATTTCCGCTGATAAAGCTGCACACCTTTTGCGGTCTACCAGACGAATAAGAGATGGCATCCAAAGCAGTAGCCGCTAAAGCCTCTCCAGCAACGGCCGGGAAGAAGCTGCACGCCCCTCAGCCGCAGGCCAAGGTGCGCATCAACTTCAAGGAGCCGCTGAAGACGGGATTCCTGTCCAAGGCCGGCAAGACCAACAAGTCATTCAAGAACCGCTTCTTCGTCCTCTACAAGAATTTTTTGGTGTACTATGACGACGAGACGAAGTGGAAGAGAGACGTCACTGTAGAAAGACTAGAGGTGAGTTAGAAAACATGGCGGTTCAGCCCTAGCTAGAGCGAGTAGTTTGCTGGAGAGGTGCTACCGTTGGCTTGTTGTTTGCTGTTGTCAAACATCATAACGAGCTATTGACTTGTGTGTTGTGTGTTGTTGTTGCAGTCAAGGAATGGTGCAGTGAACCTGACTGGAGCTGTGGTCTCCATCCCATCGGGAGAAATGGGAGTTTCCTTTGGTTTTCTTCTGAGGGCTCCTCACAACAGCAACAAGAGAGAGTGAGCGATACACAGGCTACATACTATAGCTATGCATTACTGATACTGTAGGTTCTAATTTCGCAAGCCTTCAAGGTGGACGATTTTTCATTACCCCCCATTGATAATAATCTCTATGTCGAAAGAGACTGGGTATGAAGTTAGGTATGCTAGGGAGTTGGAGTTCCGTATTATTTATTCACATTGTAGGGGAGTGCACGAACCCTCAAACCCCTCTGCACCCACCCTATGAATGGATTTGCAGCATGTCTCATGATAATTATGTTAGGAATGGGTAAACTATGCAACTCATGCATGACTGTGTGTTATAATGTTTCTCTCTCTCTTGCTGCACAGTATTTTTCTACTGGGAACGTCCAGCGATGGTGAGCGGTTGGCATGGATGGAGGCAATGAAAGGTGCAGCTGCTCCTAAACCTGCAGACGAGAAAAAATAATGCCATAAAAAGTGTTTTTTTTATTTGTCGTTCCAAATTATGCCGGTTTGTTATTAAAAATTTTTTTAACCAGCTGATGTGTAATCTAATTGATGCGCACCACCGAAGCGGTTGCAGTTTGAGAAGAGTGATGCGATGGTTGTGAAGTAGGGGGCAATGGCCAGTGGCAGGTCTAAGTCTTCTTCGCTCGGGGAGATGGCGGCTGTCCGACTTTGGCCGTGCGCGCGGCCGCTAGAGTGTGGAGTTATTCCGCAACAGCAGCAGCGAGAGAGGGGAGGCGGCAGGTTCTCGAGCCAGGTGAGCCAGAGAGAGGCGGAGGACTCACCTGTCACAAGTGGTGGACTTCCGCCCTCAGGCACTGAAGAAGATGCTGCTGTTCGCGAAAACCAAGTACGCAAAGAGCTACCCTTGGTTGAGGTAAAGGGCGGGGAGAGTGAAGCGACATGTAGCAGCAATGACTCGTTCTCCTTTATTCATCAGCTACGCAGTGTGGGCTCACCTGGCACGGAGCAGACTCCATATGACAGACGAGCTAGCCTGGCTGTACGTATCAGTTACAAACCCACTCCTCTTATTTAGTCAATTCTCTTACAATACTTCTTCCTCAATCATGTGTCTCCATGTTATTGCAGGTACTTCGAGACTTTCGATGTGGTGAGTGAGTTGCAGGTGGAGGAGAGGGTGAAGATGATGGACATGATGGCCAAGTGTGCCTCGCAGGAGGAGAGGGGTGAGCAGAAAGAGGGAAAGAGAGAGGGAGGGAGGGAGGGAGGGAGGGAAGAGGCCAGTGTGTAGCTATATACATTAGCTGTGATCAGCTGTGGCTACATGCACTCTGTGCCTGCAAACACTTCACACTGCTGGCAACAGACGTTTTGTATTAAACAATACCGCAGATCGTCTGAAGAAGAAGATGAGTGTAGATGCGCCGAGATTCTTCCTCTTTCTATTCCTGCAAAATGCTCCGCGGCACTCCCTCAAGGCTCCTCTCATTACTGGAGACGAGTGAGTCGGCCTCTCCTGTTTGCAGTCACCTACCTCTCTCTCTCTCTCTCCTGACAGATGGCCGTCCCAGGAAGGAGAAAAGCGACCTCAGGTAACACACACCCTCTCCTCCGTTACCATGTCTCTCTCTCTCTCTCTCTCCATCTCGCTCGCTGCAGAGCTCAGAGTATGCTCATCTGGAGTTCCTGAAATCACACATCTCCAGCATCCTCAACCTCATCTCCGAGACAGGTGAGACTGCATACCACAGCTTTACCGCTGCCGTAAAGCGCCAAATGTTAATGGCATATTTCCAACTTTCAACATTTCTATATATATGAGTGTAATTGCTGTAATGAAACATCTATCAATTGATGCCTTCTCTCTCTATTCTCCTCATGTATATATACAGAGGGAGAGTACCTGACTCTGAAAGGACTGTCGGCTCTAGACTTTGCAGTCCAGGGGTGCAGGGGAAGGTCTCCTCATCAGCCTCTGGGGGAGCTGGCCACACACCCTGACGAGATTCCGCTCTCTGGCTTCTCCCAGGTGAGGAGTTCAGTTCACTTGTTTGTCTGTCTGTCAATGGCTGACACACAAACACACAGCACAGTGTTCTGAGCACAAAGTGTTCTAAGTACACGGCCACTGAAACTGCTGCATGCACAGAAAAAGCTGCGAATACTGCTAGGTACTTGTATACCGTTGCCATTCCTCTACGAAGAGTGTGCATATTCCATATGAGCACAGAAAGCAGCATAATTACATATTAAGAAGAAGAATCACAGAATTTTTGTTTTTGTAACGACTGAAAAAGCAGAACCATAGGGAACTCTTCTCCCTTCCTCTCTCCTCCTGACCCCAGGCCAGTGGGAGATTCTCTCTGTCTCAACTGGAGCAGTGGGTGGCCAGCCATCTCTCCCTCTCTCCCCTTGGTCCCCACGCCATCCGCAGCGGGTCTCGCGACAAAATCTGCCCCTGCTTCAGGAGCGATACCCTCGGGAGGATCGCCACCAACAGCTCTGTGACTCCAGTCTCAGGGTGAGCCCCTTTCATTATCAGCACCTCGATCAGATTGTACATGCTGACGAGTATTTCTACAGGCAAGCGTGTGTTTTGCTGCACAAGATAAGCAAGCAGACTCTGGCCAAAGTAAGCACAAAGCAATAGTGAGGGCTGCACTATTAATGATGTCAATTTAACCAGTAAAATTATCTCCACTTATGTAAAAAAAGTTAATGTTTTTTGTGTGCAGGAGGAGGGAGGGTTGAGGGGTAACTCAGTCTACATTGACAACTGCCGCAGCTCAAGAATATATCTCCTGGCTCCAATGAAGTAGGTACCGCCGCTACTGTACATTGTCAAATTTGAAGGTGCAATATTTAGGTAACACAGACAGAGCCTTTGGTGAGTGTAGGTGTGGGCATAGGTATGGCACAGACAGAGCCTTTGGTGAGTGTAGGTGTGGGCATAGGTATGGCAATCTGTGCTATGGTGTGGGGTGACCAAACTTCCTGCGATTATCAATAATTGCTGTACAGTACATTCTGCACATTCTTCTCTCCTCCTCTATAATAGTTATATTATTATTCGCAGGTCGGTGCATGTGGAGAGGTGCTCCCACTGTCTCCTGGTGCTGGGGCCCGTGGAGGTGACAGTCACCATCAGCAACTGTACCAGTCTCGTCCTCGTGGCTGCCTGCAGGAGACTACACGTCAGGTATGTCATAATTCAGCTCACCAGTTTAGCAACTTCTGTATAATACTTAGACTTCTCTTTGCAAAACAAGTCTTTCGTGAAACTATGCAACAAGATTGCTTGCAGCAACTCAACGTTTCTGTTTCAACCAAACTACGTTTCACTCTCAGATTGCTTGGTTCATGGTTTGCCTACACTTCCTCCACACAGCTCCTGCTCTCTCTGTGACCTCCATCTGCTGACTGCCACACGCCCCGTCGTCTCTCCTCCCTCCCGCCAGTTGACCTTTGCACCCTACAACACACACTACCCACAACTAGAAGAACACCTCAAATGTTGCGGGCTCCCTGTGACCTTTAACCTCTGGAACCGCCCCCTCTACACTGGCTCAGGTTAGCTGAGAAAATATTATTCTGAATTGCGTGTATTTTTTCTGTCTGTCTGTAGTTGAGAGTGAGACTGAGGTTTGGACGGAACTGGACCCTGACTTATTTCGACCGTTCTCTGTTCCATTCCAATTGTCGGGGGACACCCTGGTAATTTTTACTTTCAGTATACGAGAGTGTGTGTGTACATACGTAGCTGTGTGTTTGTACAGGACAATCCTTGTCAGCTTCCACTGAAGTACAGAGAGGCTTTAGACAGGAGAAAGAAGTAAGTCACATCATCGTGTGTGTGCCTGATATATAACTATAATTATACTCCCGGGCACAAAGTCACAAATCCAACCTGAAACACACCAGACCTTCTCCTACGTGCTTTGAGGCAACTCGAAGACTCCACACAGTTAGCATATCACACCCAGCGGTATATACCTCCTCTTGCCACAGGAGAACTAGCGAGTGGTACGGTGAGGTGAAGGGGGCGGGGCTGAGTCCAGAGCAGGGGCAGCAGCTGCAGACCAGAGTCCAGGACCACTTCCAGGAGTGGCTGGAGACCACGGGACATGGGAGGGAGATCAGAGAGCTGGAGATACCCAAGACCACCACCTCCACCACCGCCAGAACTAAGAGACCTACCTCTCACTAGCTGGCCTGGACTGATACAAGTAGCCACCTCTTGTGATTATGTTTGGCGTCATGATTTCCTAGCATAGCCACAGGAAAACTAGGATACAAACTAGACTCAGCGTTAGAAACTTGCACACTTGGGCGAATGCAGCAGACACTGCGGGTGTGTTTAGCAATAACGACACACACATGCGCTAGACAGAGTTACATGCACACATATGGGTGACATGCAGTGGTGGCTGGGAAGAGAGTGGCTGGATGGATTATAGTTAGTCCAAGACAGAGAGAGAGGGGGAGCAGGAAGAGAGAAAGAAAGAGAAGATTGAGCGAGCGAGCTGACAGAAAAGTGGGCGTGGTCAGGGGTGCAAAGGTCACCCCGTGACATCTAAATCCGAATCCTCGCTACAGCTCATCACTTCATCTGTAACAAGAGAAAGGACCACTCGAGGACCTGGCGTAGCACTAGACTACACACTCAAGAGTATTGGGACTGAGTCTCTAAGACATGGGACTTGTTCTTACAAACGATCCTATCCACATCCTTTCTTTCAAGGTGAACTTAACTTGTCAATGGCCACAGACTAATAGTCATTGTTCCCTAACTCACTCACCACATAGAAACTCTGACTTTATCTTTCTGGCTAGTCCATATATATCTGCAAACCCCCACAGCGGCTTGTCGGTGGGTAACCCAGTCCACCCCAGGTATCCCGGCTCTTTCCCGTCCACAAAATACTTCATCTGTCCCTCCTTGTTCACCACGCAGCCGATCGTCTGTCCGACCCTAAGCTGTTCGAGATTGAAGTCCACTTTCCTCTCTTGCCCGTTGTGGTGGACGGTGCTGGCAGAGAGGATCCAGTAGTCACTGCTGCGGTACAGATCCAGGGCTCCGCTCGGCACCGGGATGGAGTCTGGGCAACACACCGTGAATCCAAACCTCTGAATAGTATGGAGAGACAAAAGTAGGCTAGCGGATAGTGTACTGGGCGCTAATTGGAAAGTATGCGTACCCCACCCACTTCATGCCTCTTTTCCCTCGACCATGTACTCACAATGGATCCTGCCCATCCGCCGCCCTTGTCCAGTATCCTAACTTGAAACATTGCTCCTAGAGGGATCGGTTGCTCCGTAAAGACAACCGCTTTGTTGTAGCTATCGACCCTATGCGCGACCGTATCGTTTTCCTTTAGACGAATGTTGGCGCCGTGTTTATGGTGGAAGGCTCCAGGCCGTCCAGCCATCTCTCGCTCAGTGTCTTCTCCACTTCCGCCAGTTGACCCATTCCATCACCAAGCCAGCGACATGGCACACGCCTCGTTTTTCTGGACTTTCTCTAATCAATGCCCACCCCGACCCCTCCTTCCTCCCCGGCTCTACGTTACGAGCGCGCATGCGTACGTAATACGCAACGGTTTGCGGGAACACAACGAAACTATTGCGGTACAGGGTCTTCACTAGTAGTGGTCCCAGTCTTTTCCTCCTCTGTTTGTGCGGGAGTGGGCGTTTCTTCTCCCTTTTCCTCTTCTTCCTCTTCTTCGAGATTCAGTGTCTTTAGGTCTGAAGTGAGATCATCTGTCTCGCTGTTTACCGCCCGCTCCTGACACCTCTCAAACTGTTCCTTGAACTGTAGAGCATCTGAAACAAAACCACGATTCCAGGAGACATTAGACAAACGAGCAAGGTCAGCCTCACTCTCTCGGTTCTTGAAGCGAATGGCTAACTGCTCAACCTTTGCTTCTTCGTCCGCAAAGTCTGCCTGCACTGTCCACACCCACGCCCTGTCGCTGCCGGAGCTTGGAGTCAGCTTCATGTCTGGAGTGACTGGAACAGAGAACCACAGAGCACTCGGTATCATAGACGGTACTTTTAGTCTCAAACTTTACTAGCTACCAGTGCCCACCTCAGAATGCTTTTTTGTATTGGTAATCATCTACAATTGTTTAGTTCCATAAGTATTTGTGGGATTACTCTGCTCTTATTTCCACCTCTCCCTCTTTCCCTAACACAAATGCTCACTGAAGTGGTTGGCACATATCTTATGTGTCTTGTCTCGTCTCATGACGAGTCGCACGCTGCGATCTTTGCTTTTGTGCTCCATAAACTTGACGTCCCCTACTCCTCTCTCTTTCCACTCGGGGCTCTGCGAGCTGCAGTCAAATCTAAACAACTTGGCCCTCCTGGGTACAGAGACAGTTGTCAAACACTGATAGAGAGGGGAAAGAGTTGCAGACATTCTGAAAAGCTCCGTCTCGTCCTCCTCGTTCGTTTTCAGCTCCACTGGCGCCAGTTCTACCACCGGTTCGAAGTGCACGTCTGGCTCGGCCTCCTCCTGCGTTGTTACGCACGCAGAGTGACCCGTGCAGGGAGAAAACCTGCACGACTAACCTTCTCCTTGTCTGCTGTCGTCTCTTCAGTAGACATGGCTTGAAATCTTGCAGAGCTCCTTTTCGCTTCTATAGCTCTCTCTCCACACGCTGCGCCTCACGTGATGCTTTAACCCCTCCGCCTCCAGCACACGTGGGAAAAAGCACTTTCGGAGATGTCTATGCAAGCCATTGAGCCGTTCGGCGGCCATGAAGAGGATTGGCAGGTAAGTTGCCATTACCTTTACCTCTGCTCACTTGCTCCGTACAATTCTCACAAACACGAACACACACACCCAACGCAGCCCACTACGCACTCCGTAACGCTGAAAGAAGGTATAGACCTGACGGAGCTGCAGCGGGGAGCCGGCGTGCAGTTCGAGGTGGACCTCTCTGCCCCTCTCCCCGGTGGAGGGGGCCGGCGGAGAGAGGAGGGATCCCCGGACGGGAGAGGAGATGGACAGAGAGAGTCTTCTCCAGCAGCTGAACGTGGACTCCATGGGACTGGGGTGGGAGGACGAGACTGAGTCAGACCAGGAGGTGGGGCCAACTCTACTAATGAATTGTGCAGTGACAGCTGCACTGGCACCATCGATCCGTAATGACATACAAAATCCCCAGTATGCATGCCCATATTAGGTAACTCAACACCTTTTCATGCAAAAATTGACCGGGGAACTGTATGTGTTTGGTGGTCACGCAGCCAAAAATGGTTACAAGATTTTTGTCGATGCTCATGTCAGTGTGTAGAGGTGTACTGTAGTCGCAGGGTATAATCCAGGTGTTGTGTTTTGTGAGCATGGAGAGTAGGACTGAAGGTTTTCTCTCCACTCGCTACTCCTCCTGCCAGGACTCACCGTTCAACAGACTGGCCTCCTCCATGGTGGATCTCTCTGGAGACCGAGGAGTTCTGAAGAATATGCTACACGTCGGCATAGGTACACTCTCTCTCCACCCCCCTCACCCTCTAAAGAGGACCCTCCGAATAAGAGACAATTGATCTGCCTTATACTAGTGTATAGCATTACCTCAGAACAAGGAACACCTCTCTATAGAGGACACTGTGTTCTGCCCCATACTAATACGGTAGTGCATTAGACACCTCTGAGTTTTCAATGTCTCCAAGGCGTCCCTTATTTGGCAGTTTCACTCTAAACATCAGGTGAGGATGTGCCAGAGAGGGCTCTGGTGAGGGTCCACTACAATGGATACCTCGAGATACTCAGATGAACCCTATGACTCCAGCCGCCTCAGAGGAAAACAGCAGCAGTTTGTCCTGGGGAACGGTATGATAACTATATAACACTGCAAATTTTTTGCTTTTTTCCCTCAAGGCACGTGCATTTTTGGTAGCTTCCGTGTGAAATTAAATTCTGCAAATTCAGGTTTTGGTTGGGATCGCGAAATTTGCATGCTGCAAAAATATTTAGAAAACCTGCAGAAATTTTTGTGTCTCGGTGGTTGTTCTATTTGTGAATAAAGGTCTGGATTGTCTCGTTGTTGAGACCATATTATTATTACACTACTATATACAGGAGAGGTGATTCCGGGATTGGAGGTGGCTGTGAAATCGATGAAGAGAAACGAGAGATCTCAATTTCTCGTCTCTTCCGAGTATGGCTTTGGAAAGCTGGGTTGCCCCCCTCGTATTCCACCAAACGCGACTAGTGAGTCACTAGCATTATCTTTTCCTTCAGGAGAGGGGGAGGGAGGATGGATATTGTGTATGTAGTGGACTCGATTGCGAGTTGAATAGACTGCAGACTACTCCAAAAGTGTATGGGCTGGGCCCTGCTTTGTGTGATTGATTGACTACAAACTGCATGCACCTCACTCCTACCTTCTCTCCTTCTCCCTTTCCCCCCCTCTCTCTCTCTCTCTCTCTCTCTCTTTCTTCTCACTTTCCCCTCCCCATCTTTCCTTCCCTCCTTCTCCCCCTCTCCAGTCCTTTTTGAAGTTGAGTTGCTGGGTTTCGTAGAGTATCACACGGCAGAAGGCGAAGAGGAGGGGAGGAACCAGAGCTTTGAGCAGCGTCTGGCAGCTGCAAACTCTGAGAGAGAAGTCGGCAACGACTACTTCCAGCAGAACATGATCGGGAGGGCTGTCGGCAGATACCTCAAGGTATGGGTCACTATACTGGAGTTCTTTGAAATCCCCCAACATATTATAGCCCAATCTCTAGCACAGTCGAATACATTGCCTCCCCTCACAGGCAGTGAGGCAGCTGGAGGCAGTGAGACTGAGAGATGCGAACCAGGAGGCCGTCTGGAGAACTTCCCTCAAGAAGCTCTACCTAAACCTGTCTCTCTGCAGCCTCAGACAGAGGAAGTCACAGCTGGCTCTCAGCAACTGTCGACGCGTCCTCGAACTGGATGGGAAGAACGTGAAGGCCTTCTTCAGAATTGGCCAGGTCAGTCCAACATCCTTTAGAATTGGCCAGGTCAGTCCAACGATTACACTACTGTGATTTATATTTTGGGGGGAGATCACAAATTTTGTGGGAAGAATCTACTTATGCCAGCCATTAGCTAAACCTGTTTCACCCCCAAAAATCCACTCAGCAAATTCTTGTATTTAGACCATTCTCTCCATAACTTGGGGGGGAAATGGACCCAGAATAGTGCCTCACAATGTTCCTATAGTTCCACCACTCCTCTCTCTCCCTCTCCTGCTGTGTAGGCCTATTTGCAACTGGGAGATTTCAAAAACTCACGCAAGCATTTGCAGAAGGCCAACAAGCTTTCCCCACATAACAAAGAAATTCAACAGGAGCTGAGGAAACTCGAAAAGTAAGTCTTTTTTCCAAATTCCAAAAATAAGTTTTTCTGAACTTCAATATATACACACTGAGATAGAGAGAAAAGGGCGAGGGGTGAGAGTATAGTAGGACTAATGAGTCATGTGATAGTCACATGACGAGGACAGTGTCAGTGACCCTTGTGTGTGAGAGATTTTGGTTCCCATGGTTTGCCCAAGGCCCAGTCGGCGTCGTAGACTCTGTAGAAGTAGTCGACCATGTCTTGTTGTTCCAGAACAATCTCCAGATCTCTGTTTACACTTTTTCCGGACTGGCTGTAGGGTTTCCACGAGGTTCCAGTGGGGAAATCACTAGGACTCCAATTACCTGGAGATATAGGATGCTCGTTAGCAGAGTTATGAGAGCATGTTACAGATCTCTGAGAGTGGGGAGATGTGCCAAGTACTGTCAGTGGGCAGGATTGCATGCTTGTATAATATATAGCTGAAGCTAACAACTTAGAGTGGGCTGTTTTGTTAATTTGGGAATGCACATAACATGTGACTATCTTGTTGACTTTGCACACAATGGAGATTGTATTGGTACTATAATTATTATGTAGAGTGAAGTAGTGGTATGTATTGTGTACACTGTATAATATTGTATATACCAGTGCTGAGATGAATGGTGGTGCTGTCGATGATCCAGTACTTTTCATGACTGAATTCAAACTTGGAATAGGCGTACTGGACCCTTCCCTTCATTCCTCCATCATACAACTTCTTGTAGCAGTCCTATATACATACAATCGTAGTACACATAATCACCAGAGAATCCAGTAGTTTGGAGGGAAACGGGTAAATAAATGCCCCCGAACTCCTCTCTTAGGACACCCATGAAATGAGGACACCTCTCTAATAAGGATGCCTTTTCTTTCCCCCCAAGAACAGCTCTCCCTGCTTTTTGACCTAGGACACCTCACTAATATGGACACCTTCTGTTCCATTGATGGCAGGATTAGAGGATTAGACATGGTGAGCCAACCTGAGCCTTGTAGTAGTCATATTCGGAGACAATGTAGTCGGAAACCATGACAGTGACGTTGACTCCTCTGTTGTAGAGAGAGAGCAGCTCGTCACACAGCCCATCATCCGTCACTTGGTACACTGCCAACTACACATGGGCAATGGGGGAAAGTCACGAGTAGCTACAAATTAGTACTGAGTCCATTCACGTTCACCTTACTGATAGGAAATGAACTACTAGAACCCTGCTATAATACGATGTGATTCTGAATTTTCAATGCTCAATGTGTTTCCGGGAGCACGTGTGTCAGTTCTAATGATGAGGCCAGTGACCCAGCCATACACTGCATGGAGTCACGTAGCAAGAAGTAGATATTTCATTAGCAAGATAGAAAGAGTAAGGGAAGAATAGTATTAGTGGCTGCAGGTGTATACTTACGTTGAAGGACTGCTGTACTTGTGGAAAGTATGACATAATGGTATCCCTGGAGCTATCGGGAGAACTGTAGCCTTTCTTGATGGCCACGTTGTCGTGTTTTATGAGCTGCGTCACAAATGCCCCCGGGACTCCCGGGCTGTCGGGCACGGTGTACGGCATGTGGGCCTTGTTTGTGATGACAGCCATCTCCGACGGAGTGTACGTCTGCGTGATTACGTAATCCTCTCCGTTGTCCCAGTCGTAGTCGAACGCAGACTGGTAGAGAGACACGGCCGAGCATGTGCAGTCCTCCAGGATCACCCCTGCCTCTCTGTTCTTCAGGAAGGAAGTGTAACTCCAGTTGACGGAGGAAACTGCAGTCTTTTTGCCCTTGTCTACCGTGATGTACTTGGCGTGTTGGAAGGTGGTGGTCGTGTACATTCTGACCTGTACGTCGTTCAGGACCAGCCAGTCAAACGGAGTGATTTTACCCGGGCACGCAGGGATGGTGAAGTTGTTTGTGACGATGCGGATCTTTACTCCGCGATCGTGGACGGCATTTAGCAGTGCGGGAAAGACGGGGAAGGACTCGTTTCTCTGCGCCTCGATGGAGCAACCTGTGCAGCCCTCACACTCTTCCTTGTAGTCTGTGCAATAGCTCCAGCTGCGGAGTCCTGCACAGGAACACAGCATGCAGCAGTTAAAGTTCAAACCATTGCTTGATGGATTGTATTGGGGTATTATTTATGCTAAGTGCAGCTATATTGTGCCCCCGTTAGGCCCACATGCTAGTGCTTTTAGGTGCATTGAGTGCTTGCCAAGACTGAGACTAACCAATGATGGCCCTGGCGGATTCATAGGTCATGCCACAAATTTGGTCAAATCACAAGACGCTAATGAATAGCGGTTGAGGTTAGGAAAGGGCAGAAAAGATGTTTGCGTCTTCTGTGCATTTTACAAGCAAGTTTTGCAGTATTGTCACGACGATTGTCGCGCACGAGGCAGCTAGCTAGCTAGCTAAACTAACCTGGCGTGTAAATATCGATGCTCTCTTGGGCCTCCTCTATGAGACTGACGTACGTCGAGATGGAGGTGTCCGGCGAGAAGAACGGGGTAACGGTGCACGTCTTGGTGCAGCCGGCGGGGGAGAAGCGAGCGCTGTAGGTCTCCGTCTGATGGTCGTAGCAGTTGTCGCTCGCTGCCGCCGACCACAGCAGCGCACACGAGGTCAGCAGAGCTAGAGGTAGAGCGGCGGACATTGCACTTGCAGCTCGCGGCAATCCAGGGACCGTACGGCACGTCCTGAGGATGATTCTTTACCGGCTCCTAGCTCTCGATCTCGATCGCTCGACGACCTTGGGCTCTCTTTGCGGTTTACATAGGTCCCCGCCCGCGGGAAATGACTGGCGCTCGCGGTAAAATTTGGGCGGTAACATATACAGCGCATGCGCAATGCGTGGTGATAATTTTATCTTTCCTCTGCGCTGCAGCACGCGCAAGAGATTCCAGTCCATGGAGAGGACAATGTACGCCAACATGTTCCAGCATCCAACGCGAGGTCTTTGCATAACATTGCATCATCGTGCCCAAAACATTTTACTCTCTCACAAAAGGGGTTGACGATGAATCCAGAGAACAAGAACCGGTTCACTTTCACTCCAGGGAGGAGCTCACTAAGAAACTCAGGTGAAAACCCCCTTTCACTGAAGCATAATATCAATAATACCATGCAGGGAGCTGAGTGAAAACCCAGGATTGTTGGATCTAGTTCTGCCACAGTGTCTCACCAATGAGGAGGTGTTCTGTGCCACTGAGATCGCCAGAGAGCTGGGCCTCAGAACTGAGAAGGTTTGTGTGATACAAGCACACTAGCAAAAGATATGAGCACGGAAGAAGAGGAGAAAAAAGTGATATCACTGATGATTGAGTTAGGTTTTTACGCTGCGTTTATGCAGAGTCCGGATTGTGGTCTGAGGATTTTCAAACCTGGGGTGCAGCCTGAGGACTTCGAGCAGTACTTACGCTGACATCTTCACTGACTTTTATCTGCCACTGTCTTATACATATATACGCTCCCCTCAAAGACCAATACTCAAAACTGAAACTCATTAAAAGTATCATTTATCACTGATTCATGCATTAGAAATGTATTTGAGTATTATAATCTGTCTGACAATCGTTGAGTACAATAAAAAGTCGTGACTTTAGTGTTTGGGTTGCCATTCAGTACCCATGGCCCAGTCTGCATTGTAGACCTGGAAGAAGTAGTCCACGAGGTCAGGGTGCTCCAGGACTATCTCCAGATCTCTGTTGACACTGTGGCCCGACTTGCGGTGCGGTTCCCAAGAGTTTCCAGTTGGGAAGTCTCCAGGGCTCCAGTTACCTGTTTGTATACAGTAACACAGTTGTCAACTCACAAATTTGGTATGAAGCTTTTTTATACCAGTGCTGAGATGAACTATAGTCCCGTCAATGATCCAGTACTTTTCGTGGCTGAACCGAAATTTCGAGTAAGATCGCTGTATATGGCCTTTCATCCCTTCATTCGTCAGATTATTGTAACATTCCTGCAATTAATGCTATGTGACCCTAAACAAGAGGTAGCTTTATAATGACACTTACGTATGCCTTGCGACTATTGAACGGAGGAATGACAATGTTTGACACGAGTACAGTCACGTTGACTCCTCCTTTGTGGAGCTCGAGTAGTTTACGACATAGTTCGTCATCTGTCACTTGGTATATAGCAAGCTGCATATCAACATGTATATATTATATAACTATATACGTACGTGTTTACACTTTCAGAAAGAATTGGGTATACCATGTGGGGGCTTATGTTTTCAGTGTATATACACAGTGGGGAATGTTTATGGACACTCTGACAGTTTTCAGAAAGGGAAAATAGCTTACTTTCAGTAACTTGTTCCCGGTATATACCTGAAACAATGACTGCCCCATCAACTTACATTCAGTGATTTTTTAGCGTTGTCCAGGTATTCCAGCAATGTGCTCCTGGCATTGTCTGGCGAAGTGTACACCTTCTTGACCTTCACATCAGTGTGTGGAATCAACTCGGTCATAAATACTCCAGGGATGGAGTTATTAGGGAGTATGGGGTAAGGCATGGGAGCTGTGTCAGTGATGATCCGAATCTCTGACTCTTCATAAGTTCTGGTGATAGCGTACTCTATCGCTGTTTCCCAATCGTAGTCAAAGACTGATAGGTAGAGAGACAACGCTGAGCATGTGCAGTCTTCCACGATCACCCCTGCTTCTCTGTTCTTCATAAAGGACGTGTGGCTCCAGTTTACGGAAGAAACGGCAGTCTTCTTGCCTCTGTCGATCGACATAAATTTGCTGTGTTGGAAAGTGGTCGTGGCGTACATCCGAATTTGTATCTTGTTCAGGGCTAGCCAGTCTAGTGGTATGACGCGATCTTTGCAGGCGGAGAACGTGAAGTTGTTGATGATGATGCGGATTTTTACGCCGCGCTCGTGAACGGCGTTCAACAGTGCGGGAAATACGGTGAAGGTCTCGTTTTTCATCTGGTCGATGGAGCATCCAGTGCAGGATCCTTTCTTCGGGCAGTCCGTATCTTTAGTGCAAGCTTCGTCCCAGCTTTTCATACCTTTTTGAGAAGTAACCGCAGTGCAACTTCTATATTCAATGCCACTTACTTGGTGTGTAAATGTCAATGCTCTCCTGCGCGGAATCGATGAGTTGCACGTACGCCTGCAGCGACGTGCCGGGCGAGAAGAACGGAGTGACGGTGCAAGACGACCCGCTACTGCAGGTCTTGGGCTCGAACGTAGCATTGTACGTCTCCTGTTGGTGGTCCCAGCAATAGCTGCCGCGCGCGTTACCACTGAATACCATCAATAGAACGAACGCAATGGCTGCATCCACACCAATCTCCCTGAGGCTGACCATCTTGAAAATGTAGCACGAAAAAAATAGTCGCAGCTTTTATGCAACACCGCGCATGCGCACTACGGAATTGCGCGTGGGCGGGCCGGGTACGTGTGTGCTTAGCGAACATGCCCTCGCTAGGTGCCTCTTGCCTAAACGGCTAAATGAACTGAAGAACACATCACTGCCCTCCCGGACGGTGTCCAGACGGATTAGGCTCAGATATCGTTTCATATCAACGCCGCGCTACAGAGCGCGAGAAAGCACTCCTTCGCGCGACTCAACTAAGATCAAGTGTGACCGACGTTGCAGACAGTTCGCTTATTTAGAATAATGGGTCAGAGCATGCGCAATAACTACGACGATTTTTCTTTGCCATCAGCAGCAGGGGAGAACACTGGCGTGGATGCCATTCTGAGCATGAGGAGAACTGGAATGACAATGTAGCCTCCGTAAGCTCCTAGGACGACGGGGATGTTGCTTGTCTTGTATGGCCCAGCAATCTGTTCTCTAATGCAGGCCAGCAGAATCAGGAACATGCCCCAAGACCACATTAGAGCTGGGGGTATATAGAACATTAGAGAAAGGAGAGATTGCTTTTTGGCATGAAAACACAGTAGCTCTAGCCTTATATACCCATCCAACGTATTGCACTCTTGGCTCTAGTGGTGCAGAACCTGGAATCCTGATCCATTCCTTTTTGTAGATGAAGGCATAGATTGCAAAAAAGTAGAACGGCGTGTAGACGAAGGGGCTCACCCACGCCAGCGTCTCAAACCTGCAAAATACACGGCTATAATAACGCGAACTGTGTGGTTGCAAACGTACGACCAACCAGACGGGATTATGTCCGAGTAAAGAGTCGTAGTTCCGACACCACCAGACATACGCGTCTACAACTGCGGCTGGAGGCCAAGAGCCATACTCGAGCGCCTCCTTTTCCAGTACCGCCCCGTAGGTCGATTGTACGAAGTCTGCAACAGCAGGCACTGGTAGCTAAGAATGCTGTCAGTACTGAGCTACGTATAGATTACCTATAGTGACGGCGATCACGGCAAAAGATGCAAATATCGACACGAAGAAAAGGTCCACCGGTCGCCTAAAAATAGAAGCCATTGGTGCGACAAATGAGGGCTGGGTTGAGAGAGTATTACGAGGGCAAGTGCGCATGCGCCTGAGCATCTACGGCACGACGACACGAGGGCCGTCCGCGTTGCTTGGACAATGGCTGGTCTGCAGGAACCTCGGCGAGTGACGGAGCTGTCCAATGAGCTCACTAGAGACATCGACACCGCAGATCCCTTGGTATAAAGCATGTCCCGCTCCGATAGTGGGCGGGGCTGATTCCCTCCGTCGTCTTCGCAGGGAATCGTCCGGCGATTGTGCGGCAGCGATGCCCAGTTGTTCGCCGGCTGGGGAGGCCACCCCGGAGTCAACGATCCTGTCATTCTCGACAGACTCTGGAAATTGTCGCTGAAAACTGCAGCACTTCTCAAGGTTTAGCCACACCAGTGACCTCTGTGTGATAATGAATAGGAAATCTTTATTCTGCAGGAGAACCAAGATCAGAAGAAAAATAATGTAAATATCTGTCTGCATAGATTTGCTCTCTGTAACTCAAATCATTGCAGAGAATTGTGTTCAGTGGCTGTGGAACCAGTGGAAGAATAGTGAGTGAGGTCACTCTCAGAATGAACCTCAGAATAAAGGACAAAAAGACCCTCTGAATAAAGGACACATCTCTATGAAAGACACTGTGTTTCTACCCCATACTATTCATTAGCTTGAGATGTTCCTTTTTTACTGTATTGTGTGTGAATGGTAAATGCTAGGCTTGGCTGTGCAGTTGGACCTACAACAGGATATTGCAAAAATTTGGCCACACCCCATGTTTCCACTACCTTATCGCCGGCGGAGACCGATCACTGATAATCAGTAACGAACTTCCCGAGGACGATCCTCCGAAAGGTCACAAGACAATCATGTGACCATCATGTGATCTCTCTTCACTCACTACCTCCTTGTTTTAGGAGCTGAGGATTTGAAGAAAGTTGCTGAGGGGGCTGATCATGTCATGGTAATAAATTTTCATAATTATAGCGGACCTTATTGTGTATTGTTGTGTAGTTTGTGGGGATTACTTGTGGTCTGTCTGCACCGTACGTTGCTGGCCAAATAGATCACTCCATGCACCAGGTCAGCTAACACCGCACACACGCTCCATCCTGGGAATTTGAATCCAGTCAACTTATTTCCAACCCTGCCTATTACAGCCCAACATGACGTCAGTTTTGATGGGGTTCAACCCAGTCTCCCTCTCCCGTAACGCTCCCATTGAGAAGTGGGACAAAACATGTCGGCAGGTCAGTGATAATAATATTCTCAGCCTCCTGTATCGCTGGCTACTCACTCAGGTCTTTCTAGAGCTGGAGACTCTCTCATGTACCTCAGACAGTGCCTTCATCATCAACCCTATCGTTGGCCCGGAACCCATCACTGGTGAGCAAGTAATGAAGTTGCAACTTCTATCTGGACACCAATGAGACTGTTCCTAATAGTGGGGTGTCCTTTTTACATTTCACGTGAGAACCGTTGGTAGTATAATAAATTATAAGTGTCCTCATTTCAGGGATGTTTCAAACTGTCTTTAGAGAGGGGTTCCACTGTATATCGTAGCAGTAGGTCAGCAATGGTGTGGTAATACGTAATCCCAGGCTCCAGTCGGATGAAGGGGGGCTCTACAACGGCAGTTCTACTGGGGACTGTGTTCCTAACGTCGCTCCAGACTTTACTTGGCCAACCCATCCTGCCTTCAATGACACTGCCAGCTCGAGAACCAGAGGAGACGGAAGTGGTGTTTGACCACTCTCTCTCTCCGTCTCTCTCGCCCATGGTTTCCCTCCTGGACTGCTACTCGCAGACCTATCAGACTGTCTACAGACACTCTGGTGGAGTGGCGAGTCTGTTGAAGCTGGCAGCATCGTGCATTTGTCAGCCGTCTGGCAGGCTCATCTACCTGGGAGCTGACACACTCGGAGCCCTGGGGTGAGTCTAAATGTGACTTATTTGGAGAGTTTGGTAGTTCTGTGAGTGGAGTTGGTGCGTGTAAAGTATGTCCCCTGCTCTAGACTAACGCAAGAAAACTAAGAGTTGACTGTGTGTGTGTGTGTGTGTGTGTGTGTGTGCAGGCTGGTGGATGCGTCAGAGATGGTTCCCACATACGGAGTGGGTCTGGAGGAGTTCCGAGGGTTCGTGGCGGGAGGATGGGAAGGCTGTGGAAACACTGAAGGTTCGTGGAGCATTATATGCTGTATATAGTTTCACTGGGGAGGCAGAAATTTTCCTCCAGCTACGGTATATACTCTCATGTATGAAGTTTCTTGTGAAGTGACACTAGTGGTTCGCATGTTTGAACGTCTGCAGGAGATTTGAGTGGATACGGGAAGACATTTCGAGTGTCCCTATCTCAGTTTGAGAGCGACGTCCTGCCCTCCCTCACCGACCAGGACTGTGTCCTCTGTCTCCATGGCTCCAGTCAGAGAACTGGGCCACCCCACCTTCACACCATCGTGAACAAGTCTGTCTCTGTGTCCAGTAGCTGCTGTGCACAGTCTATAAGTCTTTCCCGTGCTTCTCCTCTCTAGAGTGCTAGCCAGTCCTGCAAAGTGTGGCCTTCTAGTGATGGCTGAGAATGGCATGTCCTGTAATCATCTTCTGGATAAAAGGTCAGAAATATTTCCCTACTATATCTTTTCTAACTGTTTATTTTTCCCTTTCTCCTCCTTCAGGTATGAGACTGCTGTGCTCATTAGGCTCCCTTACTATCACGCTTTCGGCAAAGGTATGTGACATTGGAATAGAAGTATGAGACATGGAGTATGAGTCTATGTATGGCTGGCCTTGTAGAGTGTGTGTTTGCTGGGTTTGCACTGAAACTGGTTCTGAATGCAATCAGCACAGGAGCCAATATTCTGAAGGGGCGAGTGTACGGGAATGAAATGATAAACCTCAGACTCTCCAATGACAAGGCAAACAGACACCATCTATAATACGTCCTCAGTGATTGCTCTCTTTTCTCTCACTAACAACTGCAGTTGTTTGAGCGTGCCATCGCCATCATCGAGAAATGGAGTGGGGCGAACGAGGAAGACGCAAAGTTCGCACTTCTCAGAGCAATCTACAAACAAGACGACGCGGCTAATGTAACCCTTTCACATCCTGCATGTCCTCTTCTGATCTCTGAATATTATCTTTCCTCGCTCTTTTTATCTTCTCTCTCTCTCTCTTCCAGTTCCAATATCGTCCAATATCATCCCACATCACAGAGGCATCCTCTCAGAACATGGTAACTGATACATGATGCTGTCATGTGGTATATATAGTTCAGTATGAAAGTGAAAGGTAATAGTGGTCCACAACATACAACAGGTTGTTCCACTGGCTCTGCTACTGGCAGGAGGTCGGAGTTCAGTCAGTTATAGCAGCAGAGAGAAAGCTGCTCCAGTCTGCCAAAGGTCTCAGGGATGTCATATCAACGGAGATCGCCCCAACCCATGGCCACTAGGCCACTATATACCCATCTACCTAACTACCACTAGGCCTAATACTTTGTCATTATAGGCACGCATGTTTGCTCACAGGTCATTTTTTGCTTGTTCCATTGGCTGAACAACTTTGTACAAGATTTTTTACAAAATAAAAATTTGCTCAATTTTTCTCTTCTTGCTCCGAAGTTCAAAATCTGGAGAAGCATCTTTCACTGGAAGTGTTCGTTTAACGATGCCGCCTCTACTAGGGACCTCCCCCTCCCTCTCCTCTTGCATGTCCATCACAGACTCATCGACTGGTTCTTGTGTATCTTCTTCTCTGTCTTCTACCAGCGGCCCTTGGTTCCTTAGCTCCACCACCTCCTCCTGGTCAGTGGGTCCATCAACAACAGTAGGTCCGACTCTTGGCGAGGCAGACGAAGAACATGTGACAGTCACATGACCTAGAGGACCGAGAGAGCTGAGTGGGTTGGAGGAGGGCAGCTCAATATGGAGTCTCAGTCCAGAGCCAGTTCCTTGCTGGGTGGCAGGCAAGGGGAGAGAGGTCGAGCCTGTAGTCTGGAGGGTTTGGGTGAGTTTGGAGACGGTGGACAGAGCCTCGCGGGCTGACATTGCCTTCCACTTCTCATAGTCCTCCAGAGACTGTCTTGCCTTGCTGTGATGCCTCTCCAACTCTCTAGAACACAGAATAGCACAGGAGTAGATTATATAGACAGAATCACAGTTTTAGTGGGAAATTCTCGAAGGATAAAACACTTAAATAGAGGTCGAAAATTTGGCTACCAAGACACCTAAAAGTTGAGAATTGAGTTGTACGAGTTTTCTCCCTTGGAAACTCTAAAAAACACTTACTTCATCTGGGTCTCAATGGAGCTGTGTAAACTGCCGGTATGTGTGTGGATATCCTTCAACAGTAGGTCTCTCTGTTTCCGCAGCGCCGCCTCAAGACCGGCAAAGTATTCCTCCACCATCTTGGCAGAGGTGAGACCCTGTGTCCTCACAGCTTCTCCCTCGTCACTCATCAACTGTAGCCTTCTCTCTGCCTCCGCAACCCGTCCCTGCGCTCTCATCCTCAACGGACGCAGCTCGTCTCTAACTGTCTGTTTTGCCTCGTTCACCAGCTGGCAGTGGTGACCCGCATGCTCTCCGTGGTAGGCACAGTATATACACACCAAAGTCTTGTCACGGAAACAGTAGTAGTTCCGATCGTGTTGATGAATGGGGCAGAAGTGTTTGGCCTTGGAGAGTACACTTGTGACCAGCTGGGCGACGGAGAGGTTGGGAAACCATGGTCTAGACGAGCCTGTTGCATCCACAGAGTGCTCCTGGGTACATGTCGGGCAGGTCAGTTTGTGCCTCCCTCCCTCCCCTTTCAGCAGTAGCCTCTCCAGACAACCTGCGAAACGAAAAATCGAGACTAAAAGTTAATAAGAATCCTCTCAAAATTACTTTAGGCCACGTTGAAAGGTAAACCAACGTGAAAAGAAGTTTAACTACTTAACTTTCATGCAAATCCATGACACACACGACCTTCATAAAGTAACGTACCCAAACAGAAGGAGTGTCCACAGAGGAGGGTGTTTGGACTCCGCTGCCCCTCGGCCTCATATTGCTCGTTACAGTGGGGGCAGGAGAGGAACGAGGCCATCTCTGGAGGAAGAATGGAGGTCGAGGAAGGCGTCAGTTGAGAGCTGGTCTCCGTCATGGAGTCTTGGGACGACAGCTGGGAGAGAGGGGGGAATAGTGACGTGGGGATTTGGGTGACCCGTGAGCTGCCAGCACATGACGACAGGGAGCTGCTGGTGCGACAGAGAGACGAAGAGGCGTGGCTCTGTGGAGTGTGAAGTTGTGAGGACGGTGCCTGGGTGCTGTGTGACTGCGAGAGGGAGGGGGCGGGGTCTGGGTGGGCGTCTGGACCGGGGTACACCAGACGAGCACGGACCAGAATCGTGTCGTCTTTCACGAAACCTCGGAGAGGGTTCAGCACCTCCTGCAGAAGACGAGAGAGATTATGTGCAATACCCATAAAGTTACGGGAAAAAAAATTGTGGAATGAAAGCTGGAAGGTTAGTTGGTTGGAGGCACTGCGAAATTCTGAGCAAATACTAAACAGACTGACGTACTCTCCAGCGAAGGAACCCGCTGTATCCCCAGTCAGTGGAGTTACGGGTGTAGTGGTGCCGAAAGTCTGGGAGAAATACCACAATCATGTTTTACAAGTGTTTGCTGGATGGATGGTGGCAAGAGCGTAGGTACCTTTGGTGTAGCTCTTCTCAGAGTCCAGCTGGTTCACCAGAGATATTGAGGCATTGAGCACGACGCTCCAGCTGCCGAGAAAGACAGTATTGAAGGTGCAACCAGTAGAGTCAGCTACAAATGAGGTGTCCTCTACTTGCTGTGTGGAGTTTTTGTGAAGTGAAGCTAGCTAACTACTCACTTGGCCTGGTTCGGAGGTGATTTGCTCCCCACCCTCTGAACGTATGCTCCCATCACGTCCTTAGAGTTTACCTCCCGGTGCACCACCATTATCCTCCTAGGTAAGTATACTGAGAGTGTGCGGAGCTCCGTATACCGCTCTCACCATTGGTGGCCTTTGAATTTGACGCTCTTGCTGTAGGCGACGTCCTCCAGGCGAGAGACGCCGGGCACGCTCAGCTGCAGCGATATCTCCTCCGTGTTACCCACCTCCGTCTCCTCACTTCCCTGATGACCGCTCATGCTTTACACCCCGTGTGCGCATGCGCATAACTACTGAGCAATCGCTGCTGGCTAGCTCTAACGTGTGGGTGCAGGGAATTGCAATTGACTGAAAATTTGTTTCCGGAAAAGGACGAACAATAATTTGGGCACACTACATAATAGCCAGTGATGTCAGCACCAAGCATGTTTCCTTCGACCATGATGCTGTGGAAAGAGACAAGTTCAGTGTTATGGAAAGGAGGTGAACTGTGCTGACCTTTGGCCGAGGTCCTCCAGACAGCAACCTTTCTTCCTCTCGTCTCACCAGAGCTTCGTACTCCTCCTCTGCCCGTCTGGAGAAAGGGAGTGAGAGGGGGGTTAGGATTGTAAATTCTGCTGTGACCAGCTCACCTTGCTCGGCAAGCTCCCTCTGGTACTCCTCTCTCATCCTCTCAGCCCTTCGTCTCCTCTCCTCTACCTACATTACATTTTACAGCAAAAACCTGAAATTCACACCTTTCTAAGTTTTTATCCAGTGAAAGGCCTCCCCTCATCACTCCAGTAATAAACCTCAGAGTGGGTATAATACAGGCGTTGCCCACCTGAATCTGCAGCTCCTCTGCACGAGAGGTCTTCTCATCTCTCCTGGCGACTGTCTCTCTGGCCGTCCTCGCAGTTGCCTTCTCCATCTCTCTCAGGAGAACCTCTCGCTGATCTATTGACTCTGCCTGCACACGGTGGCAGACACGTGTGAATGAATGAAATAAACCACAAGTTTGGAATCCTATTTAGGTTCACATAGAGAACCTTAGTTTGGCACTTTTATACAGAGTAAGTATCTAGTACCATAACAAAAAACGAGAACATAAAAGTGGAAATTAAAACTACTGTGGGATCATTGTGAACAAACAACCTGCTGCAGTTTTAGTGACTCCATCTTATCACAGAGCTGCTTCTGCTCTCTCCGCCAACACCTGGACAGGAAACCTTTTATCATCATTGCTGTTGTTGTTTGTTGTTGTTGTTCTCACCTCGCTCATGAGTCTCTCCCTGGCTTCCTTCTCTCTCCCCCACTCCCTCTCCCGCCTCGCCCACATCCTGGCGGCCTCCTCCCTGCGTCAGCAGACACACCTATCCAGTGGGCTCTAATTAGAGGGGCTCACCACTCACCTGTGCAGGAGATCCAACTCTGCTTCTCTCTTCTTCTCCAGCTCCAGCTGCTCAGCAACCACCTAACACATGATAGCCGGTATACTAGTACGCATACTACATTAAATTTCTGTAGGTTTCGCAGCCTAATAATATTGTTACTCTAGTGTGTATTTACCTGAACACACACAGTGAAAAAACATGCTGCTAACCTGCCTCATCCACTGAGCATCAGCTCTGGCTCTCTCCCTTCGCTCAGTCGCCAGTCCTCTCTCAACTCTCTCCTGTGGAACAAGACAACATTCATTATTCCCTCCTCCGACGCAGCCCCGCCCACCCTCTCTGCTATGTCCTCCAGGATCCTCAAGTCCAGTTCCTATGGCAACAGAACCAGTCATGTGGGAGTCACGTGATAGTCATGTGACCTCACCAGAGCCTCCTGGATCCTCTGAGACTTTCTCCGTAACTGAGCCGTGGCCTGCTTACTAAGCACCCTCCTAGATACAGATATTTCGCATAAGAAAACTTTCGTGGACTAAAAGCTCCGTAGCTTGTCCCAGCGTAAGATGGATAACAGTCAAAGTCAACAAAGTCTTTAAATGTTTAAAATTGGTAGCTTCCTCACAATACTTGATGCAAGAAAGTGCTCACCCCAACTCAGCCTTTCTAGCAGTCTCCTCCAGTCGCTCTCTCCTCTCCTCCTGTATATATACAGTTGCCTCAGTGGAGGTGAGTGAGAGATATGGCTGACTTACTGCCATCGCTAGCTCCAGCTGCTCCTTCTCAATCTGGGCCTGCTCCACCTCCAGCTGGGCTGCCTGCACCGTTCAGCACACACACAATGCGGGATGGACGATCCATGGATTGCGCAGTGCAGCTCACCTCTTCTTCTCTGGCCTTCACCTCCATCATCTGCCTCTGTAGTGCCGTGGCATGATCCCTTCCCTCACTTAGTTGAGAGAGAGAGAGAGAGTTTGGCACAACGTTAAAGAGATGAGTCCAAACACCATATACCTCTTCATCTTTTTCTTCTGTTCCTCTTCTTTCCTCAGAGCCCTCTCCCTCTCCTTCTCAACCTCCTGCTGATACCTACACAACACACACACTCACGCACACCAATTGAAGAATCCACACTTACCTCTCCTTCTCCTTTTTGGACGACTCCTCTTTCTGTGAGATAAAGGTACAACTGAGTCCACTGCTAGTGATAGTACAAGGCTCACCTGTGTCTTGGCAGACACCTGTTCCTGCCACATCGACGGCATGGCCTTCTCTCTCTGTCTGACCTCGGCCTGTCTCAGTTTCGGGCAGTTCGCTCTCCATATCTCTTCATGTTTCTCCTCTGCCAGCTGCCAGGAAGGACAAGACTTAACTCTGATTTTTTGGCTATGAAGAAAACGTTGGTGATTTGAATTTTGCAGAGAAAGTATTCTTTTTTCAAGATCCCAGCCACAAACTTCGAAAACGTTGGTGATTTGAATTTTGCAGAGAAAGTATTCTTTTTTCAAGATCCCAGCCACAAACTTCGAAATTAGCAAAAGTCCCTCTAAAGTTGGTTGTGAAAACTTACTGCTTTCTGTCTTTCCATTCTTTGGCTCTTCAAATGGTCCACTCTATGGCAGAGGACATCAACTCACAAAATCAGTAATATGTTCAGGTATCAGCTCTGCATACCTCGTCTTCATGGTCTTCACCTTGTCTGGAGTAAGCTCCCTCAGTTCTACCTGTAGTTATGGTGGGAGAGAGGCTCAACTGAGGTCTGCACTGTGCAGACTTACACACCTCGTAGCCCTCCCGTTCCTCGTCCAGGAGCCGTCTCAACCTCCCCCTCCTCTCCTCCAATCTCTTTCTCTTCTCCTCCCGCTCCTCTTCCACACGACGGCTCTCGGAGCCGCGGGCACTGCCGGGTCTCGACGACGACCCAGCGAACCAGGCCGCCCGTTTCGTAGATTGGACGTCCAGTCTCTGGAGGTAGTTCCAGTGGTTCTCCCAGCGCCGCCGCATGGCTTCCTCCTGGTTGCGTCTCCTCGCGATCCTGTTCTCCACCTCCATTGCTCGACCCCGCGTGTATAGGGCCGCCATCCTTGCAGATGGAGCGTGCAAACTAGAATACTGGTACCTGAAGCGCAAGATAGAAAGTCTTACTCTGTAATCAAGCCTTCTTTGTGTCTTGCGCAGTTTCAAACCCGCGCGGGCAGCTAGGTGAGCATTATTTGGAACGCGATCGAAGTTCAGGTGGGCGTTATTTAGAATTATCTGCGCGGGCTCTCTCTCTCTCCTTTTCAAGCTCGCAAATGGCCTCAAGGGGCTACTGCACGACGCTCAAAACGTACGGCCCGAAGCCCAAGACCTTTCGACTGAGCGAGGATGGCGAGGAGTACTACCTGGGCTCGGAGGTCGGTAACTACCTCCGCATGTTCCGCGGGGACCTCTACAAGAAGTACCCGGGGCTCTGGAAGAGGAAGATGAGCGCCGACGAGCGGCGGGTCGCCAGTGAGCAGATCGGCTACGGACACAGCAACATCTCCTCTAACGTCCAGATAGTCCGGGCCACGGAGGTGGAGGAGGTTCTCAACGGAAACGATGACAAGTTCCGCTCCTCGCTCAGTTTCGACTCGGTCGGCGGGGGGCACAGCAGCTCCGAGCGCAACCAGACGTCTTTCCAGGCGACCAGCGCCGCAGCTGCCTCCACCAGCGGGGCCAACACGCGTGGGAAGAAAGGCTCGTGGATGTCGCAGATCCCAAGCAGCTCCTTCCACCTGGATGCCGTCCCCTGCGCCTCGCCCGTGGGCCGAGTCAAGATCGCGGGGAAGAAAGTAAAGAGCTACCCCACGTGGTGAGCAGAACACTCTCAACACTGATTTGAAAGTCCAACTAACAGATTCCCTCTGTTGCAGCTATAACGACAAGTTCCCTGCATTACTCTATCAGACTGCAACACAACCTGAAGTTCTGGTGCCAGTTCGACTGGACATCGACATTGACGGCCAGAAACTACGAGAGACTTTTACGTGGAACAAAAACGGTGAGTGGATGAACTATATAGTACAAAGGAGACTCTAGAAATAAAGGTAGCGTTTGTGTTCCAGAAATGATGCTGACTCCAGAGCAGTTTGCCGAGGTTCTGTGCGACGATCTCGAGCTGCCCCCGGGATCGTTTGCGGGGCCCATCGCCCAGTCAATCAGACAGCAGTGCGAGCAGTTTTCAACTGACATGATCCCCGAGGACGAGGAGGACAGGAGAGTGGTTGTGAAGGTAAAGTGTGGTGTTAGTACAATTTATCTTCTGACCACAATGAATGTGAGAAAGTGGTGATTTTTTTCCTTGGAAAGGTATATATAATATACATTTCGAGGCACAAAAATGTACACAGAGTTACAGATTGGGGGAACAACTTTCACACATAACGTGATTCGGTTTCTACTGATGCTGTTTTCACTTACCCACGGAAACCTTTAACAAGTGTGTCAAATAATTGTCTCTCACCAGCTCAACATACACGTGGGGAACATTTCTCTGGTGGACCAGTTTGAATGGGACATCTCCAATCCTCGAAACAGCCCCGAGGAGTTTGCTCGACTCCTGTGTGCAGATCTCGGTCTTGGTGGAGAGTTCGTCACCGCCATTGCCTACTCCATCCGTGGACAGCTCTCCTGGCACGCCAAGACCTACGCCTTCAGGTGTGCAATTAGAGTCTGATATCGTGTGGAACGGAAAGTTCAAACCCCGAATGACTGTGTATGTCCGTTTCCTTCTCAGTGAGGCCCCCCTGCCTGCTGTGAAGTTCCCAGTGAGGCAGCTGGCAGACGCAGAGGCCTGGGGTCCCAGCATCCAGGTCCTCACAGACTCCGAGATGGAGAAGAAGATGAGAGATCAGGACAGAAACACTCGGTGCAGTAGTAGTATATAGTCTTGTATGGTATTGAGGCTGAATGTCTATCTCACACACAGGCGGATGAGAAGATTGGCTCAGGCAGCTCCAGGCTGGTGAATTGGCTGCCATTTCTGATTCACTGTTGTCATCATTTTATTCTTACTATTTTGCGTGCATACTACGCATGCGCAATGTGTTCGAGGCGGGGGGGGGGGCGGGGCAGGCGCGTGAACTTGCAAAGGGCAGGGAATCATATTCTGTATCCATAGTAGTAAGTAACTTACCGGGAATAAGACCTTCATATAGATGCCGATCGAGTTTCCAAATCTGACTTTGTATGGTACTATTTGTGCTAGCCAACTCACATACCATGGATGATTGCATGCTGCTAGCTAACTCACATACCATGGATGATTGCATGCTGCTAGCTACTGTCTGTGGACTCTGCGTCTGCAGGTATATACTTTAGCTAAGAGAATGTGTTATTCTTGGGTCGTGAGGAGAGCACTACCAGTCGGCATTCTAGCTGCAATCATAGCATGGTTACTACAGGGACCTTGCCCCATCGATCCTGTTGCTTTCAGGTTGGTAGCTCGTATATACATCCTTCATAATTGACTATTAGCTACCACCACAAGGTACTGTGAGGATGGACCCAGACAGTTTGAAGGAGCTCTGGAGGTCAACTCTGAGCTGCAGCGAGCACAGCTGCTGTTCCCAGGAGAGCTGGTTCAGCCCGAGGCCTTTGTGGTTGATGAGGAAGGCAAGTGGAGAGGAGGTCGAGGGGGGGAGAGGGAGGGAGGGAGTGACTGTGTTGTTGTGTTTCAGGCTACATCTACACCGGACTGGGGGATGGTAGGTTGGCGAAACTGAGTCCTGATCTCTCCAGCTACTCTACTGTCCTCAGAGTGGGCTCTCCTCCTCACGACAACTGTGGTATGTAATGTCTAGACATCAACTCTCAGTTTTAAGGTGTGGAAGGTGGCTCAGTTTTGTTCAGTGCAAACAGAGCTTTCGTGACGTTCAGCAAAACCCTTTCCCTCTTTACAAAGTAGGGTCTGAGTATGAAGTCACAGACTCTAGCATAATATGTATGAGGCCAGAGCCAGGCGTCATGGTGTACCAGGCATAATGTATGGGATATATTCCCACCACCAGGGACTCCAGATGCAGAGGACCACTGTGGAAGGATCCTGGGCCTCCACCTCCACCCCTCCTCCCCCCACCTCCTCTATGCCGCTGACAGCAGCTTCGGACTCATAAGAATCAACACTCTCTCAAAACAGGTCGACGTACTGGTTCCCCGGGGACTAGTTGACGACGGGGAAGTCCCGTTTGTCAACTTTGCAAATGATCTGGTTGTCCTCGACAACAGGAGCGTGTTCTTCACGGACTCGAGTAAGAAGTTTCCACGTCGAGACGTTGTTCTGGAGGCGTTTGAGGGGAGAGGGAACGGTCAACTGCTGCACTATGACCCTGTCTTGAACAGAACTAGTGTGGCAGTGGACGGAGTGTTCTTCCCCAATGGTCTCTGCCTTAGTCACGACGGCTCTGCAGTTCTCTTTGCCGAGACCTCCAGGGCCAGAATCATGAGGTGACAAACTAACAATAAGTTCTGTACTGTGCTGCAATTCAACAATATAAGGCTCAACAACTCATCTACCACTACATATCTTACCAAGGGACGTCTCTGACTAAAGGACACTTGGATCTCCTATATAAAGAATCAATGTTTAGTGTTAATCAATGTGTGCAGGTATTATCTGAGAGGCCCCAAGGCAGGACAGACTGATGTGTTTGTGGACAATCTCCCAGGCCTGCCGGACAATATCTCCCCTAACGCCAGGGGAAACGGTTACTGGGTCCCATTTGCGGTGACCAGGATGTGGATTACAGAGTACATGGTCGAACTACCAGCACTCAGGTCCCTGGTAGTCAGGGTAAGACCTCCGCCACTATGCCTGTTTCCCCTCTCTTCCTACACTAGTCTCTGACATGGCACACTTTAACACAGCATTTCTAGAGATGACACTTTCACTACTCCAACACACACTTTTAGAACACCTGCAGCTTTTAGCATCTGTTAAGCTCAACTTTCTTCTGCTCTTATATACACACGTGCTTTCTTCTCCTCGCTGATCCCTGTAGCTGGGGCTGGCGAGGGTCATAGCTCACTATCTTCCTAAACATGCCCTGGTGCTGGAGCTGGACGCCGGAGGTCGAATCGTGCGGAGTCTCCACGACCAGGGAGGACTGGTCCTGGGGAGCATCAGTCACGTGATGGACCTCGGAGACCGCCTGTTGCTGGGCTCTTACGAGGCTCCGCATGCAGCTGTTCTGACTCTCACCACACCACCACAGAGATAGCAGGAGAATTATGACAATATTTGCTTTCTCGTTTTATCTAGGCCACCATAATAGGTCAATTTTATGAGTTTTTTTCAAAATTTGAGCACGCTATTCTTGTGCACCCAATGGGAGCTGTCGTGATCCTCTAGTTCTTAGAAAAATGCGATGTTCTTCAAAATCGCAAATACACTTATGGAACACTGGAAATGAAGCTTCATTGCTCTGTTGTGTGTTATATACTGGTGTGGTGCTATACATACAAGTGGCTACCAGCGCAACAGAATAGTGTCTCCTGACTGGATGGCAAAGAACAACAGTTGCTTCAGATCGTCGTCCATCTTTATCTCTATGTTTCTCTGCGAGAAATAAAACAGCGGCTATCTTTAAGAGGGCCAACATTTATGTATGTATACATCATCTGTAGGAAACGAGACTACAATAATTGCTTCCATGTTCAACTGTGCACAAATGGCCCAGGATTGCTGAGTATGATGAGAAGTTAAGGCAGTGTCCATTATACAGCTGTACTGCACTATTACCGAATTACTCCCAGTTAGCAAAGATTAGTGAAGAAGTAACCAATAACACAACAATATCTCCCACGTCCCTCTCTTTCTCTCTCTCCCTCTCTCTACGTACCGAGCTGTCGAGGTAGGAGAGCCTCTGACGAGAGGAGTCGACCTTATGGACCCTCCGTAGAAGACCTTTTAGTTTCTGCACCGTCATGGAGCCCGGGAGCCGCTTCGACAGCTGCGTGGCTTCGGGATGATCGGGACAGCTAATTACCACAGCTGGCCCCGTTAGCTAAGGAATTTTCTTGTGTTTCAAAACTGCATGATTGGAAACGCATGTGAGTGGGTATATATATTATGGATACAGAGGAGTGTGTCCTTGAGCAGTGGTCCCCTGTGGAAAAAATTTCTGTACCGTACTTTGCGACTCGTATTCGCCATCTTTACCGGGCTTTCGTTTCAGCGCTCCAGAGCCATAGTGTGGCTGCGAGAGAAGAGAGAGGGAGAGAAAAGAGAGAGAGATAGGGAGAGAGAGGGAGAGAATCCTCGAGAGAGACAGGGAGACAGTGTGTAGCAGCGGAAGGACAGCAGGAGAGGTGAACGAGTTTGAGAGTGGCAAAGCATACGTGAAATTAATAGTGCATCGTGAGACCGAGAATGAGGAAGAGAGATGTCAGGGTAGAGAAGCGGGGGAGCGTATAAGCAGTAAGAGAGAGATGTAGGAAGAGACTAGAATGTAGAGAATGGTAGAAGTAGAAAAGGAAGCAGTAGAAGCGTGTGAGAGTAGAGAGGAACAGAGAATCG